GTTTCGTTTAGGTTTTGGCATCGAGGGAGGAAAACCTACAGGTACCATTTTATTATTTAGAGCTGGCAGCCTGCCATACTGCCAGCTCTAAATCTAAAGCACAGGCACCTGTGGCTCGCTCGTAATCGGCGCACATCGTACAACTTCTCAGAGAAAAGGGTAAGTGATTTCTATCTACTTGGCACGAGGCTAGATGCTCCTACAGGTATCCAACCAACATCCCGGCGGAAGAAACAGATCCCTTCCCGTTTTCTCTGTTAGTCCACCTAGCGTATTATCACTCATGTTTTCATGAATTGAACTTTTTTTTCGTGGTCCACTGTGTGTGCTGTTTCCTTTTTTTTTTTTTTTGTTTTCCAGTCTCAAGGTGTTTCAAAGATGAATTGTCAACAGCTCGCCTGTGGTTTGAGCATTTTATCAGCTATTGACAAGTGCCTTCTGCATATTTAAAGTCAATACGTTGTATTCCAATCCCCGGGCATTCAAATTCGCTATACGTGAGTTGTGATACAACAAACTATTTGATATATCGAATTAATATGCACGAAGAGAGTTTGTTATAAACGGGTTTGGCAGTGGTACCAACGATTTTGGACGGATGGATGGATGGTACCTTGGTATTGAGTAGCAGCTTGAGCCACCTGCCTAGCCTAGCCTAGGTCTAAATTCTCAGGAAATAATCAATCCTGTTGTGTGCATGTTTATACACTCGGAAGTTGGTCAGCCCCGATCGGCATCCTCTTCTCAGGACAAGTCATTGCTTCTGTGCTCTGTTCCTAACTTACTGCAGAAACAGCCCGGGTTGTCAGCCTGCTGTAGAAGTGTTGTGGCCGTCCCTCTGTAGGGCTATGGTCTTGAGCTCGGGCATTTTAGCTTGAGATGTTGCTCCACTTTCTTTAGCCACCTTATTCTTCGCCAGGGCTGGCCTTTCTCAGCTTTCTGCTTCAACCTGTCCAACCTCGGGAGTGCTGACGGTTGTCTTATCTGGCAACTTTCCTGTTCTTGCTCATTTTCTTTGCCAGCCATATTTCGACTGTCTGAGCAACATAGTTCCATGACCCCAAAGATGTTTCTCTTAAAGGTCAGCTAGTACAAGACCTTCTGGTGGCAGTCAAAGCACCAGGGGACAGAGTAGAGTTAAAAACCAATCTTTGCTCACCCCTAATGATCTCAGTCCCCAAGCACGCGTGCAGGTCATCGTGTAATCCTCCGAGTCCCCTAACACAGAGATGTACAAACTGGCTGCTGTTCCTCAAAATTTATCATGTGGTCATCTACTTGCAAACACTTTGTCGCCATATCGGAATCTTACGGCCTTCCAGGCATCCTCGGGACAGCGGGCAGTTGGCGGCAATCGCTGCAGCAGTGAGGCTGTGAAACTTGTCGGCCGACGAGAATTCCGGATCACCGTGGATGACCTGTTCAATTCGCTCCCGTCGTGCATTTAACTTCAAAATCTCCAGTTTGGGCATCTTGACGATGAGTGGACAAGGTGGGACCTCGGCTGTTGATTGCACTTGCTCACTCACTCCTTTCAGCTTTTCCCAGCAGCATCCTCACCTTGAAGGTAAGTCTCGTAGAGTAGGTGACGATTCGGTCACCATAATCGACAGTTTGTGCCTATTCTTGTTATGCATCTTCCACAGAGAGCAGAAGTTCGATGGCAGAGTACGCCTTGGTCAGCCAATTGTCAAGCATGTTGAGATGATGCATGAAGATGTCGAGCCCTTTTTCAACCATTACTTCGTTCTGAGAAGCTGCATCTCAGTAAACAACAACGGAGGTCTTTATATATCCTAATATGCAAAATGAGATTGAAAATGACTTGTCTTGTAGCCTAAATAAACTTGCGACATTTCCCGAGTTTTAGCACCAATATAATAAAATAAAATAAGCCGAAACATTGTTGGCTACTAGATTAAAAAATATCACTTATGGGCAACAGCACTATCAACAAACAAAACAACAAAATATGCAAAGTGCTTGATTTTAATACTAACAGAATTTCTAAACCAAGAAAGTGACCAGTACATAGATACTGCATTCACTGCATATGTATCAGGCATGCAAAAAACATTAAGATTTTGTGTGCATCGCCTAGGAGACAACCTTCTGATAGCTTTAACCATGTATTATAATAACAAAGTGTTAATTTCTCAGATAAGTAAGGCCACCAAATAAAATGCTGCAGTGCAATCAGCTCTCAATACCCAATTTAGATAAAATGACCAAAAATCACCTCCCCCCATTCAGTCAAGGAAAGCTAAGTAGCGACTTAGTGTCCATTGAACACAAAATTAACTAGTACTAGGGATGTTCCTGGCGCGTCGCTGCTGTAGCAATAAGATAAATGTGACAAACGACAAAAACGGGTGAAGACACAGTTTCCACGGCAGACAGTTTGACCCGAGGACCCGAGGCCTTCCACAAAGAAGGTCACCTGGGCTGTGACATCGGACGTTCGTGCCAGCAACCTCGCAAAATATCCCCAGCAATGTCCGCAACCTACAGCGTACGGTCAAGTTTCACCCGGTCTGTAGCAGTCTCTGGCTGAGAACTCGTACCAGGAACAAAGGAGGTCGCCGATTATCACAGGCTCCCACCTCGGATTGGTTCGAGAAATCCTCAAACTGGCAAATATGTGCTGCAGTCTTATGCAGTGCATGCGAGCAGGATCAATCGGATGACCGTCAGAAAGCAGACGACCGTAGGAAGCCACGGGAAGTCTCGCTTCCTAATCGCCCTTCTGCTACGGATAATCGACAGCCTACACACCCTTACGAGGGAAGGTGCTTCCGACTAGTACCTTCACCGTGTCCTAAAAAACGATTTTCGCCCGATGACGTAATAAAAGAGTCGTGATATCACCAGCTGCGAGCACCGGTGGTGTTTCGGCGGCAATGGTGAACCTGGGAGGTGCCTGTTCCGCTGTGGGTCACTCTCCAAATTGACAGTTTGCAGAAGCTCAGTGATGTGATTGGCCTAAGCCATTTTAGAGCACCTTTCGGAGCAGCCAAAACGGTGTTTTGGAGCAGCAGTTGTGGCTTTTGGAGCAGCCAATACAGAGTTTCGGAGCAGCAAAAGTGACTTTTGGAGCAGATATTCTTAGAAAAATCAAAATATTTGTTTTAACGTGCTGTACAAATGAAGGGCACTTTGTGTTGTGTTGTGCTCTGATGTGACTTGTTGTGACGGAACTCGCTGCTTGTGGTTTGACTGCCCGAGACATTCCACAAGTGTACAGCGCATTGCTGTACGCATTGCCGAGCAATTCCGAAAAAACTACTTCCCACCGTTTTACTGGTTCCCGACATGCCAGATTTTCGTCAAAAGCAAGCAAACGTAAAACAGTGGATTGCAAGCGTCCCGGCTGGTGCCTCTGTCGTTGAATCCTGGTTCAATCATGTTCGCATGCACGTGAGGGAAAGTTCGGCAGGCTTGCAGTCGCGCGTGCTTCGTCGGGCGAGCGGAGACAACGGCTGTTCGTTCGAAAACGAAACCATTGCACTCCGTTCCGTCGCCAACCGATTCCCAAAATTGTATGCAAAATGTCACTGTCGAGCATATGACAAAAAACAGTCTAGCCGCACGGGCTTGTCAGGCCGGCGAACAAGGTACAAGCTAAAAACACACACACACACAAACACACACACACCCACGCGCGCGCGCGCGCGCGCGCGCACACGCACACGCACACACACACACACACACAGAGAACTTGAGCGCATCGATTCAAGACATTGCGAGCCAAGGTCTAAACGTTTTTGGAGCACTTTGTGCAACGACTGAACTCGAGACAAACAAGCGCGCTGTGCGCGTTCAGCGTGCAGACATTGCCTTTTTTGCATTAGCTCACTTCTCTTCACCAACTTTCTTTCGCGGTAGATTTTTCACGTACCGGAGTCCCTCTCGAAAGAAAGCCCACCGAGAGCAACATAGCTAATCAATACTTCGACAGAGCACTCTTTGAGTTAACGAGGGATTCTTTTTAGTAACGTATGATTTAAACAAAAACAGGAATATTGATGAACATGCGGCGGTGCTTAGTTTCTTAGAAAGCGCAATATCTGCAGCGACGTGGGGACGGCAATACCCGACGTTGCACGACCACGGTGACTGGAAGCCAGGGACCAAATATGGTTTTCCCACGGCCGTTGCTTTCATGAGCGAGTGCTTCAGCTCACAAAGTAACTCTTGCCGCGCAAAAACGTGGTTTCGTTTCACGGCATGACCGCGTGGCTGGTACCCGGCACGCTTGCGTCGAAGCGTCTACACAGTCACACACCCGCGTCTATCGATGGAAATATTTAAAAAAGAAAGACGCGTGACGAGACCCGCAAGACGGCGAGAGCGCGGAACGCGAGACAACGGGAAAACCATGCAAGACGGGATGGACAACTCGATGCAGGGTACTTTGCGTCGGGCGGCCGCTTGCACCACATAACACACGCATGCTCTAGTACGGTACTCAGTTTCGGTTTTGAAAGGCGACCGAAATCAGTCCTTTGGCGCAGGTTTGGCGCAGATTACTCATATTTTGGCAAAATGTAGCAGGATGTAGCAGGGTTAGTCTCTTGGCGCAGTTTGGCACAATTGGCGCAGCAATCACATCACTGGAAGCTTCGACGGCCAGAAATCGGCGTGCCAAAACAACGGCGACACTCACTCTCTCTCCCCCTTTTTTTTTGGAACTTCTATGTTGAAATGCCAGGACCGTGACATCCGATGTTGTGATCCTTGGGCTTTGGTGACATCATTTGTTTTTACTTTGGGACCACTTTGATACATGGGCAGAATAGGATGCTAAGCACATTAGAGGGAGACATGCTTCGGGCACCGTAGTTACCGACCACACTGCAGTCCCAAAAGGTCGTCGTACGGAGAGATGGGCACCCCGTGGCCGCTCCCTTTTGGTCCCTGGGTGAGCCCTAGAGGCCACCCGTGCCCTGCACCCACACCATCTACGGGTAGCGCCGGAGGGAGGGAGTTTGAGCACTCACTCATTTCTCGCACGTGGATGATCAGCCTGGCCACGTAGGAGAGGTACTCATCCTGCAAAGGAAAGGGAGCAAAGACGTGTTGAGGATTCTCAACTTCTTTTCCAGCACACGAAAACATTGAAGCCAAACTCGGCCGATCTTGCATCGGTGCGGCACTACAACGTGCAGCTTCAATTTGGATCCCACGGGAAAATAAACCGTAAAAGCATCTTCAAAGTCAATCGGAATCAAGCTTTATGTATCCAGCTATTTGCGACATAGCAATGCAACAATCCTTGTAGGAAGACTCATGTGTTTATAATGTTCTATCTCTCTCTCTACGACCAGCCTATACACACTGCCTCTAACTCCGAAAGATCAAAATTTGTAAAACCTGTCAGCGGTAGAAGCGGCCGCGGAGGTAGTGTGAATGAATAATTAAATTCTCTTTTGTACTGCATAGCTCATGATGATGTCCTGTCAGCTTTCGGTCAATATTTTTAATGCACACTTTGAAAGCGGCTAGATCATCGGTAGACAAGAGCCCAAAAAAATAATTTTTCTGAATGTTCCTAATATATGGTAAAGAAAGTGACTTTCAGCACTTGTAAACCAAAATGAAAGAAGCAGGAAAGAGCGCAGAGAAAGAGGGTGCAGACAGATATTTGAGAGGTGCATTAGCAGGCAAGAAATTTTGAACCAAACTATTTTCTGCATCATTTACTATAAGAGATTCTGTAGCAGTGGGTGAAATGGTGGAGCAAAAGAGCATTAACAATGGGAACAAGATAATCCAACACCTTCAGCAGTTTAGTGTCTTTGACAAATTGGGAATTTCTAGGACTCCAAAGTGAGACATCAGCACCAAGGAGGGGGAGATCCACCATTGTGGATTGTGTTCTGGTTAAAATCTCGATGAGCATAAACACTATGCCACAGTTCTTTTAAACGCTGTAAAAATAAAAGGGTTACAAACACTTACTGAAGGCCCACTACTAGGTGCTGCAAGACCATGTGCACCATATGCCACAATGTGGCAACATGATAAATGGTAATATGTGGGTGAGCAAAGGAGCAGGTGATGGGTGTGATGGTGATAATGCGTAACTATAAATGGTCACATCGTCGAGCACACGCAGTTTTAATCAGTGTTGCCAGATTGTAAACTAGTCACCAGATTTTGGAAATCTAATGAAATTCTTAAGGTTTCGGGGTCCTGGTTTCTGAACGACACCGAACAATTCTGTGACATCTGGGTAAAAATTCCTCGTCACTCCAAGCAACTGAAAGTCTTACCACTGCCACATTAAAACAGCCAATGCTTAGTGGCACAAGCTGCCGCTCGATTGAAGTAGAGATGTAGAGCCAGAGGTTGAGGTCAGATCAAGAAAAACAGTTTACATAAAAGCAATCTGCCAGGGAGTACATAATGGTTCTTTGTTTTCTTCTTGTTTTTCTTATCAAAACCTATTAAACACAAAAAAGATTTTTTTTCCTTAGAAAACTAAATCTTGAAAAATACCTACTTTGCATAGCACATGACCACGCACAAAACTTTTTTTTTTTCCTTTGAGTGACATTGCAACAAGCAGGGTGACATTCACACTCCATTGGTTCACTTCGTCTCGCAGTAGCTATGTTGTAGACAAGCTGAGAAATGTGCATATGTACCTGAAACTGATAGGGTTAATTTACGTCCTTCCTAAAATATATGTTCTGAACATCAGTGATGTGACTGGTCAGAGTCATTTTGAAGCACCTCTTGGAGCGGCCAAAAAGTAATTTTGGAGCAGCAAAAATAACTTTTGGGAGCACCAGCGCACACTCTGTTTTCATTCATATCACAGCAAATATTCCGTTCACACTCGTGCGTCGGCCTGTTCAACTAAAAGACATTGTCTACTTCACCTTTCCACTTCTGTGCAACCTTTCGTCAGTGTCAATTCCACAGCAGGCTCGATTCCCTCAAACAGTGAACTAGCTGTTTAGTTGTGCGTGCAAGTACCAAGCACAGCAACAAGGTGCCGAGTGATGAAGGACGTAATATGAACCGCTGCGAATGGCTATTTTAGGTACGGAATCAAAGGTAAACCAACTCTTGCCTTGCTTGACAGGCAAGTGCTTGACAGAATGAGGACAGCAACGTGTGCTTGACAGAATGAGGACACCAACGTGCGTTTTGTGCCTTTCGCCGTGCTCTAACTGCACGTGCGTTCGAGGTGCACAAGACGCCCAGGTCTTGTTGACGGTGGGAAGCTTGTGCCGGAGGCGTGACAACTGAAGCTCCTCCTCGCCCTTCTCACCTTGCCAGTGACTAGGGGATCCAGCCAGTATTTGAAAACACATTTGGCACGTCATAAGTGCCCAGAAAATAACTCAATTCGTCTACAACTCTTGGCACCAACCAAACCGCATGTGTGTGTCATAACTGTCTGCATTTAAATAAAGATGGCCACCTCCAGCCTCATGCAGGGAATGAAAAGTCACGCCGCGGTCGTCGCACTTGCTGCGGACTACAGCGATTCGAGGATCGCTGTCTTTTGAACGTTGCCATATTGTATGTCTTCATGGTCGGGAAGGAGCTGCTCGACTTGGAAGGGGACGTGTCGTCAGTGGAGAAAAAGGAGAAGCATTCTGGATGATTGGACACCATTAAGATGACAGACCTTGTCGATCAGGTCCAGAAGGCTGTCAATGATGACACCGGTGAGTCAACCAAGGCCACTGCAAAGCAACTCGAAGTTTTTGAGTGTCGTTGGGCGTGGGGTTCACAAAGACATTCGGTGCGTGTCCTACATTACAAGAAGAGGGCAGCTCGTGACCAACAAGTCCCAGCAGAATCGCCTTATCCGGTCGAAGTGCCTACTTAATAAACTCGAGCATCCCGAGAAGCATGACATGCTTCTTTTTTTTCTTTTTATGGCTCGTTCACACTTGCAGATCCACGGAAGAATCCACAGAGAAACTGATGTCGGGTGGGGGAATTTCATCGCTGCTGACAGAATATTTTACCGCGGAAGCAATCGGTCCAGTATTGATTCTTCACGCACAAAAAAGGTTTCCACGCCGCCACAGGCAGTCGGAACACATGGAAGAAATGCAGTTTGCCGGAGTCGCATCCGAGCCAAGTTGCCCAAGTTCTTGGGGTTGCCGCGGTAGTTGCCGAAGTTCTCAAGTTGTGCTGATGTCGTTGTGTCAGCAGAAATGCTCACTGAGACTAAATTATTGAATTCGACAAGAGGCATCTGAACAACAAAGACAGTGCCCACAAAGAAGATCTGCCTGCGGAATAAAATTTGGCGTGAGTGGTACACACAGACGTTGTCTTCATTTGCTCGTTATTTCATTATTGCCTTCTCGTATCGCCCAGAAAATGTTGGACATTTTCTCTGCACTGCGGTTTAGCGTTAACGGCAAAAGGAAGTGTACAAAACTAGTTTTTCGAACACTGCTCGAGTCAGGGGCAGTCTGCTCTGGTATCCGCGGGAGACCGGAGATGCGGCGGGTGGCAACAAATGTGAACGGCATGGTCTTTTTCCACTCAGTAAATTGGGTCGGCAGCAAAACCGCAGGAGTTTGAATGGGCCTTCAGACAAAAAACACTTTGCCCAAAATCAGATGGTGAACCAGAAAAATGGCGGATGGCTCAGTTTTAGCCCCTCAGAGGTCCCCACTGTTATGTGCACAGAGTTTCCACTGCCTGTGATGGTATTAGGGATTGTGAGCCACGAGGGTCGGGTCATAACACCCTATTTCTTCCCTCAAGGCCTTAGAGTCAATGCCACTGCACGTGTAAAGGTGCTGGAGACAATGGTGAAGCCTTGGATTAAGGATGCCACCCAGGGGCAGTCGTGCATCTTCCGGTAAGACTTCGCTCCTCCACATGTAGCTTTTTGCAGCGACAGCTGTCAAGGGCTCTTCCCACCGCTAAAAACGACGCCCATCGTCGTTGTAATTGTCGTAGTAAAGCGTGGGGCATACGTCATCGACGTCGTCAAATGCTCGAAAAAGATTGCCCGTCACAGCGGCGTTCTTGGGATCTGATCCCGGGTTCGCTGCGCGAGACGTGGGTTCGTTACAACAGAGCTAAACCACAGTTTTGAGAATTCCTTGATCGGCATGAGACAAATGTGGTGCATACGAGCCTCGTGTAGTGCCTGCCAGATGGCCACGGTTGCCGCGATGCCGCAATAAAAGGTTCGTTGTCATCCTTAATTCATTACAAATTTAATCGTAGTTGACAAACTTGGAAGCTTCAGCTAGGTGGTGTAAGCCACCACCCTACTAAAGGGTTCGGCCGTATTTATCCATCCATCCATCCATCTATCGTCGCATCGTGCCACTCGTTACGTCGTATCCCACCACCTTTGATGTCATGCCATACCACCCGACCGGATACCAACTAAAAAGCAAGGCCCAAGCCTTTCCCCCTCCCTTGGACATCGTCATCAGATGATCCACTCAGCACCAATTAGCTTGCATCGGTGACAGTGGCGGCGCGTCTCACAGTGTCTCGCAACGAGCGCGCCGCTAGCACACGGCAACACCGAGGCTAACACATCTGCCACTTTGCAGCGACTCTTGCAAAGCTTCGGCATGCTTGCCGTTTGGAGCAGGGAGCATCCACTAACGATGACGTCATCAAGAGACTTCGCGGTCAAGATCCACAGAGCGTGAACGCGGCACCGATGATCAATGACTTCGCCGTGACGTGTCGCAGCTAACGCCGTGACTGTACTGTAGATTCACACAGGAATGCTTATTTTAATCATTAAATTAATAATAATAATATTGTTAATATTATTCTCTATTGGATGAAAAAAAACAATACAAGGTTTTTGGGTTTTTTTTACGCAAGAGTGCTTTGCTGAAAGTGTCCACAACAACATCATGCTTACCATGTGACCTCCACACTCCCTGACTTGAACCGGCTGGACTATTATGTGTGGGGCTTCTTAATACGAAAGCATTAACTGTCCGCCGTAGTGAACCAACGTCATCAGCTTTTGAAGCCGTGCCAAATGACACCTTCCCCTGTCCCAATGGAGCGAAGCCTCTCGTCTGTAGCAGAAATCTGATGGAAAGGCCCCCATTGGCTGGTACGCATCATAGTTTCAAGGAACGAGGCTCCCATTGGCTCTCGTGTGGCGTAGTTCCAAGGAACGCCACCAGAGAAGCCCTTTCCGTGGCGCCGCAGCGCACGCAGAGCCAATGCAGGGCCCACACAGGGCAAACTCCAGAGAGGTTGCACAGCCGAGCTGAGCGTGGCGCAGCCACTTCATGAGAACGCGCGCTCAGTCATTGGCCGCTACCTCGGCAGTAGCGAAACGTGGCCGTCCAAGCCAGTACGCCGCAGACAAACTGAGGGAGCGGAAGAATGACATTCATACTTTCGCATTCACAACTCGACAGAAGTGCTTAGGTGTCCTCGGACCTTTTTGAAAGGGAGAGCAGCAACCAGTCTTAAAACACCTAAGGCTCGTTGAAGGCTGCCGTTGCGTATGTGATGGCCAACGCCAACCAGGACCACCTCATCGAGGCATGCGGACGCTTTCGAAGCCGTATCGAGGCTGTCGTTGATGCTAACGATGGCTCTTTGGAACGAGTTCAAAGAGCATAGATTTGGAGACCCGTGTATTGAATTTCATGCAGAACCGGGAGGACCTTTAATGTCCAGCAGGAATCAAGGCTTGGCGGAAAAGAGTAGCAAAGGATCAGCAGTGCAATCTTGGAATGTAAATAATGCGTTTCCTTCGACTCCGAGCAGTCGCGGATGCTCAGTTAGACTCGGACGGTACTCCGGCCAATAACGTCGATAAGGAGCCAATACTGCTACCGCCTGTTCTCCAAGAGGCAGGCTGCGCAACCGTCGGCGTCCAGAATCAGTTTGCATACTGTGGACATGTGCGCTGTATTCACTGCTGGTATTGCAGTGGGTGCGGAGGGTTTTCTTTGGGAGAGATTTGTTTCTGCTTGATGCCACCGTATTCCTGCAGCCTGTTGTTTTCCGAGAACGAAACTTGTTTTGCGTTCAAGGCGATGGCGCTACGCACTCTGAAACACACTGTGACGGCATGTGGGTAGAGTGACTCTTAAGACTTTTGGAGGTGATGTTGATCTAAAACCCGGGCACCACGTAGTCGAAGTGCCCTTTGGCGATATCCGTCAGACTCGTGGGATCCAGGTGGAGGAGTGACTCCAAGACTCTCAGCAGTTACGTTCCTCTGAAACCTGACCTAGCCTCAAAGAAAGTGTCCACACCGTTGTGAGACCTCGATCAAGCCGTAGAGAGTGGAAGACACGTTTTTCTAGCTCCGGTAAGCTAGCCAGCTCAAATATTTGGTGAAGGCAGCAGGTTTGAGCTTGTGATCTGTGACCCTGTTGTCTTCCCCCATGAAGAGCCAGATGGCGGCTATTTTGCGTGGGAATTTTCGGCTTCCTCGCTCGCAGATGCGCATGCATAGCGGTTGCTTCTATCCACCATGCATGATTCTGAACGTAGGCCAGCTGCAGATCTTTATATGTTTTGGCCACCTATAGTCAATGGACTCTTCCAGTGACTGTAAAGCAGGGTAATGTAGGCAACTTCCGTTTTTGCCGCCTGCTGAAAGGATTGAGAACTCTGCATTTTTCCTGGAAGCATTCTCCTTGGTGTCCACTGTAAGCGAACACAATTAGTTTGCTTTGCATGGAGGGGCCCCTTTTATGACTTGTCCTTCCGGCCTCCTTTGTCGGCAGTCGAGGCTCCATGGTATCCGTCTAGTGATTGTTCGTTCAGTCCACTGCACCCTTGGAGCGGCTTCTGTAACCTTTAATGAGCTGGTCTTCTTTTTGGAGGTTTTTGATTTGTCGTTTGCTCCTGCCTGCTTCTGCCGCCTTCGCAGAACAGCTGGCAAGCGCGGCAGCGTGCGCCCCCTGCACCGGCTTTTTTTTTTTGGTAAAGCTGTGGTTGCGATTTTTCTTTCTGGCGTATTGTTTGCTGGCATTACGATTTCACATGTCTGCTGCGGGGTTGTCCATCCATATCCCCCACCCCCTCCTCCACCAGCCCAGTGCAGCCGAGATGGCGCTGGTCTCTGCTGGAAGGCACTTGTTGTTACCCTTCCGGTGCTGCCGCTTCTGCGACCGCTTCACCACCCTCTGGTCCGGGCCAGCGATGACACCTGCATCCCCCTACATCTGCATAGTGCCGATGTTTCCTGCACAGTGATATGGCTGTGACTCTCAGCCATTTGACTTTTTGATTCTTCGGTCCTGCATGAAAGCTGTTGCCGGGGGGGGGTTACATAAAGAGCAGAGCTATATTTTAATGAGAGCAGGTGGGCCTTTATTTTTTCTTGAGACCCACCTACCGTTTTAAGGACGGGGGATCTGGGGATTCCTGTGATCTCCCTTCCCCGATCCCGGGTCGGAACGCCCAGCCGCATTCGCCATGAATTCTGACCTGTTTGCGAGGTGTAGGGGGCCCTTCCTTGGGGGCTTTTTCCCTCCCGCCTTCTTCCGAGGGATCGTCTTTCATTCCCCCCCTCGGATGCAGCTCACAACCAACAGGCGAGAAGGTTTCGCCTCGTCTTTTCCCACTTTCGGGAAGGGGACTCATCCGGTGGACGCGAGAGTGGACGGATGTGTATGTTGGCAGCTCCTCCAACGCTTTCCCACAGTGGCGTCACTAGGGTCAGTGGCACTCAAGCCAGTGGCCCGCGGCGACACCCCCCCCCCCTCCCTCCCCCCTCCGCTCGTCCCCCGCTGCGACTCCACCCCCTCCTCTTTTGGCCCACCGCGACACCCCCCGGGGCGCTGCACCTGGCGCAATCCGCCCGCCCGCACGCCCCCCCCCCCCCCCCCCCCCCCCCCCGCACCCCTGTTGTGACACCACTGCTTTCCCGTCCTTTGGCTCTGGTACCCCATGCCTGGCAGGTTAAAGGGGCCCTGCAAGGACGTTTTTACTAGTTTTTAATTTGCACCGAACCTGAGCGCACTGAACGGAGTAACTATTTAGTTACTCTCTCCGTGCCCGCTGGCTTGCCCGAATCCCAAGAGACGTGCAAACCGCAAAAAAGGTAGACGTTTAAATATGATTGCAGGGCCCCTTTAAGACTATTTCTGACTTAGCCGGCGCAGGGGGCATTTTGGATGGGGCATTGTGGTGCTTTTAAGAGTTTTAATAAATGTTCTTGGACTCTGTCCTTACTCAACATGTGTTTTCTTTCTCCTCCGCTATATTCGACAGAGTGAGACAAAGTAGCGATCATTGGCACCGACGGAGGTGTTGTATCGAAACAACCCGCGGTAACATAGTCTAGGCGTCACCAACACTGCCTCGGATGTGTGGGGACCGCGCTGCTAGGTTTGACGTCTCCTTTGAGGTCACTGTCACTGTTGAGATAACCTTCTGGTTACCCCATCGGTACCTCTGCTAGTAGTTGACAATCCTACAAAGTATAAGCACACTGCCATACAGTGAGAGCGCATAGCTTTGACACGGGTCAGCAGCGGGCCAAGGTTGTTGCATCATAAAACTACCTTGAAGAAAAAAGAATTGAGTGGACAAGAGCCATTCAAGGTGGAAAGCCTCACACCGCTGACAACCAAGTCTTCTTTACCATATAAGTTTTGGAATCTAGACCTTTGTCAGCTTGGAAACCAAACAAAATGTTGCAAACTTTCCTAACAGCAAATGAAGCAGAGCCTCAAAAACAGTATACACCAAATACTCAGAAACCGAAAAGGATGTAGACAGCAAATTAGAAGCCAGAAGAACACTACACTTCGTAATAAGGAGAGTATGAGAAATGTCATGCATGATCATTGTTATGTAGTAGAAGTTGTGGCTCTGTTGTAGTGCTTGCCAAGCATTTGTCATTATCTTTGAAAGCGCAATGAAACATACTTCCTTAAGGCCAGTACACACACTTGTAACCGTGTAGGACCGGCTGAGACAAGACTGGCTTTTAAGCATCTTGCGACGGCTTGGGTCCTGCTCCGCAGCAGCGCATCCGACCCTAAGCCGTCGCAAAAGGCCTTGAGTTGTAAGATTCAGGCAATCAAAATAAACGTAGGTAATACCGGTTGTGCAAGCTATTTTATTACGAGTAAACCATTCAATAAAATGGCATTCCATGAAACAGCATTCTACAAAAAGGCTTCAATGAGACGCTTCGATGAAACGCCATTTGGCGAGGCGGCATTCAATGAAATGTCCGGTCCCACTGGGAGAAATTCGTGGCAAGCTCTGGCAATGACGTCAACATGTCTCTGGCTAGATGCGCATCCAATAACGCTCCACATAGGAAAGTGTCATTCCAGCGGCCTGGCTCGACTGACAAGCTATCTGCAGATCGGTCATTCTACAAACGCCCTTTGCTCGCGTCCGACTCGCCGGTTTCTCACCATTCGCCCACCGGGGGAAAGCAAAAAGCCGCGTTCCGCAATTTCTTTGCACATCGGTGTTTGCTTGCAGTTCTTCCAATACCCGACGGAGGCTCTCGTCGATCGCGGGGTTAGCGTTGGCGAACGTTCGAAAAGACTCTACTCACCTTGGACCGCGCCTTCTGGAAAACGTGGTTTTCCATCTCCGTAGCACTCCGGATGGTCGGGTTGGATGCCTGGCGGATCGCCTCTTCGCTGCGCAAGAGAACACCCCCCTCGTTAGCGCGGGCACGACGGGGCACGCATGCAGCGGGCCGGACAAGTCCGAGCGTCGCCGAAGAGCATCCGTGCTGCTGCCGGTGTCGGCAGCACGGGCCGGCGCGCCCGAGCCCGGCTGACAGCGGGGCTGGGGCCGCTTTTTCTTGTTTACAGCGGACCGCCGAGCCGCTGCTGGCTACGGCGCCCAGAGCGGTCTAGACGCGTTGCCCGGCTGCCTTTAACGTTAGCTCCGATCTGAACCGAATGCAGGCTCGGATCATTTAAATGTAGTGTGCGCAAAACCTACTCACATCTTGCCCCTGACATTTTGTCGGAAGGGTTGAGTGCGCCAACTCTGATCTGCTTGTGAACCATCCGCCATTGTGCTCGCGTCGGTGTTTGCGTACTTTGCTCTTTGCCTTTCTCTCGTCAGCGTCAGCAGGGTCAGCAGCGTCAGCGTCAGTGGCGTCAACTAGCGTCAGCCACTGACAACGTTAGCCACTGATCTCCGTTTCCTCTCAGTAGCTCGTCGTTTTCGGTCAGTGTTTTCGGTTGGTTGCGTTGGTTGGGTTGTGTGGGTCATGAGGGTTGCTGGATTGGTGGGGTTGGTTGGGTTGGTGGAAGGGATGAATGGATCATACTAGTGATACGTCTGTAATAGGCGGCAATTTGCGCCATCTAGTTTGTAATTTTCACATACCCTGACGAGTTGACCCAACGAGGTTGAGTTGACCCTACCTCCAATGTTCTACCTCTACTGTGAAAAGAAATATGAGAAAACTTTATCCGGAAAATGTTTTCAATAAATTTAGCAAGGATTTTTTTTTTTCTACGAAGCCCGCGATTGTTTACAGCCGGCATCTGCCATTCAGCACCAGCAGAGTGAGAGCCCACGGGGCAAAGGGTAAACGATAATCCCCCACATTGCGTGCCGACGGCTTCGATATGCGCTGCGTCATGCATGACGCAGCAAAGAGCTTGATACTTCGCAGTAAAAGCACACCTCGGTGATATGTAATCACGTTCCGATTAACCCGCCAGGGCCGTGGCTTCCTGGTCTACCCAGTATTTCTTGTTTCAGACATTAGGCTAAGCGGCGCAACCCACGCAACCAGAGTAGTAGCTCACATTTGAACAATGCAGCCGCCACTCCCAGGCGCATCGAATATTTCTTGCTTCAGTCGCTAGATAGCGCCAAATCAAACAGCATTGCATGTTGCCTTTTTAGCCCTTCATCCCGCTTCCCATTGCATCTAGGGATATTGCCAACCCTCCAAGATCCAAACGATTTTTGCAAACTTTGTATACACTGTTTTCAACTGCAAAACCGTGGCTGGGCATTTTAAAAATAGTAAATCTAGTCAGAGAAAAAAAAAATTAAAATACATTGGAGGGGAAGCGGGGGAGGGGGCGTGCAGGCAGCTTCACATTTTATGTATTTAAACATATTGAGTATGCAAGAATAAAGCTTCTAAGACTACTCTCAAACCATGCTTGTACACAAATTACAATGGAACAAAATCATGAAAATAGCAACCACTATTTCCTTGTGACCAATCCAGCATTTCCAGTATTGCTGATCTACTTGCACTCAGTAGTGAACATGGGTTACCGGACCTTTGGCAACAAAGCTAAATTATATTAGCTACACCAAGCTCTCGTGATCTATATCACAGCTCTCCAAGCATCTATGTCGCACCCCCTGTGACCTCGTCCTTCCCAAGTTCACATAAAACGATGCACTCTTTACATACAAGCCCACATATGCCCATACCAGGTGTGGGCACTGAACATGTGCAGAAACGAGACTCACAAAGCATCTGTGCAAGCGCTGTGCCGACAGTAACGCCACTGCAGCAGGCTTGACGTCAGAGTCGTGCGTCGGTGTATAAAGAAGCTTTCTTCCCTGACCAGCACAAAGAGAGGAAGGGGAAGAGAACCAAGCACTTTCAGACCCAAATTTCTGAGAGGTGGATCCAAGAAAATTGCATAGAAGGCAATGCTGAAAACGCTATCAGTGAAGAATGCCAAAACAAGACAGGTGATAGAGACATCCATTTATTTCAGCACTTGACAATGAAAATATATTCTACAGAGACGTTGCGGCTCGTCTACGGAAAGGGCCCACTTTATGCGCCCTTCTGGGCCCTCTTGAGGGCCTCCTTCTCCTTCTTCTTCTCCGACTTCTCCAGGTCTGCCCTCTCGTCGGGCGTCAAGTTGTTCAGCACCTTAGTGACGACCCCGGTGCCTGAGGTGCGGCTGCCGTCGCGAAGCGTGAAGCGCTGGCCCTGCTCCAGCGCCATGGGCTTGAAGAGTTTGACAATCAGCTTGCAGTCCTCACCCGGCATGACCATGTCGCGGCCCTCGACGGTGATCCTGGCCGGGCAGTCCCAGGTGGTCGAGAACACTATGGGCTGGTAGCGCTTGAGGATGGGCCTCTCCCGGCCGCCCTCCTCCTTCTTCAGCACGTACACCTGAGCCTCATACTGGTCGTGCTGCTTGATGGTGCCGGGCTTGCAGAGCACCATGCCCCGGCGCACTTCGTCCCGCTTGATGCCACGGATGAGGGCCCCCAGCTGGTCTCCTGCCTGGGCCTCCTCCAAGATCTTGTGAAACATCTCGATGCCGGTCACTGTCGTCTTGAAGAACTTGTTGTAGCCCACGATCTCGCACTCCATGCCCTTTTTGACGATGCCGCGGTCGAGCCGGCCTGTCACCACGGTGCCGCGTCCCGGGATCGAGTAAACGCTCTCGATGGGCATCAGGAACGGCTTGTCCAGGTCGCGCTGGGGAGTCGGGATGTGGCTGTCCACGGTGTCCAGCAGCTTAAGGATCGAGTCCTTGCCGAGGTCGGGCTCCCTGCCCTCCAGCGCGCAGAGGGCCGAGCCCGTAACGATGGGCACCTCGTCGCCCTTGTAGCCGTGCTCGGTGAGCAGCTCGCGCAACTCGATCTCGACCAGCTCGAGCATCTCCTTGTCCGCCGCGTCCGCCTTGTTCAGGTACACCACGATGTGCTCGATGCCGATCTGCTTGGCGAGCAGCAGGTGCTCCCTGGTCTGCGGCATGGCGCCGTCCGTGGCCGCAACCACCAAGATGGCGCCGTCCATCTGAGACGTGCCCGTGATCATGTTTTTGATGTAGTCGGCGTGGCCCGGGCAGTCCGTGTGGCCGTAGTGCCGGTTGGCTGTCGAGTACTCCACGTGCGCGACGTTGATGGTGATTCCTCGCGCCTGTTCCTCGGGCGCGTTGTCGATCTCCTCATACTTCTTGGCCGCAGCCAGCTTCTCCTCTGCGAGGACCTTGGTGATTGCGGCGGTGAGCGTCGTCTTGCCGTGGTCTACGTGGCCGATGGTGCCGATATTGCAGTGCGGCTTCTCCCGCTGGTACACCTTCTTGGCAGCGGGGCTCGGGGTCGCCAGACAGCGCCGGGGCAGCACCACCCAGAGCCGGCACGCCGCCGCCGCTGCCGAGGGCACGGCGACCAGCGGCTTCGAAGCCACCGCCTTGAGCGGCCCGCTGCCGCTGCACAAAAACCGCCCGAGGAGCGTGCTCGTCATCGCGACCGGCGCCTTGCTGAGCTCGAACGGGGCCTGATTATTTGCCAAGAAACGTGTAATACGCAGAACAGAGTTCACCTCACAGCGGTTCACCTTCCGCAGGGACCACGCTACTCGGCCATAACAAATTTTCTGCAAAGCGGAAGCGGAAACGGAGTATGGGGGAAGAACAAAACTTTTATTAGCGATACAAAATAAGCTTGCTTAAAAAACTATGCAGAAAAGTTGTTTTTAATTCATTTTTTTAAACATGTCTTTATAAGTCATAGACAAACCACCTTTAACTTTTTTTTTTGTCGCTAGTTTGAGGTAATTTTCTAAAATTGTTAGCAACTACATTCATAATAATAGAAAATGGCCTCCTCCGACAGTTCGCCGGCCCCGCCGGCAAATGTGCGAGATATTAATTTTTCGGAGCTAATGACCGCGCTCATAGGTCCAAACAAGCGGATCAGAGAAAATATAATATTTCCCGTGGGTCTGTTTCCGCACAAAGTGAAAACGAGGGACGAGTTGCGCGTCGAAGCCGCGTTCGAGAGCTGTGCCTTCAAGACTGGCCTGAGCTGCATTTTGGGTGAGCTTGTTGGAGATCCCGTAGGCAAACTTGGTTTCGTCCCAACGTCACTTGCAGCACCGCTTTCGACAGGCTCTCCGCTACCACTCAGGCGGGCTTGTAGACAGTTGGGACACGAAAGTTTCTGCATATAATGTACACGAGTCGAACTTGAGCAGCGTCTGTGTGATGGATCGGTAGCTATGCCCGTGGATCACTTTCTGTGGCCTTTTCGACGAGGAGTGCGTGTGCACAGCTTTCGTTCATGCACGGGCCCGGTACCTTTTATTGCATAACCACAGAAAGTTTCCCCCGAGTAATGGAGTCCCATTCATTAACACGGTTGTATTTGACAAAGTTACGTCGAAATACGACCGCTAACGACAAACATTCCCTCATCGTATGTCGCATGAAAGTGATACAGCATGTCCTGGGGAAGAAGGGGGGGTCGGCTCTAAATTTTTATATGTCGGCGATGTGAGGATCTAAAAGTTGCAAGAAAATATTTTCGAATCGTAGGACTGCTACTGTGATAAAACAGAACCTGGGTCTTGTACCCCTGATGAGATGTCTTCCATAAGCCCCCTTGGCGCCTCTCACCAACGTGCGCGTCTAGTTTCACCTCTTTGCACCGGAGTGTTAGGTGCAGCGGCTGACATGGCTAAGCACCTGGGCAGCGCGATAGGCTCAGTAATTATATTCTCAGTCCTATTCAAGTTCTACTTATTTTTCCCCCTTTTTTTTGTAATAGTGTGATTTGCAATTTTAAAGATATACGTCGAGAAAAAAAAAAGTAGAATGGGGGTTTATATTTGAATAAATGGTATCCAAGGTTGTTCCTGTGCAGCTCGATCGAAACAACAGCGAATTTTGACTTCACTTTGTTTCAAGGGCAGACTTACCAATAGGCAGTGGGCAGGTGCCTAGGGTAGCAGAATTTTAAGGGCAGCCAATTTGTGGCCACCCCAAATTAATAGACCCTTTCCGAAATTCAGTCTGGCCACTTTGATAACCATCATCACCTATGTTTATCATCTCTACATACGAATGGCGGCCTTTGGTGAATGCGGAAGAAAAGATTCGAAGACAGACACTTATGCGGAGCTTGAACAATCCAAACACTAGTTTGTTGCCACAGTGACGAGACTTATATGCTTCTGTGCACTACGCATTTGAGGGTGTCGTATAAATCTCTGGAACGCTCGGTTTCGCCATGCCCCGACTGCTCGTGCTCATGACAATAACATGTAGCAATTGTTATGAGGGGTTTAATTAAACTTAGCACCTCGTACAAAGTGGTAGCTTGTTGACACCATCGAAAACTAAACAAATAGAGAAAACCATGTACAGCGAAGAACAAAATAAATTTTCGTACTTCTGCCGTTGATAAATGGTTGCTAAGTCTCAACCGCCATTAGCATACAAAAATGTGGACTCATATTTGGGCCACTAGATGTTTTTTCTGGCTCTCAATAAGGCCATTTCTGCATAAAAAGGAGATTTTGTCATTTAATTAGCGATTACCATTACCAAATGCTGCCTAAAGAGGGGAGGATGGCGAACGCTTTTCATTGGCTGATGGTATGTTAAAAGAAAATACACGCCAAAAGTAATACAAATAATACAAACTGAGAATGCAGGCTCAAATCATCGTGGCACTACTAACACCTGGCACCTCTAACAGTGCATTGAAATATACAATACCAATACAGCAGCAAGCAGTTGATACCTATCAAAGTCTTCTTGAAATACATTTTGTTTTTGACCAATTACATCTAAGAAGAAAACGAAATTAGGCCCCTTGTGGGTTGGCATCATTGCCTTGCATATCTCGAGACACTTAGCAAGTCTAAGAAAGGGAGATGAATTTACAGCACACTTGAGATGGGAGGTGCTGAAATTGCCGAGGTCGGGGTTTATATAAATGTTACTTCGTTTTATATGTTGCTTTTTTTATTTTTGAAAAACCAGAGACGATGGACGAAAAAGGAGACAATCACAAAACATCTCAATTTGAGTGGGACGTTTTGTGTTTGTCCGTCGCCTCCGATTTTTCAAAAATGTGTAACATAAACCAGCTCGCCTGTGTACTCACTCTATCTTGTTCTTCTTATTTGGAGCCATTTCCCATGCTTTATCACCATTTTTGGGCAGTTCATTTCATTTATCCCAGAAGAATCATCAAAGGCAAGTGCCAAGTTATACTCATGCATCATGGCATAAAATTAAATATGGTGCCAACATTTACACAGAAAAAAGCTGCATAGTACAACATCGGCAAGTGATTTAATTGCAGAAAATGCTGCATGCATGCTCATAAAAAAACACAATCTCAATCTGAACATCACACACAAGAAGGCAATTTTTTTGTGCTTGTTTTTTCCTCATTGACAGGAAACAACTTTAGGAGACTAAGCAGAGTGACCATGAGGGAGCAGCTTGTACTGTTCGCTACAGCTCAGAATGTTAGCAAAAAAGGGCTTCAGAGTTTTGCCTGCAGCTTTGAGGTGAAGTGGTGTGTGGGACACATTTGTTTGCCAACTTCACCCTTATGCGCGCTAACCTTTGATGAGGCTTTTATTCATTTGGGTAATGCGGACGCTTTCCTGGGATGTAGCCAGTAAAATTCAGCCAGACGTCGTGCTAAGTGATCCTACAGGGGGTGTTTGTTAGCGTGCATCTGCAACATTTATACCGGGGTAGCGCCCACCCACTTTCAGTGAACTCTGGGTTAATTTAGACATGGACACTTGTCCGGTCAAATTGGGCGCTTAACATATAATTTGCAGAATTCCCAAGTTCGGGATATGTTAATAGTGGGCGCTTAAACGAAGTGGGCGCTTCTGCAATATTTTATGGTAGTTGTTGAATTATTAAAAAGTAATGTACGACGTTTTCCGACACCTTTTTTTTTTTCTACTGGATTTCAGTGCTACCAGTCACTTTTGATAGGTACCATTTTTAAGAATGTTCAAATGCAAGTGGGGAGTCGGAAATGCAGCGTGCATCCTGGCATCAACGCTTTTTCTGCAGGTTTAACGTTTCAATTTTGTTTCGTTGAATTGGTGGGAGCTCCTGTAAAAAGGTTTCTTTGCTGTCACCAGATCTAGCATAATAAAACGTGCTATCATCTTGACTGTACTCACATGCACCTTGCTTTGTATTGTGCCATACACTTTTTACGACTCCTTGGAGTTTGCTATTCGTAACTCCAGCGACTTATAGAAGTCGCCACTCTCAGACAAACGTGGCAGTCAAAAACGGGTCACGCACGCCACATGCAACGCGTGCATGCCACGTACAACACTGTGGTTTCAGCAGGCAGGTATTGGACTCAAAATTGTTTGCCCCGACTTTTATTCACCATGTTCTAAACCACTGATGATGTGTTGGCATAAGGGAGCTTCCAGAAGCTTGGCCTTCTTTGGGGAAGTGATGAAAGGACTACCTGTTTTATCGGGCCGATGAACGTCGATAAACGCACGTCTGGTTCACATTGTTGTATAAGTTGCGCTCCGAGCGACCTAGGCAACCCTCTAATATGACAGTAACAATGCAACACAAGAAGCAATGCAAGGGTACACCTGGTTACTTAATTATGGGTCATGGTTTTCCTTGCAACCCTTTCAGTGCTGCCGTTTTCATTGCTTTGGACACATCCAATGACACTTCTCTCTCTTTACTTCGGCGGCTATCGCACCAGCAGCCGGCAGCATGCATTTGCGGAAGTGGCAGGACACGAGCAGAAATTGCAAAAGGACCTGTTCCGATCTGTTTTGGGTTTTCGCACTAGGTGCCAACTGTTTTGCTAAAGTTGTGAATACCAATGCTTCCATCCAAGTTAAAGAACCATTGTGTAGGCCCAATGAATGTAACCCACTTTAAACGGACCTCAAAAAAGCAGTTTCTTGACTTATCACCCTGTGACGTACAGAGAGTAAACAAGCTTTTTCCCTACCTGTGGTTGGTGCAACACCTGACAGATGGCTGTAGAAGTGTCCTCGCAACATTCTTTTTGCAGAGGCTTTGCCTTGCCAAAACTAGACAATATTTTCAAGTCAAAATGTTATGCAGCTTGTCAGTGCACGAGTTTGTCATTCTTATGAATTAAGTTCGTTGAAGGGATGCAGTACCAACAGGAAAATGGTTTATCACATTATTTTGTCTATGCAGACACCCTTTATGAACTATATTTTAAAAAAAGCAATGGACACTGTTGTCTTGTCATGGCAATGATGTTCGTTTCTGCTGGATCTTTCACCAATGTAACCTGTGACTAAAGTAACAGCCTGAAAGTGCAGCAGGAGGAAAGCTGAGGTGAGGGTGATGCATTTTACACTTCACTCTGCTTGTACGTCCCACAACAAGTTTGGCAACTGGTTAATTGACATTTCTCACTTACCCTCAAAGGAGTTCTTACCGAATGTTTGCAGAAGTGATGACGAAGAAACATTGCAGATGAATTTGGACTTTTCCATTTGTATAAATAATCAAATTCGGAAGATCTCCGTTTTATTTCGGTAAAATTAATCAAACCTTTTTATATTCATCTGCAGACATTGGTCCTATAAGGAATGAAGCTGCAATTTAGCCAAAAGATGCAGTTTGACGGTGGGTCTGTGGTGTGAAAATATTCACAAAATTTTACCCCAATAAAGAATTGCTAACAAAAACAACTTTTTTAACAGTCAAGTCACTTTCATGTGAAAGTGGAAAAGCTTGCTGGACCATTGGTGCTCTTCATTTGGCAACACAAAAAATGAGACCAAAATGGAAATGATTGTCTTTGCTCGCCTCTCAACCAGTTGTTTTGCCTTTGGAGGCTCTGCCTTCAACGTTTTCACAAAATAATTGCGCTATAGTCGGTGACAGGTTAAGAGTTCAGGGGAACCTCCTCCCACCTCTTCGTACCTTAGAAGAGTGGATAATGGAGAGGAGGTTGCCTGCTCTCCATTATCATAAAGAGGTGATGAGATGCAATGGACTAATAAAGTGTCAGTTACAACTTCAGATGCACCGTCCATTAGGAATTAAATTCCAAGGAACTTCTTAAGCTTCGGAATAAAACATAATAGCAAACGAAGTGCAGTTCCATATTTCTTTTTTAATGAACAGCTCTGATAGCCACTGGAGAAACTTTCTAAAGGCCTCTTTTCAATATGACTCGTATCGAAACAGTCTTTCTTTAGGAACGCTAAACTAGAAGAGATATTCAAAAACTGAAACCTCTCAAAACCAAACCAAAACCAATTTCATACACATTTCGGCAGCTGCAACGGAGCGGTCATTTGTTTCGGTCCGCGGCCTACCCGCAGGTGGGGCGTTTGGGGCAGCCATCGGTCTCTTCTCGGCGAGCGTAGACCCCAACGTGACGGGCGGCGGCGTGGACCCGTCCAAGATGACCGTGCGCCAAGTCTTTGCCGACATGAAGGCCAAATCCACCTCCTACGCCAAGAACTTCGCAATCGTCGGAGCCATGTTTGCCGCCATCGAGTGCGCCATCGAATCGGTGAGCAGCTGCAGTGGCAAACAGTTTGTCGAACAATGTTTTATTGATAGATCACTTTGTTGACGTACAACATTTCATCAACAGATTGTTTCGTTGGCATACGTTTCATCAACAGATCATTTCGTTGACATACGAAGTTTCATCGACAGTTTGTTTCATTGAAAGGCTTCCCACAATTGTTTCATCAACGGACCTTGTAATGTTTCGTCGAACGTTTTCAAAACAAATGTTTTGCCCCTGTTGTACTGGGGGAGAGAGAGGAGCGAGTCCAGAGGCTTAGGTGAATGCACCTCAGTGAGTCATGCACTAGCCTTTGGTGGCTTCCAGATTTCATTATCCGCTTAGTAGAAAAAAATTATATTGTTGACGAAACGTTGCAGGAGCCTGTGTCCACGAAACGAGTTTTCATGAAATGCCAGTGTTAACGAAACGTGTCCATGAAAAGTTGTCCCTAGATTGTGTTCCCACAAAACGTGTTCCCACGGAACGTGTTTCACAAAACGATATGGACTCGAGCGGCCAACATGCCGGGAAGCCCGACCCCTACTCACTGTGCTGTGTTTTGGCATTTGCAGCACCGCGCCAAGACCGACTGGAAGAATGGCACGCTGGCGGGAGGGCTGACTGGAGGCCTCATAGGTTTCAGAGGTGAGCCGGCTGTGTGTGTGGGGGGCCACAGTGCAAGTGCACAGCTATACTCCACTCACCCTCAAGCAGAGACGTGCCCTCCGGACCAATCAGCCGCCTCCACTTCATCACCTGACCTGGCTCTCTGCGTGGGGGTATGGGCGGGAGCCCGATCACGTGGCAAAAGAGAGGCATACAATTGGTCCAGCGAGGACGTAGTTTCCACTGCAGTCTCGGCTTAAATGTGAACGGTGTACACCAGTGTCCGCCGATGGGGTTGGGAAAAGCAGTGAACGACCCAAAGTACGCCAACTTAGAAATAAGGTTACTGTAAGTAGATGATGATGACTTCGCACTTCACAGCTTAACCCTTTGACTGTCGAGCTTTTTGGTTTTTTTTCCTAAAAACTGTACTTCAGTGTTTGGACTTTTTGCGAAGTTTTTTTTTTAAATTAGTGGGAGCATGTACAGTGCTTGCAAGCTTGCAACTCGAAAAGTTGTCACCTTTCTTTTATTCGGTTTCATTTTGGCACGTACGCTTCCGCGATATTCCGGCAGCCTGAGATTCCTACCCAGAGGTACTTTACAGAGCACCTCCATCGAATGATGAGCTCTCATCCTCCGAATTTAATTCCAAAAAGCATTGGAAGTCTGAATCTTAAGAGCCAGTGCTCCCATTGGCACCACCAGAGCGGCCGGTATGCGGAGCGAGCGCCACATGCACGGAGTGTCCAAACTATAAGTAGCTCAGCAAAGTGGAACACCGTGCGAATATAACGTTTATAGTTTGCCAATGGCATAGCAAAAAGCAACACCTCCCACGGTGTGCGCAGTTTCGCGTTTAGGCAGGCACTTTCATGTGCGTAATCACTGCCGTACATGTACGGCAACGACCATCAAAGGGTTAATTAACCCATTGAAGACTAATTTTTTCTCCATAAAAAAACCCAGAAAACATTATTTAAAATCAACATTTTGTGCAATAATTAAATAAGTCACTCATTCGGCCTCCAGGTATTGTCTGTTCTCTGCACTATTAATCTCGGGCGATATGACGTGTTCATTTGGGTGTTTTTTCACCGTGCGGTTTTGTTGAAATGGTAATGGAGGGCACATGCGACGCTCGTGATTAGAACGAAAATAATCCATCGTAGTTGCGTTCCTTGCGGGTGACGTCTCCCTAATGCTGCGTGTCACAGGACTTGCTCGAAAGCACCGACAGCCTAAGAGAGACAAACCGATGGTCTAGACGCCGAATTTGAACGGATTGTCGCATCCGATGCCCATCTTGGTGGTTGCCTTCCGTTCTCGCGCGAGACGCTATTGGCCGAGTCGTTAGCAAATGGCGGGCCCCAGATATCTCTCCGCCGAAGTCCACGGGAAGCTCCTGATCACCTCTCGACTCAGTTAGACTAGCAAAACTGTAGGCGCCGTGGCCATGTTCCGAGCTGTGGGCAAGACAGGAGCGAGCTGGCCGCACGCTACTCGTTGCGTGGGTTCCGGTGTTGAAACAGCGGGATTGCTGAGTTGAGAGACGGGTTGCGGTGTAAACTCGCTTTTGAAATGAGAATTTTCTCAAGATTTTGTTTGCAGAACTAACCGCAGTCTCTGGCACAGCTTGCCACTACCCTGAAGAAAATACTTTTTTTTTTTTAAATTGACGCTGGCTTAAAATGCAACTGGCTCCATGCATTTTGTTTAGAAAAACAGGAATCGCTGCTCGTATCTGCTGTGTGAGGTTGCGGTTCTTGGATGGAAGAAACAGGAAGGCAAATGGAATGGAAATTTGCCGCGCAGCATCTCTTCAATATTGCGTTGCCTTGTCTTTTTTTTTTTTATCTCTTCATCAGTTTGATGTTTCCGTTCTCTTACCACAGTCTCGCACATAATTAATTGTGGTTATCCTCGGTAGCCCTGCGGGACTTGCAGCATGAGAAAAACATCAGTTAAGGTTCTGCTGTATCTCAATTGCACACTGTATCACCTTGGAGTGCATGGGAAAACTGCTGAAGCCTTAAAACAAATACTCAATCAAATAAACCTTGGTGATGATTAACTCGACAGCATTTTTTCCAAGGTGTTAAAAAAAAAAGTGAGCAGAGCTAGCCACGCGTTTTTGCTGCACATCTCTAGTGCCTCCTCCAGTGGCTCGAGGCATTGCATCGAACCAGAGCCGGCGCACTCCTCTAAGCGAATGAAGGATGTTTTGCATCTGTAGTCACGGGTATCTCTAGGTTTTCCATCAGACGCCTCTTAGCCTTTATTTTGGCCGCATTCGGGTCTATGGTGGAAGTGTACACAGGAACGTCCGCATCGTCAGGTGCATGCCAACTATTTCGAGCTCACTCCTGTAGAGATTGTGGTAGCTCTGGGAGGGCACCACCAGTTGACTCGTAGAGCACGTGCACGCAAGAAAATTCATTGTGCACAAAGTCAAAGCCGACCAATAAAGGGCAGCTAGCGGGAGATGCCAGAGACACGCGTTTGTTTTGCTTGGATTGAGAAGCACGTCATATGCGGGGCTCTCGAAGGCACATTCTTCTTTGCATCCCTGGCCAAGTTCCAACAGGAACCGGGCAGGTCATCGAGTGTCAGAGTTAAACACCCTAGATCCTGGGAAAGTAGTGCGATTGCCTTCCTGCTAGCTGGACACAGATACTAAAACACACACTACCAAAATCTCTCAATGCGATTAATTGAGCAACACCCGTTGCCATGGAAATCGCCACTTCGGTACCTGCATTAGTTGGAAGCTTTGCGGGGGGTCATTCTGAACTGGCCATGCCAAGATCCCGATAGTGCGTCATTATACCGAAGGTGTTGCTCGCCACTATCAGCGTCTCTGACACAGTGAATGCAATGGACTTGTGAATCTGGCTTATCTTCTCGGACCTCTTAGCGAAGTTCCTCTTTTTCGTGCATATTTCACGACAGGAAAATTATTTTTCGATGCCGCCGAGCACCGACACCGCACGTGCTGGTGGTGCAAAGATGCAAGCTTGTTTTTGCCGGTGCGTGAATGATGCAGTTGACTTCAACTTCAGACCTAACAAAATCTCAGTGTACAGGAAAGGTTTTATAAAGCAACCTGCCACCGCGAATTTCAATCGGCTGACCAAGGTCGAGGAGAAACTGCTCATTGCAACCATATGGGGACCTTCATACTATTTTCCCAGGATCAGGTGGCTTTAGGCCCAGTCGGCGACGAGCATCGCGGTAGCCGTGTGTAGCATCGAAACTGGGATGTTCTTCCCCGGTCACATGTTCTTCCCCGCGCACGTTGCTGCCGTGACGTGCAGTGCACCGGTCTTTTGCACATGCTTTCGGCGGCTCAGCCTTCGTAATAAGTGTGGCTGGCCGGCGATACACTTAGAATAAGTCGGTTCAAAATACACGCATTTCAATCTGAGTTACAAGTGATTTCGCTACAATATGAGGGATTACTGTACCTTGTTTCAACCTTAGGTAGTTGCAACGCGTCATACAGATGCACAGCTCTCTCTAACGCATGTTGTTCCGACAGCTGGACTCAAACCGGGACTCCTGGGAGCTGCTGGCTTTGCGGCTTTCTCCACCATCATAGACTACTACCTGCGGTAGCAGAGCCGCACGGCGCCCCCTGTACATAGCGCCGCAGGACGCAAACTAGGCACAAATAAAACAATTGTTCGCAGAAAGTGCAGTTTCACCGTACCACAGACACGAGGCAGCATTTTAAAAGCAACGTTTATTGGAAAAGGAAACTGCATGAAGTGGGCATGAGGGGCAAGGGTCATATCACAGCTTCTCTTCTCCCTCTCTGTCCCTCGGGCAGCAACTGTCCAACACCTCCCGGAAAACGGGGCTGCAGCGCGCGATTCTCTATGCCATCTGCGGGAAGATGGCTTGGGGTACGGACTTGGCACGAGTGCCGAGTCAGCATTCGGCCGAGGCCAGTGTTCGATCGGCAAGGGCACGGGTCCCGGCCGAACGCCAATGCAGCTCCGATTCGTGCCCCGCGCTGGCCTCCGCCGGTCGACGTAAAAAATGTTGCACTGCAGCCTAGTGATGCAGCTGCTTCGCACTGCGAAGCTACGGGATGGTGCAGTGCCTGCTTTCGCCGCACTTTCGAACATGGCACTGGGAAAAATGCAGACCGACGATGCACCTCGTACGCTCGGGGAAACGGAAGTGCGGCACAGCCATTGGTAGACTCTGCCTCGACAGTCTCCTGGCAGTACCGGTCCGCGTCTCGACGCCGGGTCGATGTTCCGGGCCTCATGGTGCGGCGGCGACCTGGGGAGCGGGAAGAGCGTTGGCGCCGGCGGAACCACGTGAGCGAAGCCAAAGGGAGCTTACCACCACGAGGTGTCCGTTCTTCCCCTTGAGGACCTCCGGGTTCGGTCCCAGGTTGAAATCTATCGTGCCCTGCTTGCCGCCGCACAGCCTGTGGTCCACGCTGCAGCCAAGGACACTCGCATTGAGCATCGTCATGAAATTCCCCTACAGCATCTCTGCTGGCCCCCAGAATAGTGTCATCGTAGGACGTGCTCCAAAATTTACTCTATCTCACTCCAGAGTAGGAGCTTTGTACCTTGACGTTGCCAAATCTACTGGCATCCGGTGTCACTATCTGTTTTCATGCAACGTAACCCGGATTTACTCGAGCAAGGTCTGGAACACGGCCATCGTCTCAGTTGCAGCTTCCACAGTCAGTTGCACCAATGCAGATAGCTTTTCATTCGGTTGGGCGGACACTCTTTGTCGGTTATTGGAAATTCATGCAGCATCACATGAGCGGTCCACCGTTACTTTACATACTGATTTTGCACTTTTTTTTTCACATTTCAAAACTTGTGGCACGAAAGATTAACACAAACAGAAAGAACACACCAAAGTGCAGCCACATGTTATTATTTTTTCTTTCTTTTGTGCTGCGTGTCTTCAAATGTGAACAACCAAATGTGTGCAAGCTTCCATCGAGGCTTCTTTTTTCATGCACCAGTGCCAAGTGGGCAATAGAGAACATGCAACATTCTTTTTGCTTGCTGAGATTTCTTGAGTGTAGTGAGCTTTCCTTCTCTTACAGTGGCTCAAACAAAAATTTAAAAAAATAATTACGTTTACTGCACTTTGATTTTGTTTGCCTAATTTCTGCACTCCAGCTGTGGAGAAAACATAGCTTTGCCTACAGGCTGGAGCCTCAGTGTGTGACTGCACCTTATCAATTTCTTACCCCTTTGAGAGAAAAAGAAAAAAAGGCAGCAAAGATGAGCAGTAGGACAATGGTAATGTGGGTGATGGCCCTGCAGAAAATAATTTTTTTTTTTAAATGTGTACAGCTACAACACACACCAGAGGCCAATATTTTCTCTGGCAAGTAAAATAGAAATTGGATATGTACTAGGTCCTGCAGGATCGCTTCAGTTGGATGAAATATCTTCCAGTCTGAGGATCCACTCGCTCTGAAGAATAATGGAACTTTACGACAGGCTACACTACTATCTCCACTGCTTCCTTTCCATAATGTACTTGAAGGAAATTAGATTAATGTTGTGCATTTTTGTTACCTAACCACCATCCCCACCAGGCACGTAGCCAGGATTTTGTTTCGGGAAGGGGGGGGGGGGGGGGGGGGGGGGTCGCCCATGACAAAATGCTTTATGAGGGGGAGGGGGGAGAGGAGGTCCCAGCAAAATGGAAGATTTCGGGGGGGGGGGGGGGGGGGGGGGGGCCGGGCCCTATGGGCTGCCCCCCTGGCTACGTGACTGATCCCCACTATCTTGCAGCATTTTGGAACAAAGAGAGCCAGATATGTGTAGAGTAAGGTCTTGTACCCATTGCATAGATCTTTCACGGACATAGTAAGAACGGCAGCAATTTACCAGTTGTTCTTGTCCACGGTGACAATATTCTTCTGGCCGTATGCCACGGTGATTTTGGAAAGTGCCTCGATTAGGTGTTGCCCCAAGTCCAGTATCAGGTCCCCCTGCAAAGCCAGTAGGACCGAAAACATTATTTATTTATTTCAAGATACTGCAACCCTCCAGAAAGGTAATTGCAGGACTGGAGAATAAGACTAGCACATACAATGAAGACAAAAGGAATATACATCCTGTGATAAAGGCAATGCTCGAAAAATGTGACAAATCCCAAAATTGTTGAGGGGTTCAACTTCAGACGTGTCTATAATTCTAACAAAAGCTAAATAGCAAAACAACTATTTCTACAATAACTTTTCGATATTCAAGAGATTAATATACACCATCAATGCTCTCTGATGTTCAATATAGTAGAATGTTGGAATTGCTAGGCACAAGAACACTATTGTCCAAGTGCACTTGAAGCATGTTCCTGGGGGATATTGTGGCTGTGCATGTACTTCTTGGGGGTAAATACATGGAGCATATTGCATTGCATATGGCTAATTGCTGGAAAAAGACAATAAACACGCACAAATTCATACATTTATCCCTCCGTCCCCAAAATCACTGGAACGAAAGCTCGCAGTGCACAGCTGCACAATTGTTCTTTTTATTCGTCTTGCATGCATTGTTTTTTTTTTTATAGGACATTGTTATGGGGACCTTCGTCTGATTTGGACAGTCTCCGAGTGGAGCTGGTTGTGGAGGTTTTTCTTTTATCCTGGCTTGTTATTTTTTAAGCTTGTGCGTCCATTGTGTTCCAGCTTTCGTTTCAAGAGAGGTTTCTTCGTTTCGGTACGTGGCATGACCATTTCTTTGAGGCAATATGGTTAGTGAAGGAGGAAAATAACTAAGCCTCATAGCATAGCTGCCATTTTGGCAGACAAAGAGCAGACAAATAATGCACAAACAGTATGCCGGTATTCGGTAGAGAAAGCATTAATGAAAATGCTGCACCGAAGTGTTTATCCTGCTACATTTCAGCAAAATACAAGGAATTTTGGGCCAACATTGTGTCAAAATTTAATAACACTTCCTTAAAACCAGAACTAATAGATCCGGCCCCCACTTCAGTGCTGGATTGTTATGGTAAAACTAGGGCGAATTTTCAAAACTTTTGGTTATCACTTTGAATGGCATACTACTATTTAGTTCAATCTTCGTGGCGACCACTTAGAGTGCTAATAAAAATTTCAGCAATAATGCCGCATGCGTGGCAAAGTTGGCAACACATGCAGCTGCCACACGGAGGTACGGGGTTCGAACTTCACTTGGCCTGGATCTTTATATTGCAATTTTGTACTGTTATGGAAAGTTCCAGCCCATTCTTGGCTATCGTCGTGTGTTCTGGTTCGAAATATTCTTGAACTATGTGTACAAAAGGAGAGCTAACAGGCTGCCCCAAAACAGACGCCCTTCCGTCACCATCGCAGAATGTACGGTACTTTCTGTTTCAGATCGTAGGCACAAGTTCGTTTCATTAAATGTTTACTTCCAGTTTCACATTTATCTTCTATTCTTATTTGTGGCATTATGTCTCACTGTTTGTGGTCTATTCGGGTGAATTAGTTTGCTCCATTGAGGTCACCCCTCGCCGTGCACCAACATGCTACAGGAAAGTGACACCTGCGGGGTTCGTCTCCAGGTGTTGCTCGAATCTTGCATTTCCTCGAGTGTGCCCAAGCATCTTTTTTTGAATCTCAATTTGAGATTTAAGGAAGGATATTTGAACATAAGAAGACAATTTCTAATCTCTTTATTGGGTCATCAGGTTTTTCCCATAAGTAGTTACAACCTCTTTACAGGCCACCAGCTGCTCATGGGTACAGACAATGAAGTTTGAATTAAAACTAAACTAGTTTTAGCAGTGGACAAATGGGGGCTTGCAATTGACCTGAACAAGTTCAGCTGAATTTTTTAGAAGGCACATATATTGCATGCATGAGCTTTTGCACCACTATGAAACTCTACATGTAAAATTCCATTATGGCATTGATGCGCATAATTGAAAAGAAAAAAAAAAGCTTTGTTTTTTTGTTTGAATGAAGCATTGCGAAGTTTTACTGCAGCTTTCAGAATTTATAGAAAGAAACATTAAATTTTGTACTCGACAAAATATTCCATCCTGACATTACTTTGAGTACTATTTGGTTCACCTTCAATATATTTAAAATAACCATTCATGGATGTTCATGCCATCCTTCATCAGTCAGAATTGCTTTGATGTGGCTGCTGCGATGGGTCCATTTTCAATTAAGGGATGGTATTTGTCACAGTTGCCGTGTCTTGTGCTTGTAACTAAACAACCAGTTAAGTGTTTGGCAGAATCAAGCTTGCTGTGCAATGAATGCTAACGAACGGCTGCACAGGAGTGGGAAGGCAAAGAAGGCATTGTTGCTCATATGTTGTAATAAACCTTGCCATAGTTTATTTATTGTTTTAAAAAACAAATAAATAGTATTTGCAGTGGATTGAATGAACACTTGTCCTCCATAGTGACTTGGACCAACTACACTGCAACTATGTGAGAATAGTCTGAGGAAGTGTCAGACAAAGCGTTTGCTACACTAACGATTCTTTGCTAGTGCCGCCGCATTTGCAAAACCACCGATGGGCTATGCCATAAACAACCAGACACACATCATTTACTGAGAGGTGATCAGAGGTCTTCTCCACATCACCTTGTCTTGCTTCATCTCCTGGGGGATCCGAAACAGTGCCAGGCCATCAGTCAGACTGCTCACCGTGATCCCTGCGATACAATAGCACAATGTTTGCGAATTTTATAGTCAATTGCAAAATAAACTATGTGATGTGAAAGCTCTGAAAATTATAAAAGACATCATTAGTGTGCAGGGAAGGTACTCAATTGAACTTGGCATAAGCTCGCTCCTTTCAAAAGTGTTCTGAGATGAGATTGTGTTACATGGTATACTTTATTATTTCATATTTTAGAATAGCAGGCCGGTAGCCATACATCAAGATTGAGGAATCTTAGATTCATTTGTGGCAGTTCTGTTTGTGACTGTGACTCTACACTTAGGAGTTTATAGTTGGCAAAAAGAAAAAATACCTCTCTGTGGCGAGTGCTTCCAGGTTGTTCAAGTGCATCCCGCAGGTGACCAAAAAAGGCACTGTTGCAATCTGGGACTGTGTAGCAAGCTCTAATTACCGATCACTTCCAAAAGGACCGAGCTGATGTAAACCCAGACTAGTCGCCATCAACTGTTCCGAATATGCAGACCTGGCTTGCCAAGTAGGCAACTTTGCACGCGGTGAATAAGTAACAGAACAGCGAGAGTCGTCCTCGGGTGACCGCGGCTGTAGCGACTGCTATGCTTCGTTTCACCATGTGTTCGAATTGCACTCACCGCAGTTGATTGGCTTAGCCTATGTTAGCACACACACAGAAAGGTGACAAATGTTGCAATGATGCCTTTCGGTTGCTGCTTCATTGACCCCGCTAGCTCATAAAATTGGCTGCATTCAGACTTGCAGTGAAATAGTGACCAGCGACTCACCCTGCAGGCACTTGAGTGGCAAGCGGTGCTTGGAGCGCAGGTCCTTGCGGTCGAGCACGTACAGGGCCGCGTCGGTCAGTATGAGCACCCGCTCGCGAGGCTTGTAGCCATGGCGGTCGTACTTGGTCACTGCCACACAGTACTGGGGCAAGGCAGGAGCAGGTCACCGTCATTACGTCTTTATTTTCGTGCTCATTAACGACCAATGGTCTGTGATGTAGCACAGCATAGAACATACGTCAAGCTTGTTTGAATAAACAGAATAAAATGCACATAAAAAATCAAACCTGCATCCAAGCAAGGAAGGAAAAGCATCTTGTGCGACCGTCTTATTACATTACCACACTAATATTGAGGTCTACAAATCTGAAATTATTTACATGTCTCCGCATTCTCGGTGTTGGTGATGACATACTATCTATCAATCGCAATTGTAAAAGGTAAGAGCTGTCCTATTTAAACGAGCTAGTACATTACTAGTCACCGTGCACGCAGGTTCGAAGTCTATATCGCTGAAGTATTTAGCAGTAAAAAATTTCTAGACCACGTTCCACGTGCCGATTTTAGGACGCGGACTCTGGCTCACACTTTCCAATTTCTGGTACCTAGGTTCCATCCTGAGAATCTCGAGGCTCAGAGAAAAAGTGTACAACACCTGTCCCGGACACTGACAACCGGATGCATTTAGGACAGTCGGTAATCATAGACAAGGCTAGCTTTAAAACTTTGTAGTTGTCAGTTTTTTTGTTTTTTTTTCTCTTGTCTTAGGGTTTTGCAGATTAAAGATTTTTGTTGGAACACTTGCCTAAAGTTATTCATTTTTATTAAGTTATCGCCTCTCGTTCGGAAGAACCTTCCATAATTTATGTACCGAGATCTATGCAAGAATTTTTTTCTTTATTCAGAAACTAGTTATTTACACAGAAAGATCAAGCTCTTTCCTGAGATTCCTTGTTTACCTATCAGCACCGCTCACCCCCTTTTGGGAGCTGGGCAGAAGAGTCGAAACAAGGTAGTATGAAATAATTTACTATATGCCACAATAAAATTCAAACTATACTATAATTGTAATCATCTTAAGAACCATAGTAAAAAAAATTGTAGAGTCCTTCCACTTTATGTGGAGATGGAGGACCAGCGAAGCTGCTATCTTCGCGACTTTTAGGACGATGCCTAGAGGATGACGTCTAGGACGACCTCAAGGATTTCTAGGACGACCTCGAGGACAATGCCTAGGGCGACCTCAAGGACGACTTCTAGGACAATGTCCAGGACGACCTCGAGGACGACGTCTAGGACGACCACGAGAACGACGTCTAGAAAGACCACAAGGACGTCTAGAATGAGCTCGAGGACGACGCCTAGGACGACCTCGGACGACCTCAAAAACGACTTCTAGGACGACCTCAAGGATGACGTCGAGGACGACCCCAAGGATGACTTCTAGGACCATCTCGAGGACGACGCCTAAAGGACGACCTCTCGAACGACCCCAAGGACGACTTCTAGGACGACACCTAGAGGATGACCTCTCGAACGACCTCAAGGTAGGCTTCTAGGATGGCCTCAAGGACGATGCCTAGAGATGATAACAAGGGATCAGGACCTCAATATCTAATAATGTCAATGAAGACTGACTCACGCGCTGGTTGCCCCCTTTTTCTTTTTAATTATTCATACTTGCCTCGATTAATGAGGAGTTTTCTGTCGACATGTGAGGACACATTTTTTCCCAGACCCTAGCGCATAGTGGCTTCACTGTAAAAAAAAAAATGAAGTCTGGCTCCTCAGAGCATTATTAATATCCCCCGTTATGTGGTAAATCGAGATGCATGTAGATTGTGTACTATATGACATTTTATCAAGACGTATACAATTCAAATGCCAAAAGCATTTTTTCTTTCAACAAAAAAATCCTTGTGAGAACTACTTCGTGCAGCATGTGAACAATGAGTAAATCTCGAAGACAAAGTATAGGAGGCATAGAAGAAAGGGACAAACGGTGCTTCAAGCTCGGCTACAATATTTTAATTTTGTAGCAGAGTTTGAGACACTATTTATCCACTTTCTTCCGTCCCTTCTACTTTGTTTTCAAGTTTCCTTCCTGGTCTCGGTGTTTAAACATCATGATTAATACGCACCAGCTCGCCTACACTTTCACCATTTTTTAGTAAAACTTTTTTTTCTATGACATTGGGTATGCAGTTCAGCGCGATTTTGGATAAGATCATGCAGAATGTGGCCAGTCAACATTTTTAATGTACTCAATAATTTTCACGACTTTCCGCCACAAATTCTAAGAAACAAAAAAAAAAAAAATTCACTGAAGGGTACCGTAATAAGCTTTTAGAAGGTCTCACTCACCAGGGTCTTTTCTCCCTGGTGTTTGATAGACTTCTCAAAAAGGTTGACCCGTCTCAGCTCCAAGTCTTGCGCTGCGTTGCAAACAGGAGGGCATGTCTCCAATGCTCAGGATGCAGCTTTACTCTGCTGGACTTTGTTGGCCATATGGTGCAAATGGTGGTCGTACTTAGGGTGACTAAAGGGCGGAGTCAGAAGAGCGCGTTCCTCGAACAACTTTTGCCGCCAACTCCCCATTAGCTCTGCGTTCCCGAAATGTTGATCATACACTGAAATTTGTTGAGCAGAAAGCTTTGTGAATCTTCGAATGTCATGCATGCCAGTTAGACCGCGTGTCATTGTGTCCTAAAGCGTCTGAAGAAGTAGACAACTATGCAGCGAATGGACACGCGCCTCTGAGGGAGAAGGGTACTGCCGGCACATTGAGTGCCACTAAACGTGGGGCTGACTAAGTTCCCTCTGTCTAAACATGCACACAATACAATTAAAGATATGAAAGCTAGAGATGTACATTACAAATTGAAATCTGCACCCAAACATAAAGCAAAGGTTTGTTCCCTCTGGCCGTGCGGCATCACCGATGGATACCGGAGCGTGGTGTGGTAATCTGCCATTGGAGCCTCAGGTACGGCTACGAGGAAGCAGACCGGTCTTTTCTACAAACTTACGTAGCCTGTTGTCCTCGAACACCCAGGGTACTGATGCCTTGTAGCTCTGCTTCCGGTCCTCAAATAATGCTTGGGCCTCCAGCTTCCACAGCATCTGCACGATAGGCGGTCTTTCCTCACTTGCACGGCGCACCAGACAGAATTCATTCAGTCGCAGTGAAACTTAACCGAAGTGCGCCGCTGCACTTCGGTTTAGTGCAGCGGCGCACCCCCCCACCCCGGCTTGTCGCCCACCGCGACGCGACCCCCCCCCCCCCAACCGGCCCGTCGCGACACCCCCCGGAGCGCTGCACCCGGGGCGGTCCACCCCCTCCCCCCCGCACCCCCCTTGTGACGCCACTGCTCTAGGGGTGCCAACTTGCTCGATATGACTGCGCGAGCCAGAACCTTTGCATCTGTAATGCTGTCCTCGACCCCTCGGTAATGCGTGAAACAAGTGCGCCGCAATTGCCGTGCTCCAAATCAGTGTGTGCCTCAGAGGCCTAGGGTTTTACCAAAGGGTTTAGATGGGGAGAGGTGGAGGGCCTCTTTATCGACAAAAAAAAGTGTGGCAAAAACATGCGCACGTGCAAATATGTATTATTTTGATTTAGATACAGTATGGTGTCCCTTCTCGCTTGAACACTATAAAAAGAGCCAGTATATTGTTGCTTTCTCTTGCAATATGAAGGTTATGATTATGTGGCACCATTAGACTCAAACCACTGTTTACTAATTAAGAAGGTAGTATGTTTATTTAAATGTCTAGCTAATAAGTATGCTTTTTGGAATACCCAACATCCACCAGGGCTTGCAGTTTGTTCTGCAAGAGTTTTTTTTTTTTTTTTCTTTTTTGATTACCTTATTTTTTGGTATTTTCGAAAGTCTTTGCTTAAACACCTTGTATATTGGTCCAGTATGTGTTGCTTGCCAGACCTAAAAAAGCTTTGTTCGCTTCGCAAGTGCACAGACAGATATTTTGTGTATGCAGTCAGCTCTGCACTTACCAGTGCTTTCCGCTTGGGTGAGATGGAGTTGCAGTACTTCCTCACCAGCCACTTGCGGTGTAGGTCATGCAGAAGTTCAGACGTCTGCAATTGGAATGATACAGATTGCAGACCGCATGCAAGTTATCACGTCGCCCAGCTGGTGGCATCTTCGGACACTGTTAATCTCAGTTTGAACCTGGTCGTGTTGTAGTATATTGGCCAGAGGTTCATTAATGTAGCATACCTAACAGTTGCCATTGAGAAAGAAACGCCAAGTAAACTGAAGTACTAAATCGCCCACTGCACATACTACTATAAAAAAAAAAGTTAACACTGTGAGAGTTATGACTCGGCATATTTGGCATAAATTATGGTCTCATATATTTCATTTACTTTACCGTAGTTTAATTTTGGGGCACTGCTTAGCATTTATTCTACCTTTTCTGGGCTGATCGAAATTAGTAAAGAGTGGGGTCAAAGTTATAATGTTCAGGATTGGAGAGGGCTGTCTCTGCTACTCTGAAATCTTTGTCATTGAAGAGTGAATTTTTATGCATTTCACATTACACACTCGAACATGTGCATGGGGACTAAAATTGACACAGGAGTTTGCCCTTGCATGTTGGTTTGTTCCATTCCTCAAAGCTCTGTAAGTAGACTTGGAGGCACTACGTAGTGTTCCTATTACCATCCTGATGCTTGGAACTGCCTCCAGTATGAACCCTTCACTAATATTCCCTCTGCCAGGTCTTCTAAACTCGGCTACAGAATGCTAATGTTAACTACTAAGCTTGCTTATTGGCAAATGAAATTAAAAAAATATTAATGAGAGTAACTGGCTTACAGGTTTGTTTATGTGTTCGATCAAGCTTTTTTGTTGAACATGTACTACCTAAAAATTTTCTGGGAACTTGTAAAGCTTGTGCTAGGTGTTTTTTTTTTTATTTATACATTTGGCTCCACAATTTCTCGTCTTATAGATGCATTAGTGCAAGTTGAAGACTATTTTTTGAGACAATTGGAAACCTTTCACATTAAAGCAATGGGTGCTACAAAATAAAATCTTAAAACAAAACAAAAAAAGTTAACTATTGACTGCCCGTTTTGTTTATTCAAGTGCCTAGTTTCTCGTGTTGTATGTACCTATTATTTTTCTTATTGGACTGGTGATAATGAATCCGAACAAGGAACAACAAGGTCAGCAACACACAAACCCTTTTTGTCTTCAATATTGTGGATCATTAAAAATAAAATGCAATTGTAAAAGTATTTGATAGTGATCATCACCTGCTGCTCTATTCTAATTCAAATGAATTTTTGAATATGTATATACTCACTGTGTACAGAAATAAACTAACACATAAACAGAATGACAAGTTCTTGCAAGTAAAATAGTACAACAATAATGCCCTTAATTTAATAAAGAAGATGAGAACAGAGACGGAAACATTCTGGGGCGTGTTTCTTCAGTTTGTTAAGTCAATCTTCAGTTTTCTAAGAACCTCATAAACACTTGTTTTTCCCCTTGATATACTCTCCAAAGTGCAGTTTCAGTGTGCATTTGAAATACATTTATGGCCACATATTTTGTGCCCGAATGTCTACGATACACTTTTGCATTAATTTTGGTTAAAAAAACCTGCAACTTTGAAATATGTAAAAAAAGTTTGGTAGTATTTTGCATTATCTTTTGAATCACTGTATTTCATGATGTGGAACTGCCACTAGCTTGGCCAAACAAGGGGGGCAATAAGCACTCGAGTGGCTCGAAGCGTGCAAGGGCTTACCTCTTGACAAACTGCGGGGGCTGTCGGCCATGACTTGTCCAGCACGCTCGTGGGCAGGCTGGCCGCCAGACGCTTGAGGAACTCCACACGCACCTGCCGCACAAACTGCGCAGGGACATGACCCGATTGCATTGCTCTCAATATTGTGCAAGGGCATCGTGGCTCTCACAAAGGTGACAGGGTACTCTACCATGTCATGAATCAGGCACATAGCCAGGGGGGGGGAAGGGGGGGGGGGGAAGGGGGGGGGGCCAGCCCCCTCCCCCGAAACAAAATCCTGGCTACGTGCCTGTCGTGAATACAGTACTTTTCATTAAAAAAGAAAAACAGAATAGTATGTAAGAATCAGGATCCCAGACTTTGCACCTATCATAATGCTATCCCCAAGGTACCACTTCAAATTTGTCCCTTGTTCGTAAAATGATTGTGTAATCATTGCATAATATTTTTGTCACTCAATAAATACCGTGAACCACTATAACTACTGTTGTCACAGCCTCAATATTTCTCGGATTTCGCAAAATGCGGATTCTGGAATTAATTTGTGGGCACAAAATCTCATGATTGGGAGTGGTATGCTATGTATTCGTCATGATGGGGTGATCTACGGGGGGGGCAGATTACTTTGGTTGCAGCGCTCCGCGGGGTGCAGCTGGGCACTGAAAGGGGGTGCCACTGACCCTAGTGACATTACTGTACTAGCATAATCAATTCGTGAAATTGTTCAAATCCCAAATTTTGCAAAAATTATACTCACAAAAATTAAATTGTTAACAGTATATGTTACCACTATATTAACTGGCCAGCTAGCTATTCAAACAAGTAGGAATCTACCACAGTAGGACTTCATCAATGAGTTTCTTAGGAGACTATGACAAAAGAAGATGTATGATTCGAAAAAAGTTCATTTAAGAAACAACACTACCTTAAAATTGCAGTATTTTTTAATAAAATGTTTAACGAGTAGTCTTATCAGTTTTTAAATATCCTGGTGGATGCTATCAGAAAGTGTTACCCTTGTAACTAAAATATTTTTTTCTGAACAAATTATTTATGACATGCCAGCACCGCCTAAAGTGCAGCTTTCCAGCAGCTAATCCGGATGCTGCCCCACGTCAGCCCCTGCTCCTAGCACGCCGGTACAAAGTGGTGAGGCTTGGCAAGCATGCACCACGAGTTTGATGTACGCGGGCACTGTGCATGATCATGAACTCCAAATAACACGCAAAATGTAACTAGCATAACTGGGGGAACCAAGCCACTGTGCACAGAAGTGCACGCACATGCCAAGGTGTAAGTGACCAAAAAATGTAGAAACTGTTGTAAAAGCCTCAATCCCTTCCAATCCTAGTTCGACACCCAGTCCACCCGGGCAAGAACAGGCGAGAAAGGTTGGTCAGATAGGCAAAGAGGTAAGGAAGAGTGAAGTCAAACAAAGAGGGCGGCCGCAGCAAGGCAGCCAAAGGCTTCGCACTGGCTGTGTCGGATGGCAGTTTTTTTATGTAACAGCCGGGAAGGCAAACATACAAACAGGATAGATGTACCGTTCAACCGCACTGGCCACTGTGAACATAACAGCCAGGAAAATGTATTAACTGAAAATGTACCGAGGTACTACTATGTGCATTTAGTGTATATATAGCACTCAAAATATTTATAGCTTCTATATTTCCCTCCTGTTATACCAGCAGGATTGGCTCGAAAATGTGCTGCAAGGAAGGACCAGTTTCAACTAGTAGCAAAGAAAACACTATTAAGAACATACATTAAAATTCCCAAATTTAATTATATCACTACGATTTAGAGCTTATAGTGGATTTAAAACCCATTGCAGACCCACCCTGGCATTGATGTCATTTTCTGGCTCATTCCTGGTAATGAAGCCTTTGATGAACCTGCACAAAAGAAATTACCTCCGATGTAAAACATAAAAGAAATTATCTCCTATGGCAGATGTTACCTCCGGATGACCATGGCTGCATTCCTCCTGCACTTCAGCAGACACTGTGCCCTGTAGCGTCTCCAGGAGCTCTCAATCAGAATGGCTGATGAGACAACGGCAAGGTAGCAACAAAAGAAAACACAAAAAACATATGAACTTTGCTTCACTTTGTGCATGAAGTTCTATATGTAGAGATAGGTGATGGTGTACACAAAAACTGTGAAAAACAGCATTTTGGACGCAATGTGAAAAGCATGTATAACAGAAAGCTGGTAGTTTTTGCTGGTGGTTAGAAGTCTACCGTATTTACTCGCACAATGAACACACTTTTTTTCCGAAAAATTGTTGCATATTTGGGGTGTGCGTTTATTAGCCAGGGTAAACTTGTTGCATTTAAACACTTTGTGCAAATGTCATTTTAGGTGCAATATGACATGGCAGGGTACTGTGGCTTGTCTCCACTGACGGAGGTACACCCACGGCTGGTCGTGGGAATGCCACAGTAACAATGCTGTATAAATTGTGGACCTTCTTTAGGGCACTTTTGGCGTGCCTTTTGCCAAAGAAAAAGCACCCTACGAAGCTCACTCAGCACGGAGAGCGACGCAACCATTCTTAGGCCTACCCACTTTCACAATATCACTGTCGAAAGCGGGTCACAGACGACACAATGTTTGTTGACATGAATGCATCCGATGGGCGAAGCGAGTCCGGGGCTGGGCAATTCCTCGGCCCATCCTTACTAGGCGTGCGCGCCGGTCGATTTCATGGTTGAGCACTTCCGCAACCGTGCAATTGCAGCCATTACGAGAGCGGCTTGGCTTGGCTTGACTTGGCCTGGCCACTTGGCGGCAATAGAAAATTGGCTAGGTGGGCTTCATGGCTAGCTGGTTAGCTAAGTTGGACGCAGTTCAAGATTTCCAGAGCCAAAAATTAAAAGTGTGTTCATTAAGGTGAGAAAAAAAAAAGAAGTCAAAATATTTATGGCCTTTGGGGGGGTGCGTTCATTATGCGACTGCATTCATAATGAAGGTAAATACGGTATTTATGTGAACTCCAAATGGCTCTGGAGCCCGTTGTAGACACATAAAAGTGGCACTGGTAAAATTTTTGGAACATGTAATTCTAACTTGGATCGAATTCAGAACATGAAGATTTGTTAAGTCAACTAATGGATTTCTGTGCAGTGCTTAGAGTTTCTCCGCTGTTTAACCCTCATATTAGATATTCGGTGGCAAATAAAGAAACTTTACTAGCTAGTTAGGTGAGGCTGACCAACCTGCTTTCCTCATCTCCATGTATCTCTTCCGGACAGAGTAGCGGCGATATTCGGTCTGGATGACGGTTGCTGAAAGTCCCAGATACAGCAATTAAGCAAGCATTCAGCTCCAGTGTTTGATGTGAGAACATATTCGCAGCACTTACCGAGGTAGTGCTTCTTCTGCTGGAATGCATCTTCAGTTTCAAACAGAGTTCTTGGAAACCGAATAAACAGCTTTGTCCTGCAAAGTGGGACCACATTGCAGATAAACATCTTTTAAAGCATCTCAAGTATGACTGCGTGGAAAAAGGAAAGAACTGTTTCAGTAGTTAAAGTATTAAGCTCAGCCCTTAGGTAAGTGCTGTTATTACTTAGAAATGGGGTAGGCTGATACTGGTGCACAAAGTGTGGCTATCCAGTAGACTCATTAATTCAAACTCCGGAAAACCACAAATTTTGTTTGGATTATCAGAAATTTCAATTATCAGGAATTAATCTAAATATGATGCAAAATAAAATTATGATTTACCATATGATGGTAAATCATATGGTAAATCATAATTTTATTTTGCATCATATTTAGATTAATTTCTGAGAACACATTCAAACCAGATAGAGAACACATACAAACCAGATATTTGATGATTCCCTCTACATAGGCCTACTGATCACAAGCAGGTATGCCACACAGAATTTGTGAAATGTGTGGCACAAGTTCATGTATCCCTCAAAAATGTTATTTTTCGTGGACTGTTTAGAGAGCACATGACAACTCAAAACAGAATTAAGTTTGTTCATCAGGCCAATAAGTTGTCTGATGTGAACTATTTAGCAGGCGACACACGAGCGATAAAACGGGCACCACGCGGCAGTTTTCATAGAAGCTTGCGCGGACGCTGTGACGTGGATCTATGCTCTGCCGCAACGTCACCGCGTCCGCGCAAGTTGCTATGGAAATTTCCGCGTGGTGTTAGTTTTCATAGCTCATGGTACCCTGCTCTAGCCCCGTTGAGTGCGCTTCTCACCGAGTACCGGTGCAGTGCGGAGAAGCAACACCCGCAGAAGCAAGCTTCGTGGGTGTTGCCTTTCTGCAGTGCACCGGTGCTCGGAAAGAAGCGCACTCAACGGGACCGTGAGAACAAAAAGTATGAACTGCACGAAAACGCCGTTCGAATTAAGCGGCTTATGAATACATTAAGAACATAGCGGGACAACCAAAATTTTGAAATTTGTTTGAATTAACCAGAATTGAGAAATATCCGAGTTTGAATTATCGGGAGCCTACTGTAGTGCTTGTACACCTTGCATGAACATGGTTTCATTGTTTTTATTTTGTTTGCCCAAGTTCAATAAACATTTAGAACAACATCACTCAATCAAGAAAGAATGCTGATGATTTTAGTTCCGATTGGTTAAAACATTGCGTAAGCCAGCCAGATTTTTTTTTTTCTGCCTGGTAGCAAAAGTTTGCATGAGCTCACGTTAAAAAGTTTCTTCCCCTCCAGCTGCATTTTCAGAAACATATTCGCTTCTGAGTGTTTTCTTCAGCTCAAGTTCTGATTCCGGTTTGAGTACTTGGATTATAAGCTACAACCTTTACAATTTTTCGTTCTCACAGAAGAATATGAATAAGCATACTATAGCTACCTTTACCATGACAGCAGTGTAGCTAGCAACAAATGCGATATACATATGAAAAAAAAACTATTGCTAGAAGTGAATGCCTAAGATTTCTCATTTATAATTTCATGTCACCCTTTTGTGTTTAAATAAATATGATAAAATTTAGAAAAGAGCTAAATATTTACCTTTGTTTTTTTACAAATTTATTTTATTAGCGAGTAGTAGAATACTAGTGCTACAAGCATTGGCAACATCTTATCTTCTTTATTGCAAATCCTCTTCTTGACATCCCGCTTATGACATCAATTGAAACGAATCAAGATTATTTTTTACGTGCCTGGGACTGACGATGTAATCCTTCACCACTGCTGGTCTTCCCATCGTTGTCATCATTGATATCACAACAATACTATTAGTGAACCAAAAAATATACTTTAGATATCTCTTTCCATAGTGTTCATTAAAAATACTGTTATGTATCAGCACCAGAAGTGTGCACCAGTCCCTTTCTTTTATACCCGTGCTCTCATAAATTAGTAGTATGCCATAAAATACCAAGCGGGTGTTCACCCAAATTTTGAGATGACAATGTTAAAGAATTGGGGGATGGGCACTTGTTAAAGTCCAAGGACAAAAATGCAGAAAGGGCAAGTTCGTCTGCTTTCGCAGGGGTTCTAGTGACGTCAGAACGCCGAGCTCCGATTGGCTCCGATTGAAGGATAGTGGGTAGACCTCAAGGCAGCTTGCTTTGAGGTCTGCCCACTCGTGTGAGGACTATGTCCGGGCGTCGGCCAAGCAAGGCGTAGGGCAATGAGGCAAGGGTGGGGCAAGTAACAGTCGAATAGAAGTTTTATTAACGGGCGTAAAAGAAAAGGAACGAGGCGCTGACGGGCCGCATGGTTCGGTCGCGCAAAAACAGAGAAGCAGTCTGGAACACTTGTCCGGCCAGGCTTGACGGTAAGGACGAAAAGAACAGTGGGCCGTGGTAGGTGGTGCTAGTAGCTTGCTCACACTTGTAATTTTATCCCTCTTTCTACCAATAACAGTTGTATTTGCCAGCTGGTGCCTACATTACCTTTTGACTACAAAGACTAGAACACACCACCTGACGACTCTGTTTTTATAAATGGGAGTAACATATTTGACCTCTTCTCTGGCCCTGCTATAGATTCCAGTGTTGATGTCGTATTCATGGTGTGTCGAGGATGTTCCCCCCAAAAATTGAGAAGGTTTTTCCGCAAAAATAAACTATGCATCGCCGAACGCTCATCTCTGCCCAGATGTAGCACTTGCGGTCCGAACCAGATGCCAAAGTTTCAGAACTAACCGCTATCTTATTCAAAAGTTATAGCTGATTTTGTGAAATTTTCAATGGGAAAATGGCGGCCAACAGAGCTCTTCAATACATAGCGTCGAATGGCACCCGTGACAGGGCAAAAATGAGCCCTATTTTCCCATTAAAATTTCAGAAAATTACTTATAACTTTTCAACGAGGTTAACGGTTGATTCTGAAACTTTAGAATCTGGTTTGAACTGCTAGAACCCTGTAACCTTTTTATTTTGTTTTGTTTTGGGTGGGGGGCACTTTGTATATGCCCACTCTCTTACAAAATATTTGGGTCTTCAAAAAAAAAAAAAAAAGAGAAAAAAATGAATAATGATGATAATTATGGTTTCGCCTGGGCAGCACCCCCATGTGCCAGTGCACTCACCTGCCCAAGGCGTACTCCTCAGGGGCGTAACCCAGCTGTTTGATGAGTAGGACCACTCCCTCCCGTGAACTGCCGCCCCTGAACTGGGGCCAGGTGTCCGGACAGAGGCACTTGTAGCGCTCCAGGAAGGCCTCGTAGCGGCGCCGGTAGGCAAAGCCCGCCCGACGCACTCGCACATTCTCCACCAGCCCCAGGTACTGCACCTGGTGGCCAACCACCTTCTCCTCAAACTTGGCTGCAAAGAACAGGGGACAACATTGTATTTGTATCGGTATCTATTTCGGCTCGGTGCAGCTGAAACGCCGCAGAAAGGCCAGTGGCCCATGCCAAGGAAACCTATTGAGAACGCAAGATTGTCTGCTTCTTGCGCAGGGGTTACACTGACGTCAGCCTGGGAGCTCTAGCTGATTGGCTCTGATGGAGGGATAGTGGGTAGACTTCAATGCTAGCTGCCTTGAGGTCGATCCACTATCCTTCCAATCGGAGTCAATCGGAGCTCGGCATTTTAACGTCACCGCAACCCCTGCTCAAGAAGCAGACGAACTTGCGCTCCGCATTGCACCATGAAATGGTGAAGATGTGGAGAACATAGACAGATGAATAAACGCCGGTGGCCTTATCTCGGCTCTGCCCCTGTGAAACGTATTGCCATAATGAATATTTTTTATCGTCCCTGCATATAAATGTGGCCTACGAGGGGAAAAAGCTGCATCACAGCTTCATGAGGCCTTGTTACCATGAAAGCAAACAAATCTTGTTTTTGTACAAACGTGACATTGCCACTTTCCTGCATTTTAATCAGACAGGCTATTGACCAGCATCGAAGTTTACCACCCAAGTTGGTGTTCCAAATGAGCACACTCCACCACACTAGTAGATTCAATGACAGCTTTGCATTTCTGATACCAAACGGAAACAAAGCGGCGATCGTTTGTTAGTGCTTACTGTGCCACACTTTGAATGTGCAAATTGGCATTGTTTTCCAACCATGAATACATGCAAGCAACCCACCATCCCCCTACCGGTGAAATCTAGCACAAAGCAGACATGAAGTAAACTTACAAAGTAAACTTGTGAAGATCGAAAAACAGATTGAGTTGCCCATAGCCCTGTAGTATATTGTGTGAGACTGTTTGACCTCCCCACTCACCCGACTGCTTCTGGTCGTTGGGCTTGATGCAGCGCACATACCATGGTTCCTTGGACATGAGGATTTCCATCAAGTCCTGCAAGCTCTGCTTGAACTGCGTCGCCACCTGAACGCAAAACAACTTGTGCTTTTTTCCTAGAAATAGCCCTGGTAACCAATACAAGACATGCATGCAAATATATGTAATACATCTGAATATGTACAACTCGTGTTGTTATGTTCAGAATAGTGATTCTAAGTTTGCCTGAATGGTCATCTATAGCTGGGTTAGCTGACTGGACATCCCCACGGTATAGGTTTGAATGCAATGAAGGTGGCATGCAAGCACTGTGGTGAACTTGCATCAGGAAGCGTTACATTTATTTCAGACCAGTATTGATGTCACTTGTCTTTTCAGCTTTTGGAATTAAAGTGTAGAGATATGGTGCAATTCTAATCAGCAGTCTTATCGCCCCTTACGAAAAACTATGAAAAAAAAAATTTGATTTACTTTTAAGCCCTCACATCTCTTTGAATTCGATTACTTCTTTTCAGCTTCCTTTTAACTGGGCGGTGCAACAATTCTTGTACTTTTAGTAAACACCACTTGGAGATATTTCTTGATATTCATTACCTATGAAACACGCTTTAGTTTTTGTCCCCACGCATTGGTAGTCGCAGTAAAAATTTGATAAAAACGAGCAACGTTCACTTCTTCAACTTGCAACCAAAATAAGTGATCATATGATCTGGAGTCGATTATAGCCGCCAATGTTTATTATAGCCGCCCACAAGGGTTGGCAAAGTAGATTCGATGACAGCTTTGCACACGCTAAGTTCCACACATTGTGTTAAACCATTACCATCATTGCAGGGATTGGACATGGGCCACTACCCGAATGCATGGCACTGATTGTCATAAGCCAAAATCAAATGTTCACGCAGTGCTTATGTCCACTGCAGGAGTTGCATTTAAATATCGTCGCCACAGGGATCACAAAGCTTGATGATGAAATAGTGAGAATCGTATTGTTGACAATGCCAACAAGGCGATCCCCATAACTTAGTCATTAGGTTTTGCAAAGGAAAGGCTGAAAGAAAACGTCTGCTTTTATTATTGAAATTATGCGGCAACAAAGGAGTTTTAATGCGAAAGCATTAATTGTACTATGATGAAGCGAACCGACGTCATCAAGTTTGAAACCACGCCAAACGTTAGCCAAACGGCACCTAAAATCTTCTTTCTCGAGTGAAGCCGGTTTCTGATGGATTATGCTCCCATTGGCTGGTGCACGTCATCAAGGAACGAGGCTCCCATTGGCTCTTGTGCGGCGTAATTCCCAAAAACTCCACCAGAGAAGCCCTCTCCATGGCAGCACGGCCGCTGCCATGGAGAGGGCTTTTTTTTTTTAGAGTTGTTCTCTTTCTAGAGCTGGAAAAATGTTGCGTTGCCAATATTCACATCCTCTCCTCTTATTGTTTGATGGCAGACATTTCAGTTCATAATTCTAAGAGAAAAAAGATGAAAAAAAAGGGCGCATTCCTCATTTGAGTGAGCCCACTCCCAATAGTGACTTGGGCATGTAGCAGACCGCAGAAGCCCTCTCATAATTTTTGGACCATTTTGTTTTTAATTGAAACTTTTCTAATATATATATAGGGTGGTTTCATTTGAAATCAAACATCTGTGTTGGGCTGGTTATTTTGATTCGCCCAAACAATATTATATACTATAGCCACATTTCTGCAATGAACAACACTCACTTTAGAAAAACTATTTTTCTCTACAAAAATTCTGTAGTGGCGCATGATGAAATGATATGTTTAGGCTGCTTGATTTTTGTACCCGGCTCTGTCGGTTGTTTTAAATAAGTAAAAATAAAAACACTCACAGTACTTTTTGCTGTAAATGTATGATGCACGGCCTACCTTTTTTTTTTTTTTTTTGCTTTAATTTATAAATTGCTTTGGCATATTTCATGCCAAAGTTAAAAACGTTTTGGTGACATATATGGACCGTTGTATCTTAGGGTTCATTATACATTTTGTTTATTAAATACTATATGCCTGTAGGCCGATACACATGCTGTCGACTGGTACCACTTTCGTTTCCTTTATTTTGAAGAAATAACTTGTATAAATTTTTAAATTTCATAAAAAAGTAAATTTAGCTTTAATTTAAGCCCGCATTAGTATTAAAAAAGGCAATTTTTCATTGCTTTCTCATTTTTTGGGCTGTATATTTTTGTTATACCTTTGATAGTATATATAAAATTTCTTTATCTTACATCTTGTGTGTTTCTCCATTGTTAAAAATCATAAGACGAGATCTACAACCAGCATGCTTTCTATTGCAGCTATCATTCCAACCCTGCTCGAGGTTTTTACATTCAAAAGTTGCTTGAGTCCAGCTTTATCAATGGCTCTCATTCACAGATTCCATTAAGTCTCCTTACGATGATCGACATAAAAAGAAGATATATCGAAATTAATGTTTTCGCATAGTGAAAAACACTTTGACGTGGATCTGCTGAGGTCAGCCTTGCCTCCTCGCAGCACTGCTGCGATGAGGTATATTAACCTGCTTTGGACAGAATTGCTTCTCACGCCTGGCTAAAACTCTGTATACTGTGCAAGTAAGTTGCGCTCAAGTTTGTGCCCAAGTGTAGTTTCCAAGCGTGATGTGCTCAGGGACTCTATGAAAGGAATTCCTGGCGGCGGACTAAACACGACTTCACCAAGATTCTTATCAGCGTGTAACAGAAAATTCAGTCAGAACCGAAAAGAAAGTAAGACGAATTAAATGTCACATTCAGTTGAAATTTTTAAAAAAATTAGCTACTGCCTTTTAGACAAAACCAAACAGCGAAAGCTTCCCAGCTTGTTGGCTCCTGCTTCGCGTTTCGAGTTGTGGCTCAATGTGTGTCAAGATTTTGTCAAGTCATTACTCAGTCGGAAGAGATGCCAGCTTCAGTTACTCACTTCTGTTAGCGTTACCATAATTCCCGATTAATTCCCGAAGCATAGAAACAGCTGCTGCGAACATGAACACAACGGCAGACTTACTTTGGCACGTGAAAATTGTGAAGTTTTTACTGCACAATTAAGGTTAGTGTCTGGGTATCTGACTTGGCTGCTGAATAGTGCACAAAGACTATCTTCATTGTTTTATTTAAATTCGAAACATGAAACATGCCATGAAAGTAATTAAGGATTGTAAGAAAGAAGTCATAATCAGAATATACATTATAAGGTCTATTTGAAAGACCTGCCTGATGCTTCTGATAGCCAAAATGAAGATTACAACATTTTCATCACTCCCTCTAATATTAAGAAAATAACATATGAATACATGAAAAGATAAAACATTGAGGACGGAAACAGGACTTTTGAAAAAAGTCCTGTTTTCGTCCCCATCCTCAATGTTTTATCTTTTCGTTTATTCATATCTATTCACCAACATGCTCGTTTTCAGTTATTAAAAAAAATATTGGTATGTGTATGTTTATGCAACTTGAACTTAGTCTGCCTCAACGGGCGACTTGTCTCTCAGGTGTCGATGAGAAATTTAGTGAGTGCAGTACAACCGCTAGCCTGATCGAGGTCTTTAACGTGCACCATGCAGTAGTGACACACGAGCGCACACCGGTACGATGCTTATTCAGATTGAAAGTGGCAGGGGTACGAATTGAACCTGCAGAACCCTGGGTTCTGCAGCGCGACTTTCGCTGCACGTACTCCGAGCCAGTGTGCGCTAGCCTACTCTGCCACTGATCCCCCCCTTAAAATAAATGAAGATTGACTCAAAGCAAACAGTATGCTTATGTGTGTTGTACAAATTCCTGTCTTTGTTTTTGTGCTCGTTCAAAGATGAAATTGCAAAGTAAGAACTGATCTCCATCAGCCTGTTACAAAGCCGATCACACTAGATCCATGTTGAGGTATTTCGTAACATTAATTCTGATATATCTTCTTTTACAACCATAACTGTTATGGGCTCTTCCTAACACTGGAAATGCAGTCCATTGTTGATGTTGTGGTTGTAGTAGTAGTACTTGTTGATGTTGCATTTGGTGATGAAGGGCATCCATCGTCAATGCTGCAAAGTTAATCAAAAAGATTGCCCACTGTTGCCTGCGGGAATCGAACCTGGGTCCACCGCGTGTGAAGCGGAGACGCTACTGCTGAGCTATGTCAAATCCCGTTGTAACACGGTCAATGCCAAGAGCTCGTGCCGGGAGACGCGCTTTTACGTGTTCCCAAACAAGAAGGAAACAAAAGCGTTCGGAATTTGTAGTACCCACTGCACGCGCCCTCTAGAAAAATAGAGAAATAGCCAATAAAAAATTCCGTCCTATCACTGTCAATTGTTGTCATTTAAAGGCCAACCACCAGACTAGAGATTCTGCAAGGCAGAAGATCCTCCTTACCATGGGGGAGGAGGAAACAGGCAACAGTGGACAGGGTATAGAAGGGGGAGAGGATGAAGCGGCGGGAAAGTGGAAAGCACAAACTGGTCGTCGGCCTTTAAAAAGAAACACCACAAAATAAAAGATAGGAAAGGCGCAGAACCCACGTGGGTTCTGCGCATTTGCATTCTGAAGATGGCGGCAGAAGGCGAGGGGACTGAAACGCTAGTGACAACATCAAGTCTACCGCTTGTAGATATATGGTTTTAACAACTGTTAGGGTTGAGGCAGTGAACTCTTCAGGAGAAAAATAACATGACAAACCGAAGGTCACAAACAAGATGAGGGATAAAAAATATTATGTACTGTAATATACCGCAGAAGCGCCCATTTCGTTCAAGCACCCACTATTAACGTTTCCCAAACTTAGGAATTCTGAAAATTAGACATTAAGCATCAGATTTAACCGGATGAGCACTTATGTCTAGAGTATACCCAAGTTTTCGGTGAAAACAGAGTGGGCACTCCCCCGATATATTACAGTATATATATACTAAACTCAGATAAACAACAATATGTACCCCAACTCAAATATCACAACTTAAAAAAAATAATATATACATATATATAAATCATGCCTTGCCAGTAACGTCCGAACAGTTGAGGGGTAGTGGCGGACATATTTTTTCTAAGGGCGGAAACATTGCGCCTCGCAACCATCAGTTTAAAAGGATGACAGATCGAGGACGCTAGATGAGTGGTCCCAACCCAAGGGAACACAGGGAAAGCCATCCTTGCTTTATGCGTGGATTACATAAGATCTGGTATCCATCACCTCATCTAGTCGACGTAATCGATAGGGTAAACTTGCCGCCACCCGCCGCGCCCCTACCCCTCCTTCCCTCCTTCCCTCCCTCCCTCCCTCCTGCCTGCCCCCCCCCCCCCCCCCTGGCTTTTGTATTTTAAGGTTAAGAACCTTGCAGTAAGGTCAACTTGCGAAACTACCCTTTTGCTGATCCGGGTGCATCTCTGTGTGTTTAAACACTTCTAAAGAAAATACAACAAAAAAGGGGTAACTTTGATTATGTGCACAAGAAGTTAACATCATTGAAAACAATATAAAAAAATGGCCTTTTTTTAGTAATGTGGGCTCAAAATATGATTAAATTTACTTTCTGATGAAATCTCAAAATTTATATAAATATTTTAATAAAAATAAACTAAACTAAAGTGATGCCAGTCGATAGCACGTGTGTAGGCATATAGCATGGGTGGCCAAGCTACGGCTCGCAAGCAGCATGCGGCTCTTTGCGTGGTAAAGTGCGGCTCGCAACTCCCGTCCCTACCCCCTTCCCCACCCCGGCCGCCCTCCCGGTCACACGAGCACTTCTTCAAAAAAAGAAATGGAACGCGTTTTAAATTGAAAGACAGGCTGCGGTTTGGTGGTCTTGGGCTGCTTTACGTACAGATGGACTGCTTTTGACTCTGATAGAATGAAAGCAGTTCGAGTTTCGTTTATTGTTCTCAACAAAAGTTTGACCCCCCCCCCCCCCCCCCTCTCCCCCTTCGCCGCTCTTGGAAGTTTTGTGGTTTTGTTTGCGGCTCTTGGGCTGAGTCAGCTTGGACACCCCTGGCATATAGGTATATAGCATTTAATAGACAAAAATTAAAATATATAATGAATCGATACAAGGCTCCAAATATGTCACAAAAACGTCAAAGGTTCATTGTTTGGCATTTCTTATTTCTGGCATGAAATATGTCAAAGCAGTTTAAACGAAAAAATAGGCCATGTGTTATACATTTACAATAAACATTTCTGAAAGTGTTTTCATTTTTACCTTGACAACCAACAAAACTAGGCAAAAAAATCGAACAGCCTAAATGTAGCACTGCACCTTGCTCCATTCAGAATTTTTATAAAAAAATAATTTAAGAAAGTATTAAAAATTATGGATGAAGAAAGAATAAACAATTAAAACAGGGACAACACAACTACATCTTTCAACTAGCAACAGACGAGTAAATTTTCAACAGCGAGCAGCCGACTATACCCAGTAGGATATAGTCGGCTGCTCGCTGTTGAAAATTTACTCGTCTGTTGCTAGTTGAAAGATGTAGTTGTGTTGTCCCTGTTTTAATTGTTTATTCTTTCTTCATCCATGACTTAAACCAACACGCTCTTCTACTAAGCAGTATTAAAAATTGTTTTGCTTATTGCAGAAATGGGGCTATAATATATATATATAATGTTTTTTGGGGGGAAAGACAAAACACACACCCTGACACGTGCGTTTCATTTCAAATGAAACCACCCAATATAAAAAACTTGCGCTTCATAAAAAATTTCATTCAATCGAGGTTAGTGTGATGTAAGACAGTACATGTACCAATATTTGAATCACTACCAAAGTTTCTAAACGTTTGCATGTGTCTAAACTTGATGTGTAGACCTGTGCCTGTAAGGAAAATATATCCGTCATCAAGAGGTTTCTGCGTTGTGAGGAAGAGGTGCCTCACCGTGGGGGGGCGTTTCTTGCTCAGCAGCTCTGACTCTGGAAAGACCTCCCTGACGATGGAGTTTCCGGCACCAGCCATGGCTGACTTGAGGTCCCTGAACAGCAGATCATTGTTCTTGTCCAAGAAACCTTTGTCGAGGATAAACAAAGAAAACACTGTTGGCACAAATATGTTGGTCCAGTTTTACTAGAATTAAGTTAAAAGTTATTCTGGTTTTAGTTACTCATACTTCAAATCAAGCAAAATTTATTGGGCTTACCCTACTGTCCATTTTCTTTTTACAAAAAAATCAATTCAGCAGTTTTGCGAATGGTTACATGCTGAGCCAAATCCCCTGCAGTAGCATATCTCTCAAATTAACACACACTTTTAAGTTCAGAAAATGAACAACCTGTAGAGATATTGTGAAACATGCCCCCTTAGCCGCTTTGACTGTGCTGTTTGCTGTTATAGAGACGCTTTGCTCAATAAGTAACTTAACAGATATACTGGTTTTTACCCTAAGAACTGTAGTAAAAAAATTCCGGCTCCCTGTGGAACACTATCCATTTCCTCTTTTATGTGGAGAATTAAGATATATATTAGGGGCATTATATATTAGATATTTGTTATCTTATCAAGACATACCTGTTTCAAACGCCGAAAGCATCGCTTCCCTCCAACAACCAAATCTTGTATGAACTACTTTGCGCAGCATGTGAACGATGTGCAAAACTTTTTTTTTGTCCCATTCTTCTTGCTATCTTCGTGTTTGTGCTATTTTACCTCAGTAAGTTCAGTGAGTACCAACTATAGTCCGTTGCAACTCAAGAAGGTAAGGCTGGGGAGGAGGAAGCAGACAGAACGCTGGAGAGAGGTGGATGTTTCCCCCTCTCCCATCCAACACATACCGTCTTAATCCTCTCCAGCCTTCCTTTCCCCAGGGGCGGATCCAGAACTCCGTTTTGGGGGAAGGCCGGACAATTTGTAAGGATACCATTCTCCCATTCTTTCTTGTGCACCGGGGGCTCCACCCATGTCAAATTGCCCTCCGAGAAAGGGGGGGGGGGGGGGGGGGGGGGGGATTGACTTTGTTTGGGGCGGGGGCGGCCGCCCCTGTCGCCCTTCCCCCTCCTCTCCCCCCCCCCCCCCTCCCTCCCCCCTGGGATCTGCCCCTACCTTCTTCTTCAGCAGTAACTTGCTATGGCGCAGGTATAAACCTTATTGCACTAAGGGGTCAACCTTTGCATGTTCTTTTGCACAGGTGCATTAATTTTTCCATTGAGCTAATTTCTTTCCTATAGTTTATCATATGCAAAGTGCAGTACTGGTGCATGAGTGGCATTAGAGATTCATATTTGCAATATTAATGTTAAAAAGTTATACCTGCATGAAGCTTTGCCCACACTGTCTGTGGAAATCTCCTGCACTGTATTTCTGGCTGAGAGGGAATTGTATACTGTAAATGTTACTGAGCCCTGGTCTTGATATGATATTAACAATGTAGCTTCAGTGAGCTCAAAGCATACAAAATTGGTTTGAAGGTTTTACACTTATTTTTGGTAAGACAAGTAAAATAAAATCAAAGTGTTTTTTTCAGCTCTTGGCTCATTATGAAAAAAAGAAAGCTTCAAACGGTGCTGCATTGCAAATAGGAAACCATTTAATAATTTCTGTAGCTGTAGTATGGGGTGAGTAATTTTGTTTGGCCTGAATGAGAGTTGCAATAGATTTATATGTAATTCCAGCTCCAAAGGTTTCAAAACACTTACTATAATGCTCGATAGGTACACAAAGGTCAGCGAGTACAGGAATATAAGGGACAGCTTCTGATTGTAAGTTTTTTTTTTAGTTTGCTCTTGTCACAATTCTCAAAACTGCATATGGCTCTTTTAAAAAATAGGTGCATGAGAAATGGCACATGCTTTAGAATGGTGGAAAACATGGGAAGGATTCATTAAAACATTCTGAAGACACAATACAACTATATGAGAATCTTTTCCTGAAAGGTTGGCATTGCATTAAAAGTGGGAGGTGTCTCACCTTCAATCTTGTATGTAACATCTCCAGCGTAATGAATTAGGCGGAATTCCTGCAACACACAAGAAGCATGTCGCGAATGTGCATCGTTTCCTCTGCCTTATTGAATCAAGTCCAAGGCATCAAGATTCATTGCAGTTTATTGACAGTCAATTAAAATATGCAACACTTCAAATTAACTAACATATCCAGTATAGCGAGCATAATTTTGACAACAAAGCGCACTTCCTGTCTACCCAGTGAGTTCGATATTTTTTCCCATTGTCGAGCATTGCCAGGCACAGCGAAGTGGGTGTTCTTAGCATGTTTATCAAAAATATCAGTACACCCTTTGCTTGCATTAAAGATACAGAGACCTGTTCTGTCTAAAAGTACACCAGATGCAGACGTTTGTAGTAGTTGCTTTTTTCATTATATGCTAAGATCTTGAAGATGTCCCGACCCCCCCCCCCCCCCCCCCCCCCCCCCCATCTTAAATTTTGCATGTGTAAAAGTTTAGGGTGGGGAAAGGGGGAGGGAAGTTTTTTGTCAAACATCTTATATGCTGATGGCCCCCCCCTTTGGGAGATGCCTGCATTTGCCCCGATCCGGTTACAATAACAATTAATTAAATGCTCAGTGCATAGACAGGCTTACGACTTGTAACAATAATAAGCCAGAGCACCGCCAGTGCTGTAATTATTATCGTAACTGCAAGACAAAAGCCGTAAACACTTAAAAATGTGGGATTTGAAAAACAAAACAGAAAACTCACGTCTCGAGCAAGGTTCTTCTTCAACTTGTTGCTTGCCAGGTTGTGGGTAACAAAGTGCGGATGCAATCGTACCGTCTGCTCCATTTTGAACAGGAATGTCTTGTCTGTTGCTCCACCAGGCCGAAGACACTCTTCGTCCTGGAGATGACACGCTTGTCAAGAAACTTCCTGTTTCAGTTACAGGTAACAGATATAAAAAAATGCAGGATTGCACAAAAAAATCACACCATCTCCAAGCAGCACAGGCATACAAGGTTAGCCCAAGGTCAAGAGGGAAACCGTAAACGTGTCTTGAGACAGAGTTTTTTTTTTCTTGCAATTGACATATTGTAGTGATCCAACTCAGTTGGTGAATTGTTTCATCTTCAGCAGCTGATGGCATTGAGGGACTCACCAGGAGAGAAATGATGCCCTTATGCTTTTCCTCAACGAGATCGCAGATGACCTTGTTGTTGAAGTAGTTGATTGGAGTCCACTGGAAGGAGACTGGTGTAAAAAAAATTTGCACACCGAATGAATCGGTGGTTGTCCAGGAAAAGTAACGCACCTCAATGCCTTCCTTGAAGTATTCCTCTTGCTCAGACTTGAGAGTGAGTTCAATGAAGAGCTGCTGAAGCTTCTCGTTGCAGTAGTTGATGCAAAACTGCTCAAAGCTGAAAGTGACAGCAGGCAAATGAAAGGAAGAGCACATTGAAATTAGCCTCCTACTGAGAAAGATGTGGCATTAATTATATACTTTATTTATTTCACAAAATGAATGCCTCGTAATTGTGATTAATAATAATTAATCCCTTTAAATTATTCAAAATGTTCTATCTTAGCTAGTGGCAAGGTTTCAAAGCAGCAAAACAATTATCATGAAGCGATGCACATAGGTATTTAAACATTGCCGCGTGCGTCGCCGAGTTGGCTGCACACGCGCATGGGTTTGAATTCCACCTGAGCTTTTTTTAAATTTTAATTTGCTTGCTCTTCTGAAATGTATAAGCAGAATCTCAGAACTTATTTCAGGTCCTTCACAACAATGCGCAAGTAGCTGGCACAGTGTTTTGCGTCAGCTGCTGGCGCACTCTCGCCATGTTAAATAAACACTCTCAGTTGTACATTCATCTACCATTTCCTATTCGTCACAATATTCAAGCCTGCTGAAACTTTTTATGATGTGCGCATGATCAATGGATGCGGTAAGGTGGTGATTTGGACCGGGTGGTTTATAGCTAAGGGAAACGGCGCCGAAATAACACAAGGACCAAGGCAAGAGGGTCGAGACAATCTGCCTCATTTTGTCCCTCTTGCCTTGGTCCTTGCATTATTTTGGCGCTGTTTTCTTTAGCAAAGGACGCGCAAGTGACACGAGCAAGCACGGAACTGGCGTTTAGCCAACACCTTCTAGAATAATAGAGGCCTCCAACCACCCCGCTCTTCCTTCCATGGAATGTCATCACAGTCACGCCAACTCGGCAATTGGACCCGAACCCGATGCCGGGCAACCTTCGACGCATTCATGCCCTGACGCCGCACTCATATCCAATCGGAGTCTTCGCTCAATCTCGCTGCAATGACGTGAAGATTCTAGTTCACAGGCATTGATTACTCTAGGTGGTGTCGGTTCAGCCCACTACTGTCACGGCATGTACATACTACGACTTGTAGCACTTTCGCTTCAAGAGCACGGTCGGTAAATTCAGAGACCTGTTCTTCTTGAACACTTCGAAGCCGTAGATGTCCAGAAGGCCCATGAGTGTCCTCCTCTCGGAAGGCCGGGTCGCCTGGGGTGGGAGAAAATGCTCGCTGTGGCGCATGGCACTGCAGGGAGACATGCGGAGGAACGAGAGGAAAGAGGAGCTTGCCTGCGGCCTGAGGGAGACATTTATCTTGTGGACGAGCCACCTGAAGAGCCTTTCGTAGATGGCCTTGGCCAGAGCGTCCCTTGCATAGATGGCCTGATCTCGGTTCAGGGGAGTCGTCACCTGCACGCAGGGCGCGGTTTGCCCTCATTCGTTGTTTCAATAACCCTCGAATTGTCTTCTCCATCATACACAGATGTGGGCACATATTGTAGTCAATCTGAGCACATATATTGTAGTCGACATTGCTCTGCCATTTGAGGCTTCAAAGTTTTGCATTAATTAATGGAAGGCACCGTTTTTTTTTGTTTTTTTTCACTGTACAGATTAGGACAGTATATGCTAAAGCGCCGTTCACACATATGCAACCGAGTAAGACCGAGAGACCAGACCAGTTCTTAAGCCTCTTGCAACGTCTCAGGACCTGCTCCGCTGCAGCGCATCCGGTCCTAAGACGTCGCAAGAGGCTTAAAAACCGGTCTGGTTTCTCTCGATCGGTCTTACTCGGTTGCATATGTGTGAACGGCGCTTAGCACTAGCTACAACCGCTTTTTTTTTTTCAGGTGTATTTCAGGCTTAACAAGTGACATGATGTGGGTGGCAAGGTTGTCCACTTTTTTAGAGCACAGCTCTTAGGCACACGCTTCTGGGTCTCGCAGCATCGCTGTCGATGTCGGCATTGGCGTTGGCGTCAGTGGCGTACACAAAGGGGGGGCCGAAGGGGCTGCAGCCCCCCCCGAAACTTTCGAGCGGGGGGGGGGGGGGAGTGGTCAAGTTCACTGACTCTCGGGTTCATCAATATCAATGCGGTGTTGTTTATTTTTTTTTAACAGCGGAACCAACTTTGTGGAGAAGTTGTAAAAAAAAAAGAAATAAGAAAGGAAGGGAATGCAATATGGGTCATTTATAACATAGTACAAATAATAAAAAAATGTGTAGTTTTAACGACTTTCGTGTAATCTGACTGAGGAATAATTAATTAGCGAATTTATTCCTATCTCCAATCAAGATTCAACGCTTTATGAAAGTCATGGATTGTGTGATATAACAAAAATATGTAGGACCAAAGGTTCTACAAACCACAGCACTAAGATTATGGAAGTGCCCAGCTTAATATTTAACGCTTTGCTGAATTTTTACGCGTGTGAAACGATACAACACAACCTTTAGTAAGAAGAAAAAATGACAAAAACATCAAACATTTAATAAGATGGGTCCAGCTTGTGCTGACCCCACAGATCGCGATAAACGTAACCAAGGACTGCGGGTTGCGCGATTGGGCGTGTAAGCCGCAGCCTCCACAATCTGCTTTTTGTGTATATGTGTGTTGTCGCTTTTGCGTTTTCTTCTGCTCCAATATAGTTTTATATAACGGTCGTCGCGGAGTAGCCGGCATTGCGGGATTCACACACACACACACACGCACACGCACACGCACACACACACACACACACATTGTATATATATATATATGTACTGTAATTGGCTGCATATCTCATTTGTTAAATATATTGTGAGGTAGGCTGCACTGCTAGCGTTACTCAGGAAAGAAAATATATTCGTTTACTTCTACTTTTATTGCTTCGCGAGTGCCCCAATTGCGCGGAGTCGCCGGGGCTGGTTTGTCGTCGTCACGAAGCGGCCCGTTGTCCCCCGTCTTAATTGTTCCTCGAGAACCCCCGCTCTGGGTGCGTACCATGCGCTGTGCCCCGCTCGAGCGCAGCGGGGCACCTCGATGTTTTGTAGCCTTTTTTTTATTTTGAGAAGAAGCGTCGGTACTGCTCTTGCACCCCGACGAGGTTCTTTTTCCTGGAAGCGATGTCCGGCTGACGGTCGACAGTTAGGGCGAAGGTTTTCGGGAGTTTTCGGGGGTCTATGCACGTGTCCTTTCTTAATTGGATTTTGTATTGTATGTGTTTGTTTTGTACCACGTGGCTCCCATTGGTCTAAAAATAGCGATATCTGATTGGCTCCTCGGGGCGGGAAAACTCTTAACAAAGTGAATATAGGCGCCTAGAGGCGCGGGATTTGCGGTTCAAGGTTCGAGTACAGAAGTTGTCATAGGCAGTTTGAGAACTGCGCGAGATAGGGGCGCGAGTGTGTGACCTGCTGCCTCAGGACGAGAGCCAAGTGCAATATGTGAGTGTACAAACCATTTTCCATCGTTCCTTTGTTGCGTCATGTGACTTCCTTGACTTTCTTTTGTGAACGGACTTCGAAAACCTTAGAAATCGACACCAACAAACAAATCACGTAAGATTTTTATTGGTTCGATCAGGTTAAGATGGGAAGTAATTTATGGTGGAGCTGCTTTCCAGATGTTTATCGTCTATCCATCAAGGTGTTCGCGTTTCTACTCGTGCATCATTGCTTTATCAGCCCCGATGACTGGCGGCTTCGTGCATTGGAGTCGTGCTTTATATAATATTTGTTTTTATGATTCTTGTTTTCTGCTAACTCTGGTGCCTTCTGTTGACGTGACTTGTAAATAAAGAAGTGCAAATGCCTTCCTATCCGGGGCACCATTTTTATTTATCATAATCATCCCAAAACCAATATGACAACTTTAATTTAATCATTTAATAGAAGAATGCATAGTTCTTAAGAAAAAATGAAAATGCTTTTATTTCCTCTTGGACTTTCTTTTCTCTTTTTATCTTGTCCCTCTTTACCCCCTTTACTCCCTTTACTCCCTTTACCCCCTTATCTTGTCCCCCGTTGGTCCGGCCCCCTCCGAAATGAAATCCTGCGTACGCCACCGGTTGGCGTAACCACACTAAATTTAGCGGAAAAACTGATGTCACGTGACCTCAACACCAATTCAGTTTCCCTGCTAAATTTAGAGGGGAAATTGACATCACTTGACTTGGTGTCACGTCACCTATGAACAAATTCAGCTTCTCCGCTAGATTTAACGGGAAAATTGACCTCACGTGATCTCAACAGCAATTCAATTCCTTGCTAGATTTAGCGAGAAATTTGACGGCACGTGACCACAACACCAATTCAGTGTCCCCACTAAATTGGGGGGGCATGACGTCACATGACTTGGTGTCACGTCACCTATGAACAACTTCAGTTTCTCCGCTAGACTTAGCGAGAACATTCGTGTCACGGGACCTCAAGAGCAATTCATTTCCCCACTAAATTTAGTGGGAAACCTTTCAAAAAGCTGCATTGATAACATTAAATTTCCATGGGATGTTAGAGAATTGAAATGATATATACATATACAGGGTACTCTATGGTTGTCAAATACATAGTGGTTTGAACTGAATGGCAAAGTAATTTCCGGCTTTTACACTGTAAAGAGATGCAGCCAGTATGTCATGGTTTTCTCCTAGACTGCAAAGGCTGTGAATGATGCGGTGCTATTTGATTCAAACCACTATTCACACGCCTCTATTGTTTTCATACTTGGAACTGCGATGCTTGCCTCGAAATCTTCTTGTATTTATATAGTCTATCCGAGATTACCCGTCGAACAAGATTAAAGCCTATAAGCATTATTATTTATGGCAATTCTATTGCACCTGGCATTCAATATGATAACCTGAAAATCGATAGTGTTGATGTAAATCATGGGCAATTCTATTTAGTTTCACAGTCAACAATAGCGGGATTTTGCAAATGTTAGGATTTTAGAGTAGCTTCGAATAATACACTATTCACTATTCGCTTCAGATGAACTGAAATATATCTATTTAAGTGTCAATCGTTGCAAGTTAGTCCCGTTGAGCGTGCTCATTACCGATCACCGGTGCACTCCGGAGAAGCAATACCGGCGGAAGCCACCTCCACAGGTGTTTTGTGAATGCTGATATCTACACTAGAGTAACATTTTCAAAATTAAACGGTATTATGCAAGAGTATATGTAAGGCAGAAATGTACTGACAGCCTACTATGTTTATTGTTAGTAGGGTTATGCGGAAGCAAGCTCTGCGGAAGCTAGCTCCGCGGGTGTTGCTTCTCCGCAGTGCACCGGTGATCGGAATCAAGCGCACTCAACGGGCAACGCACCGCGATCAACACATGGAAAAGTGTGAATATCGCATTTGCTTGCTTGGAAGAAAAGCACACTTTCAAAGCGGGATGGTGCACGCGCGTGCCTGGTGCATTTGAAAAGAAATGGAAGCGTTGTGAATGTTGATATGTACGTAGCACTAAAAGTTTCAGAATTAAACTTCGAGTGTTATAAAAGTATACGAGGCAGAGATACCCCGACAGCCTGCATTCATCGTGCCCCATTCTTTTTTTTTTTTTTTAATTTGAGATTGAAAAAAGATAATTTGCATACAGCAAGATTTGTACATTCACTTAATTGGGTATAGTTGGACATCTCTATGGAATTAATTTAAATCAAATCAATTGTTTACTTGCTATCCCAAGGTGTCAAACTTTCTGAGGTTTCAGTTCATATATATAGATAAGACTAAACTTAGCTTATAAATGTAAAAGTGGAAGCTTGGAAACAATCTTCATGAGTTCAGCTAGCTTTTCATTTAAACATGGTACAACAGTAGTGAAAGGCCGGGAGAAACTATTCAATATTCAATTTTAACCATATTCAGCAAAATCGATATTCACTTTGAATTCATTCGTAACTCAAGATCCACTATTCGCACATGCCTAAACGATAGGCTTGCGTTGATAAGAAATCAAGATAGTTGGTAGTTCGGCAAGCCTGCTGAGTGAATCTTGAACTCTGATTTTGTGGATCATTACGTGTCAGACTGAATGTTTGTTAATGAAGGACTAAGTACAGATTTATGTGGCTGAGCATGAAGACTCCCAACTCCAAACTTAATCATATACTGTAAACTACTTAATTTTCGCGGGCTCAAAGTTTCGCGAATCGGGCCAAAGCTGAAAATTTGAAATTATTCACGGGTTTTAATTTTCGCGAATCGAGTGTAGCTTCCGTAGCGTTCCCATATTGCCTGAATTGTTCGCGGGACGTATTTTTCGCAAATTGTAGGCGATTCGCGAAAATTAGATTCCCGCGAAAATTTAGTCGTTTACAGTATATATATATATATATATATATATATATATATATATATATATATATATATATATATATATATATATATATATCGAAAAACAAACATTCATGGCACAAACACAATAAATAAATTAGGAATGCACACAACTAAAACGAAAGACAAAGTATAGCTGAAGGAAAAAGACACCAATGTTCTGTCTCTTTTCTGCCAGAACATGTAAACCTACCACACTTTATGGAAATTTCACCACAAAAACGAGTCACTTTGCCCAAGCTTGAGAGTCTGTGCCCTATGTCTTAGTGTACTAGTTATGAAGCAGTCTTTGCGAAATCCCTTTGATTTTATTGATTCCACTGGTCCCATTTTATGTCCTGAGACTACCTGCTATATATACTGCACTGTCTAATATCCGCTGAGTAATGCACAGTGGGGGAGGCAAGCATGCTATGCCCCCACCCCCTGATGACTCTGCAGAGGGGCACAGATTCGGTAGGGTTCTGTTTTTGTTGTGAAACACAACAAAAACGGAACACTGTTGAGTTTGCACCCCTCTGGAGTCACCAGGAGGGGGGCCCAGAGCCGTATATTGGGAGAGTCTGGCCAGTGGGTGTGGCGATGAAGGCGCTGGAGAAGAAAAAAGGGAGGAGAGGGAGCAAAGCGCCAAAGGAGCGAGAAAGAAAAGAGGGAGTAAAAAGCAGGCAGAGAGGAGACGACCGCCATTTTGATGCGACTCGCTTTCCGTAAAGAGCACTGTTGAAGTTATGTGTTGTCTGCTACTGGCCGACTTGTTTTTCTCCTGATTAAAAGTTTGCGGTCTGACGTCGAGAAAACTTTGTTAACTTTTTAACCCACCGAGGAATAACAGTACTGTGAACGACTGATTTTTCGAGGGCTCAATATTTCGCGATTTAGGTCAAAGCTGAAGTTTTGGAATAATTTGCGGGTTCTAATTTTCGCGATGCGGTGGTGTCTCAATATAGATTCCAATGTGTTTACATTTTACCAGAATTGTTTGCGGGACCTATTTTTCGCAAATTGTAGGCGATTCGCAAAAATTACCTAGGTCCTCGCGAAAATTAAGTCGTTTTTTTTTGCTAGAGCCAGCGATATAAAAGGAAATTAAAATTTAGATGCCAATCCCATGCATTCCACCGGGTGAATGAATCCAGCCGGGAGTCCACGTGCATGTGCTCACGCCTCTCACTCTGTGCCACGGGCTGATTGGCTCACTGGAGAGGGGGGCGTTACGGCGGCGAGATAATAAACTGGCCAAACTCTCCCAATATGCAACTTTGGAGAGGCCATAGCAGGTGACATCTAAATAGGGTATTTATTTCTTTTGTTGGACATACACAAAACGAAAAACAAACAAAAAATCCAGGAGAAAATATAAAAATTTTTTAGAACTATTTCAAGCATCCTCAGAGAAACAGCTGCCTTGAGGCGAAAATCGTTTCTGTAAATAATTTCAGCAGCAAAACAGAAAATAAAACAAATATATTCCTCTGCAATAACAGCCAGCAGAGAATTTAAGGACACCTGTACCTGCAACTTTAATTACAGAAACAGCACATGGCCTTACCTCTTTGTCTGATGCCAGGTAAATGCAATCTTTTGGGGCCTTTCTGAGGTGCAGATAATGTGATCAGTGCTTTACTTTGCATATGATTTTTTCATCAGAACAAATATTAATGTCTCCAAAATCTGAATAAGTTCGACACAGATTTTAAAAGTACAAGTGCAAAGGGTTGAAAATGAATGTTTTATAGAACCGTATTTTCAGGTTTACAAATGTAAATAACATTCTAAACTCCAGCGGCCACTTGAATAGAATGGTAAGACATTATTGCAAGAACTTTGTTGCAGGCATGAAAGCCAGTGAGGGAGTGGGTAAAGGTTTAATAGGGGTCATGCACATATGCCCGTCACAAAGAACGACTGGGTGTGCCGCGCGAATGGTGGCATGGACTTCGCGCGAATTCTCTGTCCTTTTCCAGGATGCTGCTAACATTATGGCCTTGTAGAAGCTTGGCATATCTACAGAAAAATTGAGGCCAAAATGCTCACCAGTTCTCCCCTGGCCTCTATGGTCCTGTTGGTCAGAGCATCCCTGAGGACCTCTTCAGAGCAGACGACAAGCTGCACAGTCATCATTCAGTCTAGGTCAGGGATAAGAACTGTTGGGCTGGCTAGTTAGCAACAGAGTCTCAGCTAAGCCTGCGTAAACAGAAAAAAATGATTTCCAACCCCTTGGACGTGCGAGCGCTTGAGACCCAATTTGCATGCCACCCATTGTGTGCTAGCTTGGCCTGTCCTGGCACTGCATTCGTTAAAGCAGCCTTAGCTTAGGCTCTGCTTCTAGTAAGTCAACCCTGGATTCAAGAATCCCAAGCAGGAGCTCGATTCCACTCACCTTGGCAATGGCCGCCACAGGCTTGTCCTGGGCAATGACGGCTTCCCCGTTCTCTTCGACAAAGCCGGTGTTGCCCAGGTGCAGCACTGTGGCCACTATGGCGAAGATCTCCTGCGCATTTTTCTCCGCCGTTAGTCTCATGGCTTCGGGACTGCGCCACACCCACCTCTTCCTCCCGCAGCGAGAAGTCAACCACGGAGAGGGCCTCCCGCACCACCCGGAACTGTGCACCGTCGTCGATGCCAAACACCTCGCTGCTGTCGCCCTGGCCGACAAAAGACGCCACTCGGTTTTAGTAGGATGCTCTATAATATAAAATGGGTTACGTGTGCTGTCCTGCCCCTTTGCTGCCTACTACTACTATCAGCGTTTTAGTATCACATAAAAAGTTCATTTTTTTTTTTTAAATTCAATCTGAGGCCGCTGAAGAAGAGACCACCGGCATCAAAACGTCCCGCCTAATGCCACTAAAAGAGCTATGCTTCAGAGCAATTACACTTCAGCCATCTTGTTGCTTAAAATCATAGGTGCCATTTATCTAAAGCTTTTAGTGTTGTGCGAATATCTGCTATTTCGAACAGTAGTTTTGTATAATACACTGTTCAATATTCGCTTCGAGACAAACTGCGATATTCGTATTTGTTGAAGTGTTGATCGCGGCGGTTTAGCCCCGTTAAGCGCACTTCTTACCGAGCACGGGTGTAGTGCGGAGAAGTAACATCCGCGGAAACGAGCACCGCGGATGTTGCTTGTTTGCAGGACACCGGAGCTCGGTAAGAACCGCAACCCGCCGAGATCGGCTCTTGGGAAAGTAAAATATTACAATAGACCGATCACTCAGCCATGGTTTCACTAAGCCACCGCTGCCGTTATGCACCGTGGGATCTGTAGTCTTTCTGCACGCGCGACAACGCCGCTGAGTGTCTGCGGGAGCACAGCACGAGGCGGCACAAGCTGCCTTGTGCACTGGCGCCAGTGGCGGATCCAAGGGGGGGGGGGGGGGGGGGGGGGAGGCGACGGGGGCGGCCGCCCCCCCCCCTCCCCAAACAAAGTCGACCCCTCTCCCTCCCCCCTTCTCGGAGGGCAATTTGCCATGGGTGGACCCCCCGGTGCACAAGAAAGAATGGTAGTATACCATTCTTTCCGCTCCCCGCCCCCCCCCCCCCCCCCCACACACACACAAAACGGAGTTCTGGATCCGCCCCTGACTGGCGTCTGCCTCCCATGAATTACAGTTATGGCGGCGTCACGCATGCATGTAACGCTCAGTGCGATCAGTCTGCGTTCTTGAGAGAAAAGCACATTTTCAAAGCTGGTGCACGTGCGTGCCGACGTTGCAGTAACATTTTCAAAATAAAACTGTGGCTGTTATGCAAGGTTATACGTAGGATTCCGTATTTTCGGTCTGCTCAGGCCGAAAATAGTATTGCTTATTTACTAAAACAAACAAACAAAAAAAAATTGTATTTTTAGAGTTTATCTTTAGCTAAATATTCTGAGTTTCTCAGAGTTTATTTTTGTTAGATTCCCAATTCTCTGAAGTAAGAAGTTTATGTTTTCTGTTTCCAAACTTTCCAGATTAAAAAAAAAAAAAAAGAAAGAAATTTACAAAGACATTTAAGACTGCTAACGTGTCGGAATGCAAAATCATTCGTATACGTAGCGTTCGTCCTACAAGCTGCGCGCCGCGCTGAGCTCGGCCGTGCAGTCTCTCCGGAGTGTGCCCGGGCGGGCTCTGCTAGCTCTGCAGCTGGCCACGCCCTCTTACCGGCACCCGGGCCGCTGTGCCACCATGGAGAGGGCTTCTCTGTGGGGTGGCGTTGCTTGGAACTACACCGGGTGCCACCCAATAAGATGGCTGCTACAGATTACAGCCTTCGCACCATGGGACAGGGAAATTAAGGGGCCGTTTGGCGCGGCTTCAAAAGCTGATAAGGCCGGTTCGCTCTATGGGACAGTTAATGCTTTCGCATTAATAGATATTAACCGGCGGGTATTACCCTGCCTTAGATTTATAAAAAGGCATGTGTAGTCGTTGGAAAACTTTTTTTTTTTTCTTGTTCTATTCTACCGCTTCTCCCTACGGCTGCGTGGGGTGGAGTGGTGAGATAGCGGTTTCAGATGTCCCTTCTATGAAAGATAAGAGTTCATAGCTTTCACGCTTATCAAATCACAACCCTATCTTTCTCTAAGAAGTTCAGCCTGAAAACCGGTTTGTGTTGTGACCCAGAACTACAATGCCCCGTTGTCTTGAACGAACCCCGACGGAATAAACAGTGAACCTTCTTGGGTCAATACTAGGAGGTTTTTAAGGAATCTTGGGAGACCTCTCCTGATGACTGCTGAACCTGTGCTCTGACCAAACTTATTTGTAAAAAAAAAAAAAAAAAACGCCTTTTTTGTTTCTTTTGGCCATCATTACCTCCAAATTCAGAGTTTTTTGGGTAAACCCAAATTAAATAAAATTTTATCGGCAAGTGTTTTGTTTTTCTCCGGATCTTATCGGATTTATTCGAAAACACGCTCCGTGTTTTCCAATAAATCCGATAAGATCCGGAGAAAAACAAAACACTTGCCGATAAAATTTTATTCAATTTGGGTTTACCCGAATTGTTATAGTTATATGTTAGGCATATGCCTTAACAACCTGCGTTCCTCATTCGTGATTTTCTTTTCTTCAAATTTGAGATTGAGGAAAGATTTTTTGCATTTAGCAAGATTGTAAAAGCATTTAATTGCTGTGCATTTTTGTGGGATTAATTTTATGTCAAATCCGCCATTTACTTGCCACCCCAAGACATCGTACTTTCTCAGGTCACAGTCCATAAATTTCTGAGAGAACGCCCGCCCCCGAGAGATCGCCCATCCCATTTTTCTGGCTCAATATCTGTAACATAAAAATTCCGAAACACCGCCCACCTCCGATCCCCGTCGGACGTCACGCGCGAAATACGATTCTGCTACGTCCGCGATCTGCGGTATCCGTTCCCGTGACACAAGGTTTGTAGCTGATTCCCGTGGTTTTTGTCCGCGAACTGCGCGCGCAATATCGGTTCCCGTGACAGGCAAGTTTGTAGCGGGTTCCCACGTGTTTATTGAACCATGTAAATCCGCTGCGTCCGCGATTTTCGTTCCCGTGAGATGCGAGTTCTCGGCAGGTTTCCGCGTGTCCATCGCACCGTGAAATGTGCTGCGTCCGCAACCTGCGGTTTCCTTTCCAGTGACACAGGATCGAGTTGGTAGAGAATTCCCGTGTCTTTATCGCATCGCGAAACGCGAATTTGCGGTGTCCGCAATCTGCGCTATCAGTTCCCGCGTCAGGTGATTTCTAGCCGCTGTCAAGGTGTTTATCATTAATTTTTGATAAAGTTTTGCTCTGGCATCCACAAAGATAGCCCACGCCATGTTATTGACCATTAATCTCTTTATTTTGGGGAGGTGTTCTTTCGGAAGGAACTTTACGAACTTTACGGTAGTTAGATTAAAATTAGCTTATAAACTGACAAGTGGAAGCTTGGGAACAACCTTCACTACTTTTGCTTAGAGAAATTATTCGATATTAGAATAAAAAAAATATTTGGCCAAAACCACTATCTCGACCGCTTATAATGAAGTCGGTTATAACCACATAGCGGCTATAGCGAAGCGATAACGATTTACCATTTCCGCTTTCACTTTTTCAAAGTATTTGTATCTGTTTTTAGCGAATGAAATCAAGCGGCGCCCGCGGATAAAACAAAAAAGTTTGTAATGAAAAAATATATATATATTAAATTTAGAAAGTATACTAAGTCGAGGACCGCCGCACTTAACCGTCGCGGCCGAGCAGTCAGCCAGAACTGGCAGCAGACGATGCTTCAAAAGCCGGCGGCGGCATCTGCATCGTCGTCTGCTGCCCCTCTTTATCCGGGAGGGGAGGGAGGGGAGAGGAACACCGGTGAAACGAGCGATGACGTACACTTAAAATACATATCCGAAGGAGAAAAAAAATTAACCGGCTTGGATGTAGAAAGGATGCCATAAAATGAATTTACAGCGAAAAAAATGTTTAGAGCTATATTTACGGCGCGAAACAAATTTGTAGTTGGCGTTAGCGGGAGCGCCTACTAGCAGTCACGTGACTGGTCACTAATCACGTGGTAGACCTGTGCGCCGCCGCCGCCATTCACACTGTAAAAAAAGTATTTTTCAGTCCTCGTCAACGCCACCGTCGAAAAAAAAAAAAAAAAAAAAAAAAAAAAACGAGGCAGTCACTTATGGCCACCCGACGTCGGTGTCTTCTCGGGAAACCTCGCGTTTGTTGAGAAAATGCGGAATTTTTTTATTCATGTGCTTCTTACAATTGTTGCCAGGAGCGTCGAGGATTGCATGCATGTGCACATCACATTTTTGCACAAAGTGGATTCAGGGAGGCTACGCGTACGAGCGCGCATCCATCACTTTAAAAGTAACTGGTTCCACCTTGCAGAAAACCGGGTTCGAGGATTCCTAGGATGACAACTCGCGTATCAGGCGAGAGGAGGATCAAGTTTCTTTGAAGGAACTTGGGGGGCATAGGATATGCCACAATAGGCAGAAAGGGGATTTGGAGGATCACTGCAACAGTTGTAAGCATGTGCTCAGCATATGGTTCAAACGAGCAGCGGCACTCCCTCGACCAAGAAAGCTAAATTCTGCTAGCTCCATTGAGTTGAACTCAATGGAGCCAGCAGAATTTCGTACCAGAACCTTGCAGTTTTGGTATGACCACAAAATTGCGTACAAAGATTTTTTTTTTTTTTTTTTTAAGGTTTACAGATTTGTTTAAAAACCGTCGTGAAAGCTACACTAATGCAGTTTGTGCAGGCGAGTTAACTGGCACGGGGACATAGTATAAGGGGCTAAGCGTAACGTTCAGTCGGCAAATTAGCTAAGTATGTTAATTAACGTTTTAATTGTTGAAAATAAACATATGGTTCTAATTAGAAACTTGCTCAGCAACATCGAAAACCACTAAATCAAAAAAATTCAGCAATAATTTGAGCGTGTGGAAAGCGTACTAGAGCGCTAAAGGTACCACTCGTGCAGCAGGTACAAGGCTGAGGCTAAAGCACTGCATGGGCCCTGGCTATCCCGAAGGCCCAAGCCCGGCCTGGCCCACGGGCCGGGCTCGGGCCGGGTAGCACGTATTTTCTCGGACCCGGGCAGGACTCGGGCTTGAACAAAATATTTTTCGGGCCGGGCCATGGCTAAGCAGTCCATGTACCGCAAATTCTATATATTGCTGATAACAAAAAGTGTGCTCATTGATCCTGTATGTTCAAAGAAAACAAACAAGCAAAATACAATATCACTAAAGCGCTGTTAAAAAAAAAAAAAGGACGTTTTGCTTTTGGAAAGTTTCCACATGAATAAAAGGAAACGCATGTATTCCAACAGCCTAGTGGGAAAGTGCTGTCAAGAAAACGAGGGCACTCCAGTCGCAGGGTACAACATTAGAGTCTTTTTCCTCTGCCGCTCAAACTAAAAAAAAAAAAAAAAAAAATGAAGAAAAAATGTGAGCTTGATTTTGCACTTTGTGCAGGGGGCCTTACTGTACCACCAAACATAAGCCAACTTCCATAGATAATTTTATGCAATACAGCTTTTTGAAGATGCACTAGCGTGATTCTGATTGTTTCTGCGCAAAAATATGAAAATAGGAAAGTTATCTGAAAAACGAATTGGACAATAAAAAGTCCAATATCTTTTCAAGAAATTCATAAATTAAATATTGCCCACTTTTTTTTCCTCAAAATCACTTAAGACGTGCATATTTCACCCATACTCTCGAAAATACATCGTCTAAGTCGGAATATTTAAACTGTAAAAAAAAAAAAAAAAAGAAAAAAAAAAACTCGGTTTAAGTTTAAATGACATTTAAATGAAATATGCTCGCTTTATGCTTACACAGTTTTTTTTTAGGTTTTTCAGGGTCATGTATAATCTGTCGGGCTCAGGCTTATATTAAAAAAAAAAAAAAAAAAAAAAAAAGAAAATCTTCGTCGGGTTCAAGCTTCTGTCTGAAAATTCTTCCGGGGCCGGGCCCAGGCAGTGTCTCTTCCGGGCCGGGTTGGGCCGGGCCTAAAAATTAAATATTCTATCGGGCTCGGGCCGGGCCGTGCCTCTAGCGGGCCGGGTCGGGTCGGACCTAGAAATTCCGGCCCGTGTTGTGCTCTAGCTGGCGCCATCATAAGAGACGAGAAAATCGCGCGGGTGCCTTATCGCATAGGCGTAGACTACCGGGGGGGGGGGGGGGGGGGGGGGGGGGGCATCGGGGATCGTGTTCCCCCCCCCCCCCCCCCCCCCCCCCGGGCCATGATCCTTACGGAGAGGCTGTTTACGTGGATTACTGCTTCAGAAGCACAGGGGCCTGGGTTCTACCCCTACAACTTCGCAGCTGGCACAAGCTTTTTGTTTTTCAGTTTTGTGCTCACCGACGCATGCGCCGTGGTACCTGCCAGGAACACACGGCTACGCTTGCACGGTGATTGACATTGACACACAGGGACGGACACATGACGATATACATGCGCTGTAAACTGTACTCCCTAAAATACATACGCTGTAAAATGTACCCCTTCTCAGCCTGCCCCCCCCCCCCCCCCCTTTTCCCTGGAAAATGGAAAGTCTACGCCGCTGCCTTATCGCAGCAGTAGCCTTGTTCCTGCTGTACGAGAGGAAACTACAGCACACTACTGCGCTTCTCTTTCTTTCTGAAAATGACCGAACTAGTGATTTTAAATGACGCTGAGCAAGTTTCTAATAGACCGATCTCACTAGCTGTTCGCCGCATCCGTGTCACCGCCATAACTTTAGTTCACAGGAGACGAACGGCAGCGCATGAGAGGGCTCGTGCCGTCTCGTGCACTACACGCGCAGAGCTCCAGCGGGGTTGTCGCACGTGCAGAAATACTAAGGTTCCCTCGATGCATTGCGGCAGCGGTGGCGTGGTCCAACTGGACGGTGAGATCGGTCTATTGCAACCATATGTCTGCTGTCACTAATTAAAAAGTGAATAAGAAATTTCACTTACTTAGCCCCCTGTACTATGACCCCAGGCCGTATAACTCACCTACACAAACCAAGTACGTACAGCTTTCACGGCTTTTTTTCTAAACAAATCTGTAAAGATTAAAAAAAAAAAAAAAAACCGCACGGTATTTTGAGCACATGCTTACATATATTTTGGGGGCAATGGACCAATGGTTCATTGACCTTAAAACTATGTTTGAGGCAGGACAAAAAAAAAAAAAAAAAGGAAACCAGAATCTGAGCTGCACATTGAAAAAAAATCGTCGTAGCACGACCACATGCCCGCTTCTTTGTTTCCTAGAGTGCCCTAGCACGGCCACGCTCAGAGCGGCGGGGCGGCACACCTGGTTCAGGTAGTAGTAGAAGCCGGGGTCCCTGCGCAGAGCCATCTTCTCGAGCAGTGCGTGGTCGGCCCCCGTAATGAGCTGGTAGAAGATGTGGAAGTTGCGCTCGCCGGACGCCTGCTGCACCACCCGGGACTTCTCCAGCAGGTAGCTGAGGATGTGGCCGCCCACAGGGGCCCCCTGCAACGCCGCGCCGGTTATGACGGGCCGTCCAAATCAACCGTGACCTCACATGAGTGCGGTATGCAGATGGTTAGGGTAAATCTAAAATGCTCTGCTGGCAGAGCGGAGCAGCGCAATAGTCGCCCATTTTGATCCTTCAAGTATCGTGGGAAGCGACCGTCACTCTTGCAGGAGATGTGGCTGCGTACGACCTTAATGTTGGCACGGCGGTGACCTTCTCTCTTGGAAGCGAGTGCACCCTGCAAGTGCTTTGGATCATTTTGTGCATGTGATCCCTTTCGCCGCCAATGAGGAGTTGGTGGCCAAAAGGAAAGGACTCGGCTTCTCTGCATTCGATGTTCGAGTATCTGGTGTGGTGCACCATTGTCTTGAAATCAAATGCTTTTGCTTTCAAGTTCTAGCAGTTTCTCGGCCCCTGCGGATTGCTACAGTCTCGCTCTGAAATACTGTGTAGTCTTGAGGATGTTTTCACCACTTTGATCGTTCGGGTCCTTCGCAGCTTCTGTCTCCACCAAATAGCGCGGTGATGCAGTATTAAGTTTTAGGAAGCCTAACATCTACTACGCGCCATTTCGATGATGGGTTACCCACGGGTGGCGTTCAAAACACCGAAAATCAAAATGCCAAATTATCGGAATGCCGAAATTTAAAACACCGAAAATTCAAAAAGCCGAAAAGTCAACACATTGAAACATCAAAATGTTGAAACATCAAAATGCTGGCATCACCTAGTTATAGTGGAAGATAAAGTTTCTTGGCGAGATACATTTTCTTGGCAATGTGATCAAAGTTAGGGGGGAGGTTCCGACGGCCGATGTGCCCGCGCTTTCGCCCTCCTTTTTAATAGCCATGAAATGTTGTCCCCGAGTATAGCTTCCCTTCGCATGGCTTCAAGCCTTCAAAAAACGAAAAATATATTTCTGTATATCTCGTCGCATAGCAGAGCGATGTCGTCTTCGACTCGATGTCGTTTTCGACTCTAGCTTGCTCCCTTTTCATGGTGGTGATGAGCCGGAAGACGCTTACGTGGTGTACGCCAACCACAGTCCCCCTCGTCGGTGCCATGCGTCAGCGGCGTTGTTGCCCCTTGGAAAACCGTTACTGATATCGGTGCCTTTGCAGAACGAGTTAAATAGGTTCGTGTCAGTGGAAAGTGATCTGGCAGAAAACGAACAAGTGGTAGTCACAAAGCGCGACATTTCTTTTTCACGTGGTTTTCGGCGTTATGTCTTTTCGGCATTTTGATTATTCGACATTTTGATTTTTCGGCATTTAAATTTTTCGGCATTTGAATTTTTTCGGCGTACTGACGTTCGGCTTTTCCATAATTCGGCCTCTTGAGTTTCGGCGTTTTGATAGGGACCAGTTACCCACATCTGGTGGGTGTGTGCCAACTACGACGGATCTTTAGGAAGTTTAATAAGATAATTTGAGTTTATTAGTTAAATAATTATTATGTCGCGTTCGTCTTCTGACGGCCGCCGTGGTTGATAGTGTGGTACAAAATAAACCAATTGTGTATTTTCATACAATTTTTGAGAGAATACTTCGTCTAAAAAAAGTAATCTCTTTAAGTTCTCTTTTGTGCACCGTATGGTGGACGAAGAAATTGTCTGTGACATGGGAAACAGTATTGACTATCATTATTGTTTCCTCATTCTGTTCCATAATCCATAAGGTCATGAACATGTTCTAGAATATAAAAAAATGGAAGGCGTTTACAACTCCCTGTAACGCCGAATTAGAGCGCAGCTCTTGAGGAGGAGGAGGGGAAGGTACGGAGAGGAGGCTATGCCCCTCCTCCTCACCTGCTCCTGCTCGCCTCCCATTTAGGGGAAAAAATTTTCCCGATAAATTTATAAAAAAAAATCCCCGCTAAATTTAGCGGAAAATTTTCCCCGCTAAATTTAGTGGAAAAGTTTTCCAGCGGTTACGCCGACGCCGACGGCGACGCCGATGCCGCTCAAGACGGAAACGGGCGCCTAAGAGCTGCGCTCTAAAGCATATTAAATATTAATAATAATAATTGCGGGCACCTCGAACGGTATCCAATTATTAATCGTAGAGTGTCCAGAAAACGGACAAATATCGGCAACTCATCGCAATCCCCACTAGCATTTGTTGAGACAATTAAACTTTCTGTTTTGAGAGCAGCCATTACTTCGCATTTACGTAAAAAAATGGGTTTATTTTTATGGCTTGAGTTTGACGCTTACACAAATGCAAGGCACGCAATTTACAAAGGTTTGTTCTACATCAAGACCAATACAAGATCACAACTTTTTATCTTCGCAGTGTAATATCTTTACGGTGGAAAGAGCGTATCTCGAGTGTTTTATTCCTATCATTTGCTTGATCGTTGCATTACAGAATGTGTCGTCCTGTGTCTCAGTATGTCACCAAAGAAGAAAAGAATATTGACAGGGCATTCTGCAAACTAGGCAGCACAGATACCGTACGAACGTCCGAAAGACGTCCGTGGAATATGAGGTCAGCCTGCGGACATCCATACTTTCCCGCGTGGGTGTGGGGCACTGACCAGATAGTCGAACTCGATGTCCATGTACTTGCCGAACCGACTGGAGTTGTCGTTCCGATTCGTCTTGGCGTTCCCGAAAGCCTGCAATCAGACATTACCGTATAAGCTCTTGGGAGTTCACTTTGACCACTTTGTCGAATGGCGGGTTACAATGCGCAGAAAGTAACTTTCGGAGAAGAGGAACAATTGTTTTCGTCGACATTACAGACTGATCACGTGAAACACTGCATGCTCGTGTGTACCCGTAACAACTATGAATCGGCATTGATTTTGGGGATTCCGGTTTTCAAAAGCATCGGTTAACTGGTTTTTCAGAAACCGGCTAATCTATTTTGGTTCTTGGAAGTCAGCGAATATAGGCCGTTTGCAACTCGCTCAAAACTGACCGTGTTCTCTCACTATGTTTTACTCAAGAATTGAAAAGGTCTGGTGGGTTGCCTTTACAAACGCTGTCTAAAAACTGCAAGTCAGACACCGCACTCATTTAGCATGCTGATAGTAAGATAAATTGAACTCATTTAAACTAAAACAAAAAGTCAATATGCATGTAGTGTAGGTAGTGCATATATTGTGAAAATATCGACGGTAGACTCATTCCTAACAAAAACTGAGACGAAATATAAACACGAACGTCAAACTTGGGATAGATGCAAAGGAGGAAGAGCTATCTAGGAAGTCATATTTTGATAGCTTTTCATGACGCTAGTTCTGCAGGACATGGAGTTGTCTAAATAAAAATAGAATTTGAAATAGGGCTGCTGCGTGGACAACAAACACTGTTTACAAATCTTAAAAATTTCAAACAAATCGCTCGAACTGTAACCTCTGCCCATTTCCGCTACCGAACCACCTATGAGCGGGAACACCACTTTTCACAGGTTGTCACCGAGCTGGCATGCTGATTTACCCCTAAGTATCGTAAATTACATACAGGCTGTTTCTTTCAGGCTTTAGAGATTTGTTTTAATAAATCCGTGAAACACATTTATTCGGTGTGTGATGGCGAGTCATACGGCACAGGGGACATACTATAGAGGGGCATTTGTCACAATAACTTGGTTAAATAAGTTTTTAAATGATTGCAGCTAAAGATATGGTTTCAACCAGAAACGTGATAACCCCAATAAGTAAATTTTAGAGAGATTTGAGGCGCGTGGGAAGCGGGGTGGTGCACTAAAAGTTACCAGTCGCGCAACAAACGCAAGGCTTGAAAACAGGCCCGCGCGGAATTTTCATATGCTTTAAATAAGCAACAACGCTTCGAAGTGCGACTTCATTACTTTACACTCTTCGGCATCCTACGCTATATGTTTTTCTTTCTCCCCCTTTCCCTCTCTCTCTCTCTCTCTATATATATAGCAGATAAAATAAAAATGTCATTTTTTATATTGAAACATCAGCAACATGCGTTTCTCTCGTTGCCCGCAGCACCAGCTCTCTGCGCGGTAAACAGAGTATCGGGCAAGCCGACCTCGAGGATGGGGTTGGAGCGGAGCAGCTTGTCCTTGACCCTCTCGACGGCGTCCGAGTGGTGGCTGACGGCGGCCAGGTACTGGAGCACCTTCTTGGAGGCCTCCGTCTTGCCCGATCCGCTCTCGCCCGAGATGAGGATGCACTGGTCCAGGCACTCCTCGCGCATACCACTGTACGCCGCGTCCGAGATGGCGAACCTGGACACAGTGCAAGGCGCTCTCAACTGGGGAGCCAACAGGAACCTTCATTTCCGATTCCCTATAATGCTTGGAGCGATCCTTTAAAGGAGTAGTACAACGAAATTTCGGCACTTATTTTGTGGTCTATATGTGTTGAAATGAGCAGTATCACGTCGGACACACCAATATCTTGTTAAAAAAGACACGAAAAGGAATTTTCTCCGAGCGCTTGCCAGAATGGGCCGTTTATAACAAAAATAGAGCCACCAGGCTCAAAATACAAACGTGCGATTGTCATTTACGAATATTGTGGATCATATTCAACCTATTTTTGAACACGACGGATATATTTCAAATTTCGTTGAAGTATCCCTGTTATGTAGCGGCTGGCAAGCTGGCGCCCATCGGCTCGTGACCATCGGCTGCACTCGGACCGAGCGCTCGAGAGCCGCGGGGCACGGGCAGACAACGCCAGGCTAGGAACGTTGCGCCAGGCTTAATCGGAGGCTCCATCAGAATAAATCGATTAGACAACCTTCGAAGGCTACATCTCGTATTTAACATTGGCGACGAGGGCGGAAGAGAACTCCAGCAGCGGTTCAAGTATGTCTGTGACACAAGGCAAGCTCGAAGAATTCCAAGGGACAGGATGGTCGGCCTGGGCGGAGCGATTGGAATTCTTCTTCCAGGCAAACGACATAACGGACCACGCGAAAAAGAGAGCCCTGCTGCTGACCCTTTGTGGCGCTGAAACCTACGAGACTGTGCAAGCGCTGACGGCCCCGAGGAAGCCCGGCGAAGTTGCCTTTGAAAGCATCATGTCCATGCTCCAACAACATTACGATCCACGGCCTTCGGAACTATTCAGCCGAAGCCAATTTCAACGCCGCGACCAACAGCCGGGTGAGTCCATCGCTACCTATGTGGCGGAACTAAAGAAATTAGCCGCCAACTGCAATTTCGGCGTGCTGACACCTCTCTCGGTGGCCACAACTAGCGCCGGAGCATCGACCGCTTCAACTAGCGCTGAAGGACGAGCGGCCGCCGCCCCTTTGACATTGAATCCAACCATGCTGCCGCTGGATGTAATGCTGAGAGACCGTTTGGTGTGCGGTGTGCAAGATGAGCGTCTGCAGCAACGGCTTTTCGCAGAGCAAACGCTCACGTTCAAGCAAGCATACGACATGGCAACAAGACTGGAAAGCGCGGTAAAACAGCAGCAGGAACTTAAAACTCCCAAGACGGAACTGCATAGGGTCACACAACCACAGGCTACGAAGCAGACCTCGGATCGAGATCAAACGCAACCGGATCTACGATGTTACCGCTGCCATGGACGGCACAGGCAAGACAGTTGCCCATTCAGCAGGGTAGCGTGCCGTTTCTGTAAGAAAATAGGACACATCGAAAAAGCTTGTCGAAACAAGATGAGGACTGGCACACGTCACTCAACCTATCAGATGGACTGCGGCGCAGAAGAGGACGCCCTAGAATCACAAAGTGGAGCTTCTGTTAAAAGCTACGGGATGGACATGCAAGAGCTTAACGCACAACGTGCAACCAGTTTCGTTCCCAAGTACCTGGTGACCCTCAAGGTCGAGGGAAAGTTACTAGAATTCGAGGTAGACTCAGGAGCAGCATTTACGGTAATCAGTGAGGCCACATACCGGAAGGTGTGGCCAACCAGGCCTCCGTGCCTACGGAAAGAGAACGTCACCCTTCGGACATGGACCGGCGAAGGCTTGAGTGTCCTGGGCTCAGCTGAAGTGCGCGTGAGACATAAGTCCAAGGACTACGTTCTACCGCTGGTGGTAACAAGTGGAACCGGCTGCAACTTGATGGGCAGAAATTGGTTCCCAGCGCTAAAGATCCAGGTCAGCGGGATACACCATCTTTCGCCAGACAAAGAAGTCCAGAAGGTTCTCAGTGCACACAAAGCGGTGTTTAAGTCCGACATCACAGGATACAACGGCCCACCTGTCCAGTTGGAAATGAAGGAGTCAGCAACGCCAAGATTCCTCAAGGCACGCCAGGTACCTTTCGCCCTGCGTGCTGTCGTGGAATGCGAACTGATGACACTGCAAAAGCAGGGCATCCTGGAGCAGGTCCAACATTCAACATGGGCCACGCCCGTGGTGGTGGTTAGAAAGACGGATGGTTCGGTGAGGCTCTGCGGAGACTACCGCAGCACGGTGAACAAGACAGCAAAACCGGTGGCTTATCCGCTGCCGACACCCACTGAAGCCTTATCTAACCTCCGGGGTGGAACAGTCTTCTCGACGCTGGACCTTGCGCAGGCTTATCAACAGCTACGCGTGACAGACGACACGGCCGAGGTACTGACAATCAACACCATCAAGGGCCTGTATCGAGTGAAGAGACTTCCCTTCGGAGTGGCGGCAGCTCCTGCAATCTTCCAGAAAGTCATGGACACAACATTAGCAGGCATCTCAGGAGTCAGTGCGTACCTAGACGACATCATCATCAGCGGGGAGACTACGGAAGAACATAACTATCGACTAGATCAAGTATTGACGAGACTAGAAGGTGCAGGACTAAGACTAAAGGAAACCAAGTGCCGCTTCGGGGTGAGTGAAGTAAAATTTCTTGGCCACCTCATCAATGCGGACGGCATACATCCCACGCAGGACAAGATTAAGGCCGTAGTACAGGCGCCCGAGCCAAGGAACAAGACAGAGCTGCAGTCCTTTCTGGGACTGTTAGCTTTTTATGACAGATTTCTAGAGAATCGAGCAACGATTGCGAAAGAGCTCTATCACCTACTGGAACGGAAGGCAGAGTGGCGATGGGAGCAAAACCACCGCGAGGCTTTCCAGAAGTTGAAGGATCTGGTGGTGCAGTATACAGTACTGGCACACTATGACGAAAGAAAACCACTACTGTTGTCCTGCGACGCTTCGCCTTACGGTGTGGGCGCCGTACTAGCACAGTTGGACTCCGACGGCCGAGAGGCTCCGATTGCGTTTGCGTCCAGGACCCTGGGAACCGCTGAGCGCAACTACTCACAACTGGACCGAGAGGGCCTAGCCATTGTGTATGGAGTCAGCCATTTTCATCAGTATGTCGCAGGGCGAAGCATGACAATCTACACAGATCATCAACCTCTTCTTGGCATCCTAGGAGCTGACAAGCCCGTTCCACAAGTGTTGTCACCGCGGATGACCAGGTGGTGCGTAAAATTGGCCGCTTATAAGTATGAGCTGAGGTACAGGCCAGGAAACCGCCATCAGAACGCGGACGCTCTAAGCCGACTTCCCATGTTCACCACGGAGGAGGAGCCAGAAGTACCCGGAGACATACTGATGTTTGAGGCTTTGACCCGTCCACCGCTCTCCGCGGACCAAGTAGCCAGGGAGACAGCACGTGACGCCGTCCTGTTAACAGTATACCAGGCAGTACAAGAAGGCACTATTCATCGGTATCAGTCCCCAGAGTACTCGCCGTACAGAAGTAAAGCGGCAGAGTTGTCGACACACAGAGGATGCGTAAGCTGGGGGACACGGGTCGTGATTCCTAACAAATTGAGAAGAGAGACGATGGCTCTAATTCACTCGGGACATCGCGGAATTGTGGCGATGAAAGCTTGCGCTCGCAGCTACGTTTGGTGGCCCGGGATCGACGCCGATATTGAAGCATGGGTCGCTGCATGTAGCACCTGCCAGATACACCGGAAGTCACCAGCGAAGGAACCGATCCCAGTGTGGAATAGGCCAACCGAGCCGTGGGACACTGTTCACCTGGACTTTGCAGGTCCCGTCGAGGGTCATGTGTTTCTGGTTGTGGTGGACGCGTTCACGAAGTGGCTGGAAGTGCGCGTGGTCCGCAACATGACGTCGGCCGCCATCATTAAAGAGTTACGGACCATTTTTGCAACGTTTGGACTACCAAGGAAGATTGTGTCGGACAATGGCGCGGCGCTAGTTTCCGACGAGATGAAAACATTTTACCGAAACAACGGGATCATCGCTGTAACTAGTGCGCCGTACCATCCCGCCACTAATGGCCAGGCGGAGCGCATGGTACAGGAGCTGAAACTTGCACTCGGGAAGAAGGGAAAGGAAGAGCTGAATTGTGCGTTGGCCAGGTTTTTATTCAAACAGCACACTACCATTCACGTTGCAACGGGAAAAACGCCAGCATGGTTGCTTTATGGCAGGGAACTTCCATCAGCTCTTGAACGATTAAAAACTGTACTTTCTGAAGAGCCAGTCCGCACAGAAAGCTTCACAAACGCACGGGAACTGAGCGTGGGACAGTCTGTCTGGACTAAGAAGTTTCCACAAGGCAAAGGCTGGGTTCCTGGCGTACTCGAACGTCAGATGGGCCTCCGTTCATGGATGGTGAACACAGATGAAGGTTCGGTACGCCGGCATACCAACCATATACGTCAGCGATGTTCAGCAGCCAGCACCCAACAAGAAGCGAAGACTCCGTCTCCTGTGTGGGACCTCAAGATTGACCAGAGTCCAACTCCACCACGGGCACCATCTCCCGGCGAAGATACTCCAGCTCGAGCAGACGCATCACCCCAGCGAGACAGTAGCAGGCCGGCGGCGTTTCCTCGCGAACCAGCGTCAGCTCCTTCGACGGCAGACGCTGGCCCTTTCACTGGTACCCGGAGGGGCACTCGAGCGCGGCGACAACCGCAACGCTACGGGAGCAACGACTAGTTGGAGGGGGTGTTATGTAGCGGCTGGCAAGCTGGCGCCCATCGGCTCGTGACCATCGGCTGCACTCGGACCGGGCGCTCGAGAGCCGCGGGGCACGGGCAGACAACGCCAGGCTAGGAACGTTGCGCCAGGCTTAATCGGAGGCTCCATCAGAATAAATCGATTAGACAACCTTCGAAGGCTACATCTCGTATTTAACAATCCCTTTCAAGGGATGCTGAACCGAAAATCGAATTTCAGAATACAACGCAGAATCGATAGGCGGGACGCTACAAATCCCAAAACGTCACTCATAAAGCGGTACCTCCAACGGATCGTCGTATTTTTGTAAAAGAAGAGGGCGCTCGCACAAGGCCGAAAAGACGCCTGACCGCGCGATTCTCATTTCCTCCTCTTTTCGCCTTGACTCCGCGAGGGCGCGGAGAGGAAAGGGACGAGGCCATTTTTCCTCCTTCTCAACTCTTCGGCGATAAGATGACGTCAACATTCTCCCTCATTCGCTCCTTTATTTTCCAGAAATACGGCCATCCGCTTGAGATATGGCTATATGAGTGATGTTTCGTGGTTGATGGCGCCCTGTTGAACACTTCTGCAAGCTTACTTTGGGAAATACAAATTTCGGTTCAGCATCCCTTTACATCCGTTTAAAAGACATTAAACAGTCGCTTTGGGGAGTGAAGATTCGCGCGACGTGACCCGACGTCACGCGACGAGGTCACGTGACGTGACATCACGGTGGCAAGTCGTGACGTCACGTGATATCATGACGTAAATTTTCTTTCTAAATTTAGCGAAAAAATGCTTCCCGCATCAGCAATAACGTTTAACCTAAATTGGTGTATAATTTTACACCAATTCGGTTATATTTAGAGAATCATTTATACACGGAGAGACGGACGGACGGACAAACTTTTAGAAGTAGGGAATTTCGTTAAAAAGCACTATATATATTTTTAAAAAAGACATGTTGGGGGCTTTTAAAATGAAAAGAGGTTTAAACCGCAGATACCCGCACCGAAAAAAACAGTATAAACTAGGTTATGGAACAGGAAAATCTAATTGGATTTCTCGCTGAAAACCTGAAATCCAGTTTGCAGACAGTTTTCTGCAAACTGGAGTTCAGGGTCGCTAAACTCGTGGACGCAAAGATTCTTTGCGTTATGACGTAGTGGGGGGGAATGACCGAAAGAGCGCCACAAAGTTGTCGTTTCTCACAAACCCGCGGATCTGTTTATCTTCGTGTCGTTTTTCAATTGAAGGGGCAAAAAATCCCTAGCACTCCCTAGACGCTGATCAAGAGCAGCAGGAGAGAGCGCGCGGAGACGACCGTGGTTCATGCGTGTGTCGTCATAACAAAGATCACCAGCTGCGACCAACATGTTTGGTGGGCTCCAAAAGGCACGGCGCAGGCTTGGGGTAATTGCATTCTACAATCAACACCGTCAAAATTGACAGTCCGATATCGTTCTTATTTCTGCCGATAAAGCAGAAGCAAAAGGCTACAAGAACGTCGGTGGTTGGCTTTCCAAGATTAGTCAAACTGGGATTATTTCTGCTTTCATCAACAGAAACAAGAGCAATGGTTCACGCAGAAAAATTAAAACACTGAAATGGGCGGACAGACACTCACATTTCTTTCAGGGTTTTTTTTAATATTTTTTTAAGGACTGTGTGCTTTGTTTTCCGTCCATCTCAGTGGTTTATTTTTTCTGTGTGGACTCCATCCAACGCGCTCTGCTACGTGTAAATAAGAGAAATGTCAGGTAAACAATCAAACTTGTCACCGTCAATTCAAACATGCACCATCGAATTTCTGGTTCACAGCTGATAATCTTGAGCCTGACGTCAATGGTGGGAAGTGTAAAAGGACGTCACTGCACGCGCCTGCACACTAGGAGCCCTGGCACCTGCCTCTCAGTTATTTCCATTATTTCGAAAATTGCACGCTACTCTGCTCCTCGTAAGCAGGTGCGTCGACGCAAAGGTGCGGGGAGCGGGCAATTTATCCCCCCCATGTTTCGTGAAAAGAGGAGGCAAGGGGCATAAAGGGATAAGGAAGGGGGAGGCGATCGCCTCAGCCGACATTTCAGAAAGGTACAGCAGAATATTCGGGGAAAGGGATGTACCACTCTAATACCCCCCCTTCCCCCTGTGTCTCTCTCTCTCCCGAACATTTTTACGGCACGTCCTTACCCCGAATTTTCTGTTGATTGTGTGTGTTGGTCGTACCCCTTTTTATTATCCATTTTTTCCCCCCAGTTCTTTTCTCGGCAACCCCCGTCGCCCCCTCATATCTCACACTACCGACGTCAATACCCACACCGCGTCTCGGTGGCCTTGGTGACGTGGTTGACAAGAGCGTAAGATGAGCTCTAAAACCGCGTACACCGCGCGCGGCTCCACCGTATCACAAAGTTCAATCTTCGCCTCGATTCCGAAGCGAAGATTATGGCCTCAAATAACTCCTTCCCAAAGTTGTGAAACGTCACCTTGTCGTCACCGATAACTTCCACGAACGGCGATCTTGCGACGACAAAGTTCAGAATATTCACAGTCCGCCTAGGGACTATCTAGACAGCATTGGCTCAAACGCGGCGTAGGGATGTGGGGACACACGGGAGTGACGTCATCACTGCAGCCGTTCAATCGGCTGGCCCCACGGTGTTGCTCGCGCGCGTTCTGATGAAGCTCGCTGAGACTTTGTGTTTCACAATCTCGCTAGAATTTGAGCACCCAGAGTTTGGATGATTGACATCTCGTCCCGCGTGACGCCATCGTCGAGAGAGTCCAATCAGCAAGCTCCACGAATTTCGGCCCCAACTTTGTGCTTGACGAGTTGAGCGACCCAGGTTTCCAGCAACAAATCCAGTTAAATTTTCATGTTCCATGATCCAGATTAAACTCCTTTTTTTTTTTTTTTTTTTTTTGGTAAGGACAGCTTATTTTTTTTATTGAGTTTCTGACCAATGACGAGGGAGAAACTGGTCAAACATGCGATTACCGCCCGAGGCAAGAAATTGCGAAAGTCGCGGGTATCGCATGTGTGACACTTTACCAATTTTGCTTGCTTTTTATCGTAATAAAATCAGCTATCTAGCTTCTACCACACTTTAAATAGGAATAAATTAGGATGACATATTTAGATATCAAATGTTTTCCCAATATCTAACGAAGTTTGGCACTTCTTTTTTAATATTGAATTTTAATATTTTTTTTTAAATAAAAAGGCCTACACACTAGCTATATTTATGGGTTAAACTCGCTGCTTTATATTAAGCTGAAGTGCGTCTGCAATTGTGTAATCGCGTGTTTACGTGACCTTCATCCACTGGAAAGCGACCTGCCCATGGGTTCGGACAGACCAAAAAGTTAACACCCGAAATAATCTTATAAAAAAAAAAAAAAAAAAAAAAAGAACGATTCGAAGTTATTTTTGAAAAACAAAATCCCAACCTTGATGGGAACAAAAACTTTTATCCCGGAACAGATTTCTCGCGGAACTGTCAGCGAGGCCCCCCCTTCCTCCGGAACCACAACCCTTATCTTGTTTCCTCCTCCTTTTCACGTATTCGGGTCACGTGCATGTTTTCTAGATGACGGAGTACCTCATTGACACGTGATATATTCTTAACCATAAACCCCCATAAACGTCGATATGTTTTAAGCACCGAAAATTGGCACCGAAAAATACCGAACGTGTAGTAGAAAAGAAACCGTGAAATACACACACCCGAATTCGAAAAGAAATAAGCCCCGAAAATGCGGAACTTTAGTCATAGGATCGTCACGTGACGTGGTCACGTGAGCGCCGTTCGCAAATATGGCGGGCAACACATAGACCAACACGCGGCCCTGACGTCACGCAGATGCGGTGGCGCTGTCGACGGCACTGCGCATGCGCAGACACTTCACTTCACGTGAATTGGGTTTCTGCGCACGCGCAGTGCCCACACCTGGTGTGGGCAAACGCCGGCTTGTTTGGAAACAGCGTGTCGAATGTAGAGGATGACGCCACGTCGCTGCGGCATTTTTGTGACGCACGAACTTTTATGTCGGTCTTTTCTTACACAGTCATTTCCTACGCTGAAAGTGCCCAAGAGCGTGGGCGGTGCACTCACACATGCGGCGGCAGTTCGTAGAAGTTTGCGCTGCGGTACAGGTTGACGAAGTCATCGGTGTAGATGTCGATGTGCCGGTAAGGGTTCACCGACACCAGCACCGGGCCGATGTACGTCTGGGGAGGAAAAGGACGAGGGCTGAACAAACGACGCGCGGCGAGCAGTCACTACGATGGTTTTCAAGCAGCTCCCACATCCAACATTTCAAGCATACTGTGAAGAACGAGAGGAGCGAGTGTCTTCCGATACTCCTCGAGCTCGTAATGTAAAAGGAGTTTCGCGATGACTTTGCAAATTTCGTTGAGTGGAGGACAGGGTGCGGCCGTGAGGACTAACATTTGGTACGCCTTCCAAAAATCGAATTGAGCACGCGAACGTAGTTTCGCAAAAAGTTTTGTGTGTATTTTCTTAGAGCTCAGCTCGGAAGTAGTAAAATAATAAAAATAATGGAAAATCGGAGGCCGTGTATTTTGCTACGTCCTACACCAGCCCGTTTGTCGTCGGCGCACTGGCTTATCAGCTCGCTCCCGTATGACTTGCTGAACGCAAACACACTGCGAACCAATAGTAGAGGCTGGCGATGAACGAGATCATCGCAGTAATACCTTTAACGAAATATATGAACAATGACCACCTGGGAGCAAATTAGTGTGCAGACGACAAATGTCCGGTAGAGGGCATAGAAAATGCACAGCCGTCGTTTTTGCTCCATTTTTTTTTTTTTTTTTTTTTTTTACATTTACCCGCCCTGAATTGAGCTTTCAACAAAAATACAAAACTTTGCTTCCAATCGACGTTATTTTGCAAGACGTGCCGAATGTGTTAGTCCTTACGGCCGCACCCTGTAGATTCCGAATTTAAGGGCCGTACTTAGGGGGTCCTGAACCGTCGATACATCGGACAAATGGGCAGATGTACGAATGACAGTGCGCGCGCGAGCAAGAGATGTCGGTGAAAAAGGTCCCCATCGGGTTGTACGGTCATTCACCGTGATGAATGCTCACGCGTATACCTCAATTAAACGAGCCGCAAATTCTAGGTAATTATAAATGCGAAAGAGCGAGATATATTTTTGGTGAAACTTTGTTACGCGTCTACGAGTGATGTGTTTACCGCGTCCAAACAAAGGAGGTTCCCTCGATTTCCGCCTGATGACGTCGTAGAAGTGTCATTGAATCTCCGACCGCAATTCTGGCGGTGTCACAGCTAGTAGCGGTGGTGGATGTGGCACGCGCCTGTTCTGCAGCAGGATATGGCACGCGCCTGTTCTGCTGCAGGATATGGCACGCGCCTGTTCTGCCGCAGGATATGGCACGCACCTGTTCTACCGCAGGTATGGCACGCGCCTGTTCTGCTGCGGGATACGGCACGCGCCTGTTCTGCTGCGGGATACGGCACGCGCCTGTTCTGCTGCGGGATACGGCACGCGCCTGTTCTGCTGCGGGATACGGCACGCGCCTGTTCTGCTGCGGGATACGGCACGCGCCTGCTCTGCTGCGGGATACGGCACGCGCCTGCTCTGCTGCGGGATACGGCACGCGTCTGTTCTGCTGCGGGATACGGCACGCGCCTGTTCTGCTGCGGAATACGGCACGCGCCTGTTCTGCTGCGGGATACGGCACGCGCCTGTTCTGCTGCGGGATACGGCACGCGCCTGTTCTGCTGCGGGATACGGCACGCGCCTGTTCTGCTGCGGGATACGGCACGCGCCTGTTCTGCTGCGGGATACGGCACGCGCCTGTTCTGCTGCGGGATACGGCACGCGCCTGTTCTGCTGCGGGATACGGCACGCGCCTGTTCTGCTGCGGGATACGGCACGCGCCTGTTCTGCTGCGGGATACGGCACGCGCCTGTTCTGCTGCGGGATACGGCACGCGCCTGTTCTGCTGCGGGATACGGCACGCGCCTGTTCTGCTGCGGGATACGGCACGCGCCTGTTCTGCTGCGGGATACGGCACGCGCCTGTTCTGCTGCGGGATACGGCACGCGCCTGTTCTGCTGCGGGATACGGCACGCGCCTGTTCTGCTGCGGGATACGGCACGCGCCTGTTCTGCTGCGGGATACGGCACGCGCCTGTTCTGCTGCGGGATACGGCACGCGCCTGTTCTGCTGCGGGATACGGCACGCGCCTGTTCTGCTGCGGGATACGGCACGCGCCTGTTCTGCCGCGGGATATGGCACGCGAATGTTCTGCCGCAGGTATGGCACGCGCCTGTTCTGCTGCGGGATACGGCACGCGCCTGTTCTGCTGCGGGATACGGCACGCGCCTGTTCTGCTGCGGGATACGGCACGCGCCTGTTCTGCTGCGGGATACGGCACGCGCCTGTTCTGCTGCGGGATACGGCACGCGCCTGTTCTGCTGCGGGATACGGCACGCGCCTGTTCTGCTGCGGGATACGGCACGCGCCTGTTCTGCTGCGGGATACGGCACGCGCCTGTTCTGCTGCGGGATACGGCACGCGCCTGTTCTGCTGCGGGATACGGCACGCGCCTGTTCTGCTGCGGGATACGGCACGCGCCTGTTCTGCTGCGGGATACGGCACGCGCCTGTTCTGCTGCGGGATACGGCACGCGCCTGTTCTGCTGCGGGATACGGCACGCGCCTGTTCTGCTGCGGGATACGGCACGCGCCTGTTCTGCTGCGGGATACGGCACGCGCCTGTTCTGCTGCGGGATACGGCACGCGCCTGTTCTGCTGCGGGATACGGCACGCGCCTGTTCTGCTGCGGGATACGGCACGCGCCTGTTCTGCTGCGGGATACGGCACGCGCCTGTTCTGCTGCGGGATACGGCACGCGCCTGTTCTGCTGCGGGATACGGCACGCGCCTGTTCTGCTGCGGGATATGGCACGCGCCTGTTCTGCTGCAGGATATGGCACGCGCCTGTTGTGCTGCAGGATATGGCACGCGCCTGTTCTGCTGCAGGATATGGCACGCGCCTGTTCTGCTGCAGGATATGGCACGCGCCTGTTCTGCTGCAGGATATGGCACGCGCCTGTTCTGCAGCAGGATATGGCACGCGCCTGTTCTGTTGCAGGATATGGCACGCGCCTGTTCTGTTGCAGGATATGGCACGCGCCTGTTCTGCTGCAGGATATGGCACGCGCCTGTTCTGCTGCAGGATACGGCACGCGCCTGTTCTGCTGCAGGATACGGCACGCGCCTGTTCTGCTGCAGGATACGGCACGCGCCTGCTCTGCTGCAGGATACGGCACGCGCCTGCTCTGCTGCAGGATATGGTACGCGCCCGCTCTGCTGCAGGATATGGCACGCGCCTGTTCTGCTGCAGGATACGGCACGCGCCTGTTCTGCTGCAGGATACGGCACGCGCCTGTTCTGCTGCAGGATATGGCACGCGCCTGTTCTGCTGCAGGATATGGCACGCGCCTGTTCTGCTGCAGGATATGGCACGCGCCTGTTCTGCAGTGTTACGTCTGCGACTAGAAACACCTTCCTGCACTTTACACTTTATTCCCCGGAGCTGTTGTGGAAGGCCCTCGAACCGGGCCTCCCCCTTTGCTGGTCCGACCGGCACCGGTGAACGCTGTTTAGACAGGCCTTCAGCTGTTGTTGATGGACGGCGTCATCCTAAATCGTGTTCGTGCCGCCGGGGGATCGGTCGAGTCATCAGACAACGTGTCCGTGTCCCGGTAAACGGAGGCATTGCCGGGCGGGGAGTCCGGTTACGGCGCCGGCGGCGGAACCTCCGGGCGAGTGCGGTCGGTTCGGGTTGCGACCTGAGCCGCGGTGCGTGCCTGTGAGAAGGGTCATCGGCATCAAGGTCGGCGTCTCGCGGGCTGGCAGCGGACCCTTTGTCGCCGACTCCATGCACGGCTTATCGAGGGCGAGAGTTCCTCGGCGCCGGAGGATGAAGCCCGTCCGCCACTGCAGTGTGTGCGTGTGTGCGCGTGCGTGCTCGAGGGGATGAGTGAGGGCGGGGCCTGGACGTGACGTTTGCTGGCAGCTCGGCCACCATTGGCTGCCAACTCTTGGAGCACCGAACGGACCCAATAAAAGGAACGGACGAGAGGTCGCAAGTGCTCTCGGTCGATGCAGATATTTGTACATATGTATAAAATGAGAGTTTGTCGAGAGACCGTCTCGTAATGTTCCTGTCGGGAATCGTCCTGCGGATCCGATACTGGCCTGGCCCTGCCTGAGGCTTCCTGGCGGACCCCAGGGTCGTAACAGCAGCAGGTTTCTTTCCAGCTTAGCAATCTATGCAAGCTTTGGCAGCCAGGAGTTGAATCTCCGCGACGACAGCGACACTCGCGTCCGCGCGTACTTTTTTGACGGGACTTGCAGCACCAGCCGCCAAGGTCGTGACATCGGACAACACGCTGGTTCCTTTGACGTCATTTGTTGCCAAGGAGAACACGCCAAAGACATTGGTCGAAGACGTGTTCCAGGCACCGCAGTGACAACCGCATCAGTGCACCGTCATTGCACATTTCACATAAGGAACTGAATGTATTGCGTCAGCACTACAAAAAAAAATATATATACCATATATGAATTTAAGTATTAGTGCACAGGCTAGCGTCTCAGACCACGTGAAAAAAAAAAAAGAATTATGTGACCGAAAATGGGAAAAAACACACGGTGTCGCGTTTGTCTCTTTTTGTTTCTTCGCCTCTGGGTTTTCTCGATAGAAGGATATATTATGATTAAATAAACAACCAACTAGTGAGAATTCTTTGTACATGGATTAACACAGCGCTTTGTTTGTCTCCTTGACGGCTTTATATTATTGGCGTATACAGGGAGTTTCACGAAACTCCGGCAAATTCTAATTTGCAAAAAAATACGCCAAAACAAACAAACAACAACCTTACCACCAAAGTAGCGCGTCCTGGAGTTCCTACACTCCGGGGACCAGGGAGCGTGTGGTATCATGATTGTGCGATACATACTTTTTAAAACTTGGTGTTGCGTTTTATGGAAACAAGCTCAATACCGCGCTCTTCGCCGTTTTGCATTTCTGCCGTTTCAAGCAGTCAATATATGGCGGAGCTGAGTCAAGAATATTCCTCTCGTCCGTAAACAAGATATAAATAATAACAATAATAATGATAATAAAATTGCTTACAGCAAGGCGTCTGCCTCTTGCGCAGGACTTGCGTTTACGTCAGAAAAACACCGAGCTCTGACTGGCTTTGATTGAAAGGATAGTGGCAACGTTATTAGATTCGCTCATAGACGCTGCTTGCAAGAGCAGTACCTCCCCCCCCCCCCCCCCCCCCCCCCCCCCCTCTCAACACGACTCGCCTCCCGTCGTTCGACGCGCCGGACGGCTGCTTTGGCAACTGCAGTGTATTCCATGGGATATGTACTTTTCAAAGCACAGCGGCGTCCATGTGGCGTTCCAGCTCTGCTCTATGGAACACAGTTACGAAGCGAAAATCTAGATGGCGCTTTAAACGACGGGAGGCGAACTGAAGTGAGTGAGGGGGGTACCCCTCACCCGGTAGTTCCACAACTGAGGTAATCTAGTAACGTTGGATAGTGGGTAGACCTCAATGCTAGATGCCTTGAGGTCCATCCATTATTTTTTTTTTTCAATCAGCCAATAAGAGCTCGGCGTTCTAACACCATGACAACCCTCTGTGCAAGAGGCAGACGAACTTGCGCTCCGCATAATAACAAAAAAAAAAAAAAAAGACGGGGGGGGGGGGGGGGGGGGGGGCTGAACAGAAGTTTATTTATACGCAGATGGAGTTAACGATAGCAACGTGCCCCAGGTGGCACGACCTTGGGAAGTATACAACGCCCCAAATTTAACGCCAGAACGTGACGCGGCGTTTTGGAGTTTGAAGCGCTCTTTGGATGCCGTTTCAACAGTCTTGTTGCTTTTCAACTTCTCGGTAACTGTGCAACCCGGGATGGGAGGCCCTGCTGGTATGTTAGTGACTACTTTATTGGTGAGTCAACGGCAATCATCGAGTGTTTGGGCAGCTGCGGAGAATGAACCAGGGGGGGTTCATTCTAATACTATCCGGTTTGCTGCGGCTAAAACGCCTCGGACTATTAGAATTGATAATGATGATTGCGAGTTTAGTGGAGCTGCAGCAACGAAGCCAAGCCAGACATAATTGGATCCTACTAAAATCATTAGAGTTTGGAAGGTATGGGATTGTGCTGTGACTAGCAACAATATACGAGTTAATCACTCTGATAAAGGCGAGAAAAAAAGTTTCCTCAGCTATCGCCGATGAATACTCGAGGTGCGCTGTGACGATCGAAGGATACGCTCAATGGAGATATCAGAAACTTCCTCGCGACTTTCAGAGTTAGCAGAAGCGTTACTTCAAGATACCTGGCTTTAGGTGGTCAATCGCGGGCAGAGTATATACTCACGTAAATGAGGTCCTCCTTAAAGCGCTTCTGGAGGTTGTCCACGCATGCCTTCTCGCTCTCGAAGTCCTCGAGCAGCACCAGGTCCTGCACCCCCACTCGGTCCCTGGAGTGGAGCGCATTCTCCATCGCCTGCGCACACACAACACTCCACATCACTCTTCACACACTCGGCTGGTCGCCATGTAACGGGCAGCTGGCAGAGGTGCATGCGCCTAAATAGACCTGCTGCGAATATCTCAAACCGCCGCGTGGTAAGCGCGCATTGAATTGTGGGGACGCCCTGTATTGAGCTCCTCCTTGCCCTCTCGGCATCTACCACGTGACTTTAAGAGAGTGAGAGAGTTATAGCGCAGCTGTACCCTTGCTCTTGTCCGCTCGCTTGTCTCCAAGGTCGCCTCCGCCGTCTGCTACAGTCTGTTCTATACAGCCTGTTCACCGAATTATTTTCGATGCTGCGTTGGGAGTTGCACGTTTTGCAACAGGTAGGTCTATTTCTGTGGACTATTATTACCGTACCGGTGCAGCCGCCATGTTAGAGAATTTTTACCCGTCATAATTAGTAGATGAAGGGTTTTGAGCTAAGTTCGTTTCTCACTTTATCCGAAAAAAACATCCTTTTCAACCGGTGATCTGAAATTTCCTTCTTTACAGTCGAAAAAAACATGAAAAAGGCGAAACCTTTTCATTTGCTTTCAAATCGCTCCTGCAGAAAGTGCGCGTCACACAAAAAAAGGTAGATATCCTATTAATCTTAACTCTTAGTTACTTTTGAGTAATTAACTTTTTAGTTAGTAAGTGTGGAGGCCTGACTTCTATTAGACATAACCACTAAATTTACGGAAATTTGAAACACTGCAGTAATTTACGGCGCAAAATATACTCAATTTGGACGCATTTTTAGGTTTAAGCATACCTATATGTTTCCTATCGGAGCACATCTCCGCACCAGCTTTGCGTACTTCGTAGAAGCAAGTGTGGCCCTCGGCGGCGAAGTGGTATGTGGTGAGTTCTCTTCGACTGACATTGAAATAATAAGCTTTGATTCTTGGGTTCACCTCTGTCATGCGAAGAATGCGCGGCGACGCACGTTAATTTTGCGCTTTGGCCACGGGGGAGCAGGACTTCTGGCTTGGAGATACGTTTTGAGAGAAATTTGAAACTTCAAAAAGTGCTAAAATTAAGTGTTTTTTTTTTTTAACCCCGTAAAATGTTGGACGTCCCATTATTTCTGTGAAGTGCGCTAATGTAGTGGTTTTCGGTGACGCCCAAAAATTTAGTATCGAAACAATGCCTTTTAATTTCCTAAGAGTGGCATTACTAAAAAGTAATTAAGAACCTAATTCTGCCGAACGTAATTAATTTTCCTAGGTAGGCATTGATATCGACTTTTGTTTTATGTGCGATTCGTATTTTCGGAGGAACAATTTGGTCAACGTTTTATGAAACACCCAGTATAATACACGGCAGATTACACATGCTGTGCAAACCATGTGTGGCATTTTTGTTTCCTTCACAAGTCCTTCGTCTCGGGAAACACAGAGAGGTTGACCATCGGAATATGACAGTGAACGGAGATGTAGCAGCCGTCGTCGTCTTTTTAGACCTCGAATGATTGTTGTAGGCGAAACGAAACATTGTTTTAACGCGTGGTCATGTCCAACATAAGAACAGCGAGAACAAGAACATGCGGAGTCAAAAGCTATAAATTTACGAAAAGTTACAAACCAGAAACAAACAAAATAGCTAAATTAGAATAAAACGGCGATTTGAAACTGCTCACAAGGTGCATATTTAGCAAACGTCGTGTTTTACAATCAGAAAAAGCAAATTTTTGGTCCTGCTCCCAGGCAGCGGTAGTTGGGTTTAAAGGGACACTGACACCCCCCAAAATTTTTTTTTTATTTTTTGCCAGGCGCTTCATTATGGTGTCGGAGGACTACCCAATTAATATTTTGCAACAGAGTAGCGTATTTTTTTAATAAAGCCAAAAGACGCAACTGCTCGAAACCGAAACCGAAACCCGACGGAGATAGGAGAAGTGGAGAGAAGAGAGTGAGTGACGGAAGTCACGTGGCTACACCCGACCGTGCTTTTTTTTTTTTTTTTTTTTCTCCTCTCTGTAGCAGACGACACGGCGTGCGATGCGGCGTGCGGGAACTGCTCGCCGTGTGATTCTTTTGCAGTTATGTTTGTTCCGCTCGTTGTTCTGTACTCCAAGATGAGTTGTTTTGTACATTAAGGAGTTGGAGATGAGTAGTGAGTGCCCGTGGTGAATTTCCATGATCGGCTCCGAAAAGAATACACCCAAGATGTTGCGTGAAGAGCTGGCTCACATCTGCCGCGTCCGAAACAGAAGTGGCATTGTGCGACAGAGTTTCCGAAAGATCAACGGGATCGGGACCAATGGCTGGCTGCAATTCCTGTAGAACATTTACGGGCACATCGGAAAGCGGACGCTACCTGATTTATATGCTCCTTGCATTTTGTGGAAAGTGATTACATTGAGTTAGCAGGTGTCAAAACGGAAATCCCATACCATTTAATTCAGCGAAGTATCGTCCACAACATTTGTTTGTTTCTTCAGTGATGATTGTAAAAAAAAGAAAAAGATGTGTAAACATCAAAAAATGTTAAAAAAAAAAAAACAAAATTCACGGGGGATCGAACCTGGTCCTACCGCGTGTAAACCGGACGTCTTTCCCACTGAGCTACTGGGGCATGTCTTTTTTGGTGGATCTCTTTCCTTAGTAATAATTCAGCCGGTAAGTTGAAAAGTTTCCTGTCGATTTTTCTCAAGCAAAAGCACTCCCGGGTCGAAGTCGGGAAGCACCACGCTTTGGGGACATTCGCACCTAGTAAAGAAATCGTACGCGTGCATATTCAACTCGAAGTAGACACGTCGTGCTTGACGTTTGCGCGAGCGATGTCTTCAGCCACGAGAAGGGAGCGACGGCTCGGCGACGTCTTCGTGCAAATCGGCTTGGTGACCGGGCGTGTCGTACGGGACGAATACCAATTCTTTTGATCAGTCCCAAATTTCTCTTTTAACGGTAGACAGAATTCGCCGGTACCGCGAACGACAGTTCTGAAATAGAGGTCCCACGCCCGTCGTCCGCTATCATCGCCGTCCCCGCGAGTCCCACGATACGCGAAACGACGAACGCACAGAATGCTTCCGGTTGTCTGTGGAACTTTTTTTTTTCAATCAACGTATTTACAGGTTTTTAGAAGCCACAAAAAATGGGTTTCTTATTTTTTTCTATTTTTAATATTGAGTGAGTGCCTTCGGTGACCCACGACTTTGATTAAATTTGGTGGTCGCATCGATACCTTAGAAAACGGCCCGTGACCGCGAAAAAGAGAGTGAGCGAGACTCGAACCGGCCAGTTCTTGATCGGCGGTTTTCGGGCGGAAAGAAACCGAATTTCGAGCCGCAAATTCTGTTCTGGGTAGTTGAGCTCTCATATGTCACGTACAACTAAAAACCTCGGCGAGCATAAATACCCTGTCAGTGTCCCTTTAAATGCCAGACATAGGCAGCCCACGCACATTTTCAGCTATTTGTCTATACGCTTGATAAAGTGGAAGCTACGCAAATGACCGAAACATCGTGCATATACTTTGCACCGCGTGCCAGCATAGCGCGAATTAAATGGAAGAAACAAAACAAAACAAAAAACGGGCCGAATTATATCGGAATACTTTGAGGGAGCTTTTGTTAGGCAGTGAGTAACCGAGGTCTTAAACAGACGCGACGTATTCTAACTTGGAACGTACCCAAGTTTTATACAAAATTAATTTATCGGAAACACCCGATGCTCTCAAAAACTTTCGTCGTATGAAGCATACATGTGTTGTTAATGACGTTGGAAATGTGCCATTGATCTAAGATCAGCGGTTATATTTGTATGACGTTGCAAATTAAAAAAAAGTTATTGAAGACGTAATTATCAAGAACGATGTTGATATACAAAATAAGAACATGTTAATTTTTAAATTCGAGGACCCATTTAGCGACGAAATCATGGTCAGCTGGCAGGACGGAAACAGCAAGAGTTTGTTATTGTGACAGAAATTATCAATCAATAATTTTATTTGCATCTATACAAGTACAGCTGTCGGAAGGCAGACAAAAAGCCAACAGTTGTTTGGCTTGACAAGGTTTGGTCTCCGCTCGGCAAAACTAGACCTAAAACAACAAAATAGCAATAGCGAAAAAATAACTAACATGTGTCTCAAATGGATACAAAAACACAAAACACGCAATCGCCAGTGAATAATTGGACAGAAGTTAGAAAGTTAGGCCAGTCATTAATGTAAATCAGAAATAACAGCTAGAGAACCGAAAAGAAATTCTATCGGTCTGCCGCAAATATAAGTGAAGCTAGTGACGAAATGGAGTTATTGCCATCCACAGATCCACATTGATTAGTTGAAACATATTCGATCCAGCTAAGAACATTACTGTGCGCGTTCAAGGTAAGTTCAGTGAGTTAAAGATGACCACTAATTTTGTCGAACACTGAATAAAATCAAGATGCAGTTTGCCCGAAAACATCGGTGAAAAATGGTATTAATGGAATGCTTAAAACAAGACATATTGCGTTTTGCGTGAATATAATTTTCTAAAATTATGTCGCGGAAGAGTAAAGATCGAGTCAGAATGAAGAAAACCGGAAATTTGTTAAAAATAATGGGTTAAAAACGTTTGCATGATGTGCTTAAACCTGAAATGGGTCGATAATGAAGAGGGGATTGCTCACTGCAGGGTTTACGAAATCAACTTTGGCCATCTTCAGTTGTCAGGCATCAGGGCGTCACTAGGGTCAGCGGCACCCGGGGTGGTAGCCCGCCGCGACCAGACCCCGACCCACCCCCCCTTTTCACTCTGCAGCTGCACCCCCCTGACCCCTGCCCCCTGCCCCCGGGGCGGTCTCAGGGGGGGGTGCAGCGATTCGATAAAATATAATAAGTACGTACAATGCGCGATTACAAGATTTAATTTTATTAAATCTCGCTACATTGTCTAACCACAATCGGAAAATTACCTGTAGTAAAATCAACCGAGAAACTTTATATTATTGCAGGACTAAAATGATTCATTCCAAGAAACAATAACAAAATCCTTC